CAGAATTCAGACATAGAATACAGACATAGAGTAGACATAGAATACAGACACAAAATACAGACATAGAGTACAGACATAGAATACAGACATAGAGTACAGACATAGAATACAGACACAGAATACAGACATAGAATACAGACATAGAATACAGACATAGAATACAGACATAGAATACAGACACAGAACACAGACATAGAATACAGACACAGAATACAGACATAGAATACACAGAGTACAGACATAGAATACAGACATAGAATACAGACACAGAATACAGACACAGAATACAGACATAGAATACAGACATAGAATACAGACATAGAATACAGACATAGAATACAGACATAGAATACAGACACAGAGTACAGACATAGAATACAGACATAGAATACAGACAAAGAATACAGACAGAGAATACAGACATAGAATACAGACATAGAATACAGACATAGAATACAGACATAGAATACAGACACAGAATACAGACAGAGAACAGACATAGAATACAGACATAGAATACAGACATAGAATACAGACAGAGAATACAGACAGAGTACAGACACAGAATACAGACAGAATACAGACATAGAATACAGACATAGAATACAGACACAGAATACAGACACAGCACAGACATAGAATACAGACATAGAATACAGACATAGAATACAGACACACACTGTACTTCGCTTGATAATCACAAGTTATAAATTAATCATGATAATACTTCAAACACCAAGTTGATTACTTCCTGGTGTTCAAAATTAAGAGTTCCTCGAGTTTGTTAGCTTTGCCTCTGTGGTATTTGAATCAGTGACTCTAATTTTTTAACTTTCAACATTAGGGCTTGGACAAGGACACCCCAGACTCACATGCTTACTTTCGAACACTGCTAACGCATCTTGTGATATGCAATAGTGATAGAAATTGACACAAGTCCTACAGTACTTGCCAAACAGTTAAGGTGTCATAATGACCAGTTAAATTTGTCACTTTGAAGGGGTTTGCTTTTGTTATGATTGTAAGGACTAGTGGACTAAATTCCTTAGTTTCTATCACTGCACAGTAAAATCTAGTTAACTGAATCTTATGTGACTAATCTGGAAACCCTGCTACTGAAGATGGTTATTGCCTGGAACTTTATTTCAAAATCTTTATTTCAAAAAAAGGGTGTTCTTCTGGAATGTTAATGAGGAGCTGTGTTCATCCTTCATGTCACTGTATGTGGAGTTCCTCATTAGGCTAGCATTTCCTTTCAATGGATGGAAAGACATCGGCCCATATCCACCGTTAAATATCAGTTTAGTCAAATCATACTACCTGTCTGTGTGTGTGTGTGTGTGTGTGTGTGTGTGTGTGTGTTAAAATTTAGGGGGGGATACAGGCGGAAGTCTTTCCCAAAGGATTGTGTATTTATAAAAAAAATACTTACAACTGCCAATGATAACCTTTAAAAGTATTGACACCTGTCAATTACACCCAGGTTCATGCATGATCCATATAGTTGATAACAATCTGGAGGTGGAAAGTCTGCTCCTGGGCTACAGTGCATGAGTAAAGCTGACAAGGTACATTGATGTAAGCATAGAGAGCACTGACACAAATACTTACATTATGATAGGACCTTCTACTGTCCAAACATTCAGTGTTCAAGGCGAAGTTTATTTAGCAGCAGCTGTGGTGAGATGGCTAAACATCTGGTAATCACAATGATGAGTCAGCAAGTTTGGTTAAAGATATGTTCCTGTGTACATTGGAAGGAACTACGGTAGTTATGTTTATTACAGTAATGTAAATGTCACAACTGCAGTTTCCAGTGTCCATGATTTCACCACAGAAATGTTCTTTGGCCTATATTATTTGGTAATTTGGCCTATATTATAGATTATCTTCAGGACATTTCCAACCAAAAGCAATGTCCCAGAATTTGAAATAGAACACTGATAAATAAATATCATGATAAACACAACATCAAACAATTATTTATGTTTGTCTATAGTACATAATGTGTGTCTGAAATTCTTGCACAACATTAGAGGCCTTAAAGTCAGATGGTGTTGAAGAACAGACACTTCTCACAGCTGATCATGCTAATGGCAATGGAATCCATCTCTATATCTAACATTTTCAAATATTTATTGATAAAGCAATTTTCTTTCTCCCAAACTGGCCTGTAGTATTGATCAATTTCATTACATAATTGTATTAATGATTTGGCAAAAGCACAATTTGGCACTTGCCAATGAAACAGACACCTTTTAAAACTTAATAAACTTCAAGCACCTGTTTACACTGTTAATGTGGTATTTTTTGTTAATGTAATATTTTACATCACCCTCTGTATGATCCCTTTCTAACCAAATAAGTACTTTTCAGCAATTAATAAAATTAAAGCACCTGTTGACAGTGTTTATGTGTCTATTTGTAAATGTAATATATTTTACTTCACATTCTGAAACCCACCTGTGACAGGTGTTTATTATTTAAGTAAGGGACTAGTTCAAAATTTGGATGTCAGGTGAAAGTCTTAATTCTTCGGGTTAATTGTTGTTGGCAGAGGGGAGTGCAGGAGAATTTGACAGGTCAGTAGGTTTTCCATCAGAAAAATGTACTTCTCCGAGGTTTTCAGCTAAAGGGAACAAAATAAGAGGTCTAATTATCACATTTCTACTCTGCAAATGCATGATATGTATGAAAGCAACTCAAATATCTGACAAAAATAGGGAGGATAGGTCTCTGGGAATTACATAATAATTCCATAATGAACAGTTGAACTATTTTCTTGGTAGAAAAGTTCTGTAATGAGATATGCTCTCACTTTGGAGAAACATGGTAAAGACATTGTAGCCTAAGTTAGATATCTGCAGTATAAGCTGATGCAATCCAGGTGTGGCCGGGTTTGGGCTAACGTCCCAGACATCTAGTCTAGGTAAGGCATGTTACATACTGGTGACCTAAGCCGTCCATGTTCATGTGTAGGACCTTCAACAACTACAAGTCTTCAGGAATCCAAGAGATGACAGAGAAATCATGTACCTGTAGACCAATCAAGCATGATTACCCAATTCACCCAGAGACAGTGTCNTAGATGGGTTTAATACATGGCACTAGCAATTACAGCCAGAGGATAGGGGCCAGACAGAAAATACCGTGAGTCGCCATATTAAGCACCCTACTGTCATAGCGCCCCTGACTAATTTCTACACCAGTCTGATGTGGGTACGTCACTGAGAACTAATGTCTAAGAGCCACTGTGTAAGACTAAACATTAAAACAAGTGTGTATTTCAGGTTTCTTAGGTCAGAAATCTCATTAGAGGAAAATAACAGAGTTGTATAACTGCATGGCACTGATTATAAACAGTTATAGATTCATCGTCCTTTGAACAATACTTGTTTACTGTCCCTCTGATACTGTAGGCACTGGACCGTGACTATACTGTCCCTCTGAGGAAACATTTCTGCTGAGACTTGTCTGGTTCTGTTGAGTTAACAGGACTTGTAAAAGGAGCACTTCCCCTGGGATTTGTTAGATCTTACCTCACATAGTTGTCAGGTAAACTGTTCAGCCTAGAAAGTTGATCATGAATTACAATGTGTGACAGTTTTGACCAGTAGACCATGTCTATAAAATAGACCATGTATTACAGACACTTAGATGATGATACAGCGAGTACCATTAACTATCTTTTTTGGGCTGAAATGCAACGAAGGCTACAAGTAAAATTAATAAAAATGTGATAACATTAATTTTTAATCATCCTATATATTTCAGTATAAAATCCACTGGTAGAACTGTCTGGAAGTTTTTTATTCTATCATAGACCAACTCAAGTTGTGACAGACTTCGACTATCAGTCTATGATGCATGACTGAGTGTCAGATACAGGGAATGTCTGTGTCTCAGCTGTGCAAGAGAGGATGATACCAAGAAGAATATCATGATCAGTCATGCATTGTTTCATGTTAATACAGTTTGTGCTATTAACATTTTGCACCTATTATTCCAAATTTGTCATTTTTTTTAATCATTTCTGTAGATGTAATGTCTTAATGTATGAACTATGATCAGCTGTTCTTACCAGACAAAAGGGAATGTTGCCAGACATACTGAAGATATAAATAAAGTCGGAGACTTTTTACACATTTATAAAAAAGACGAAATAGAGCTAGATTGAGTGATGCTTGTTTTGTGATACCCATTACTATTTTAATACAACTTCCATATTATCTATGCAATATTTATTCATTTATACCAGGTGTCTTACTGTTCTCGTCTATGTCTACTTTTCATACAACCAGTTTGCTCTATTATGTAATATTTTTTCGACATTGATCTATTACATACAACCAGGTAGAACAATAACATTATGCACCTATGACATTAATGAAATTGATTCAGTTTCTGAATTTTTTCTTTTGACTGATCTCCATCGGAAAATATACACATTCCAAAATGCAGAGAGTAACTTATTTCTTCTTGACTTTAATTTTGATACATTGAGTATGTTCTCTTATATGTAACAATGTGTAATAATTTAAGTGAATGTGAAGGTATTAAGAAGAAGAAAGAACTAGGAATATGACAGGAAGACATTTTCCTTAAATGCGATGAAAATTTGTTCAGATTTTGTATATTAACAAATTATTGTCTGGGAGCCTTTTGTCATTCTTTTGTGCACCATAGACATAGCTCTCATCGCAACCTAAATATCAATTGATATTGAATATCGGCTGCGTATATTATTATTTCGAATGGGAAAAACAGATAGTAAAATGACAAATACATGCGGACATATACACTAAAAACAAGAAATTCTAAATTCTGAGTTACGATATTATTTTTAATTTTTTTCACAGATGCAAAGAACGGTAATGAACATATGAGACATTCCTACATGATTGTCTGATAATTTCTGTCACTGGTGACCAGTTCAAGGCATGCAAATAATTCATTAATTATGCATCGATTAATTCTGTTGCAAAAAATCAAGCACTTACCACGAAAATTAACTATTGTCAGTCAGCTGATCGCGAAATATGACAGAATGAAATCAGCTCATTCTGTATGCGCCAAATGAATGAAATCGCACATAAACATTGAGGTATATAGTATTCCCCGTACAACTGTTATTGTTGTGAACACAATGCTCGTAGTCTTCAACTGAACCTAAACAAAGGCTTTGTCAGTAGATCTTTTACGGTTTTTTCCTACATTTTTTTTAACTAAACGTATTCAGATTTATCGCTCAAAATACAACTTGATATTTCTTCTACTGTAGCATTATCGCTTCGATGTCAAACCTTTACGCCTCTTATTTGTACCATCTTAATAATTTACTGTTGGATATGATATGAACGAATCATGGTTAGGTCGATGGCGAGTAGTTTGCTGGCTATCGGAATAGTGTTCTACTCTAACAAAAATGGTGTTTGGCCTGATGACCATTTGTTTACATCGCAAGACTCAACTGTTTCGTTGTTGTTGTGTGTCTTTGTTTTTCTGAGTGATTGTGTTGGGAACACAACTGACCATATATTTAGTATTTAAATGTTGTTCCACACGCTTGATCATATTGTCTCTCTTGATTAAATATCTCATTGACAAACAATCAATCCTGACGATCACATCACTCGTTAAGATTACGTAAACACTCAAATTGGTGCTAAAATCCGTTCCGCCTAATAAATTTAACAACACGCAAGAGTGTTGCAGAGTACTGGTCAATTTAGGCAACGGGGGCGCGGTATAACGAGGGAGCTAGAAGTGGGGAACCGCTGATTTTACATTTTTTTAATGTTTCAGTGCTATAGAAAATTTTGAAAGGGGCTTCGGTAAGCTATTTCGTGGTTTGGAGATGTGCCAGACATGATCTGAAGTATTCAAATACATTAAAGTGTTGATAGTAACGGTACTCCTATGCGCGAGAGAAATGTGATAGATCAGTCATTTCTTTATGTTGTACTTCCTGATCAACTTTAGGGACCGATCATAATTTATGGTTAGTGGGGGCGCTGATGATGTTTATGGAGACGCATATACAATGTGAATGGAAACACACACACACACACACCACACACACACCCACCACCCACACACACACCCCACACAAAATTGTATGTACAAAGTAAGTGACCCCCAACCCCAACCCCGTTGCATGTCAAAATCAATTCCCCCGCCCTACCCCTTTCCCATCATTTAATTACACAACTGATGACCCCTCTAGTACATGTTTACAACAGTCATCATCACCCCACACCCGTAGCCATGAATTGTGTACGGTCCCTTATTTTTTCCATTTCTGCAACTAACTAATTTGTGCACAAATATGGTTGAATATTGAATAAAGTATGATTCAAATAATAATTTGAGCTATACACATTATGATGTCACATTTTAGGAAAAGAAAAAATCGCCTTCACTGGAAACTAACATGTAATCAGAATGACATGTTTGCTCTTTTCATGTGAAGACACTTTTGACAAAGGCCTAGTGATGCTTTATAAGTTATCGTTGTTTTGTATTTAGATTTGCAATGAATTTTTTTGTATATTTGTTTTAATTTCTTCAACATTTATCTGATTTAGACAGGATTTCGTGATTAGGTAGACATGTACAGGTTAAAAATTATAGCAGGACAGTGACATATTTTCGGGAGTCCTGAAAGAACTCAACTTCGATGTATTGGACGAAAATATCACATGGCATGTCTAAAATAATACACGCTTTTCAGATTTGTCAGAGCGTTGACAAATTGTTAAATGCATGAAGCGATATATCTTATTCTGTGTGCAAATTATTAATAAATGATATATCGGAAACACTTCCACAGCGGGAAAGAGGAGTAAACTGATTAACAAAATCAATAGTATGGTAGTGTTTCCTTTCTTTGATGAATATTGTTGGACGTATTCACAATGTAATTGTGAAATATGATGAATATTTATAAATGGCTTCTTCCACGCAACAACTGGTGTGGTTTCATTATCAATGTCACTTTACCAACGAAATGTTTTTTGAAAATGTCTTTAAGACACAAAAGTCTGTAGCTTAACTTTTCAACATAATGATAGTTCTTAGGAATATACTATTTGATTTATGTCACTTCTGTGTACACAAAGATTGATGACGTAGAGCGCAAGCGGTAGTCATTCACGATGGCGATCGACTTGAAGAAGAACAGGGATTCCTTGCTAAAAACCTACAACGACGTTGTAAATGATAAATCAGAAACAACATGGTAAGAATTTTCTCAGGGATTTTGATGTGAATTCAATTCGATTTGAATACAGTTATTTCCAAGTATCCGATAAAATGCCTGTACCGGGCACCTGCTCACGAGTCCTGCCCTGCCCCTTCCGCTTCCACGGCCCAACAAGGAAGTGGGAATATGTCTATCTTGAAAATTACAAATACACTTGCAATGATATTTGGTCTCCCTGTCCTTTCTAACCGTTAAAGCAAATTATTTAGAATTATTATTTGGAGGTAGTAAATAAATATGCCCATCCTTAGTCTGTATGTTGTCCATGATACACAAATCGTAATTGAAAAGACAGATATTCCTTCCTTATATTGACGTTTAAACATATAAAATACGAATGATATTTCTGATATACGTACACATACGACGGTTTGATTCACTGGCAAAACTGAAGTACACTGGATGCAGCTTGTGGTGAACTCAGTTGTGGATCGTTCTTGTGTTAGGGTCAGATTAAGTCCAAACTCTATCCTAAACCTTGGATTCCCTTTGTGGTCATACTGGTACATTACCCCTTTCCAATCAAACATCATTTTTTTAGCCTTAGTGTTGCTTATTTTTACACTATGCATTATTGTGCACACACTCATAGAATGGATGTAGAAATCTATATATTGTATCCTGAAGGATGCACAATCATATTCTTTGTGCCAAATTCCTCAACAAGAAATGTAAATGTCCAGGTATAAACATTGGTTTTAGTTGAAGTGCAGAAAACTACACTTTTTTGTTACATTACAGGACTCTCAAATTTCTTGCAAGGACTCTTGAAATTAGTAGTTTGGGGTCCTGTGGGTGTTTTGTAGGGCAAGGTGAAACCCTGGCATATGGAACCCCAATGCTAATGAAATAGCTATTTCGGATCCTTAACATCCTAAGGGTTAGGCGCGCCTTTACAATCGTTATACAGTGAGACCCTGGATATCCGGACACATTCGTTTTTGCGTAAATTGTCTGGATAACTGAATATCCAGATATCTTGATTTCTGTCATCCAGGCTTAGGTGTTGAAACGGTAGCGATCATACACTTCTGGTTTAAAAGCACTTCCAAAACAGCATGGTCATTTTGATTTGCCAATTACAATTCACTCTGTGCCAGATAGGCCTACTAATCACCACCAATACCCTGCTGATCTGTCATTTATCCGGATTAGCACTTCACACAGTCAGCCGTAGATCAAAGCTTCGTGCGGATAAGTGAGTTAATTTTGTGTTGATTTAGATGGTTGGTTTGTAAAATTTACCGTCTAGGAACGGAAACCGCATATCCGTTATAGACAGTCACTTTTGTAACGTAAGAGATTGTGTTTTTTTAATGAAAATTGACCGCCTGTAAAGGAATGTATACCTGATTAATTTACAGTGTACTCTGTCAATACCGGCATCAGTCGGGACCAAGTAAAAATGCCGGTTTTGACAGAGTGCCGGTTTAGCTAGGTTCGCTTATGACGCCTGCGCACACGGAAGTTCGCTGTCGTACTGTCACGTTAGCATTAACAAGATGTTTGAATAAGAAACAAGGCAGTGTCTGAATGCACATTCATGTTGTTTAAATCAAATAAAAATGTCTGAAATCTCTTATTAAATTTCAACTGATCATATATTATCGGCAGAATTAAAATTATAAACTATTTTTCGCAATGTTATTGCAAACAACGATTCTTGTTTATGCTTCGCAGCTGGTCTACAATAGCATTGTCAAAGAGCAAAGTAACGATGTTTCAAACATCGAGGAAATCATTAAATAAATTGAAATCAACAATAACATTCATAAAAGTTGTCAAACGCATATAAAATTACTATTTCCATTCTTTTGAGCGATCATGCAATGTAAGTCAAGTCACTGACAAGTTACATCTCGGCTTTCACACGATGCTTAATGTGAAAATATATCGTGAAGCATTTTTGTCATAGGCCATAACCTAGCACGATATGTCCAATACGCTCCATGATTTACGATAGGTAGCGATGTCTTTCTTAATATGTTCAGAATAGCATTATTTACCCAAAAACTTTTGTCTTAATCTAAAACTTTCGCTACATTTAGGACGGTATCCATTTCCATAATATGATTGGCTGCTTAGGTCGCGTGGTTCGATTTTGACCAATCACCGACCCTTATAAGCAGAGTGTAGTGAAAAGCCGCCGTTAGAAACCAATCTTTATCCAATAAAATCGCTTCTTACAAATGTGAAAATACTCTCGGCAAGAGTACAGTGATATTGTTGATGTTCAGAGCTTTCGAACGATACACGCCATCAAACGATTCGCCTCTATGTAAGTGCCACGTGCCACTCACTAATTAACACGAAACTGATTGACACTTCCCGTTTCTGAATAATCTCGGGAGTCAATACCCGCGAATCAACAACATGTAAACACTTGCTTGTTTATACAGTCAAACTGCCCACTATATGTATTATTTTTCCTTATCCTGACTCATGCTCTTTTGCTTGTCTTCTTCTTCTTGCGAACATAGTGGAACACTTGTATCTCCTTATTTGAAGCTCCCTTCAAAATAAAATCACTAATTGGTACTCACCACGAGTTGCTCCCCTTTGTCTCCCCTGGCGGGAAAAGGTGTCGCCACCCTCTGGCCATGTGCTCCACTCTCTCCTTCTTCGCCCAGTGAGCAGGATGTGAGAGCGCCTTGTGTCTCCTTACACACATATCCTTTGATAATCTCTTAGTTTTTACCTCTCATAGATTACTATAGAGGTATAGCTAGTATCCTTTACTATTTGTATTGATTAATTATCGTATTTCTACTGTTTATTCACGTGTATTCGTGATTGTTCAGCTAGCTTTACGTTCATGAAAATCTGTACGATTTGTAGATTACGTTTTTCTGCCTCCGATCCACATGTAATATGCCCTAGTTGTTCTACGCCGTGTGCGTTTAATTCACGTTGCAGTTACTGCATTAATTTATCTCATTCTGCATTTAATAAATATCATCTTTGCGTCTTAAGACGTGCTGCAGATGGCAGAGAGTCCAGATATTCCTTCCAGTCAGCTGCTAGCGATCGACCCTCTCCCGTCTGGTGTTCTGCTAGAGACCCCTGCGGCAGAGGAACGTGGGACGCAGTCCGTTACCTCGAAGAAACGACCGGCCTCCCCAGACATCCCGTCATTGCAGACTAAGTCTAAGAGGGCCTCATCGTCGTCTCAACGCAGATTGAGGACACCCAGGGCAGCGCAGACTTCCAAAGGGAAATCTACGAAGACAGCAAGAACTTTCTCAGCCGAGATCGTTCCAGCAGCAGAGTTGGGCCTCTACGATGATCAGCCGATAATCATCCCCGACTTACGGCAGAAGAAGACCGGTGTCAGCGACTGTGACTTCTGCAGAGATCTCCATGCAGCCTGATGCCTCTACACCGGCGTCAGACGTCATTGATGTGAACCCCATCGCAGAAAAGACGCCCGGCGACTTCGCTACAGATCATCCCAGAAGACATGATGCGGCAGATTATGAACATCATGGAGGACCACTACAAACTCGCGCAAGCGAAGCGTCCGAAAGTTTGCCGCCGAAGGCTCCAACGTGAACAGCACCCCAGAGGCACCCCCGTCAACGTAGCAGCCAAGACGATGTCACCTTCGCGAAGGAAGTCCGCACCACCTTGACGAAGGACCTAGATGTACAGCCTCGCTAAGGCCTTTCTATGGCGGAGAGATCATCACCATCTTCGATTTCATCTCTAGATATGGACTCAGACCATCAGACATCACGGAAGCCTTCGCGAAGGTCATATCATCGATCCCGGACCGGGACGCAAAATGAAGCTTCTGGCGAAGGCATTCAGCGAAGACACATATGATTCCCAGATCTTCATCGTCTAGAAGAACATCGAGGGACTGCCGAAGAGCTTGCCGAGCGAAGCTATCAACATTCACCTCACAAGTCTCCCGAAGATCATCCCATAGGCGATCTCCACTCCTTCATCACCAGGTCGATCACCCATCAGATCTCCCACATAGGCGCTACAAGTCAACTCGATAGATCGCTACAAACCTCATCAGATATTCAGATAGCTACGCGCAGTCCCGAAGAGCATCTACAATTTATTAATGATGATGGTTTTGAGGATGATGGAGGAATCATATTTTCTGATGCAGAGATACGCGATTGGATGGTCAATAACCTAGATCTCACATCACCATCTAAAAGTGGCAATACAGCTCAGGCGTATTTGATGAAGGAAGATGATCCAGATGCAATCACTCTACCCCGATCGACCCCGATTAGCGGCAGTGCCACAGAATCTAGATGCAGCTTTCCAGAAAGCTACGAAAGTTCAGATACCACATCTACCCAACTTTTCAGCCAAGAAGTTCTCCCGATAACATGGACTCCTTCTACAAGGCCCAGGACATCGATGAGAACTATAAGATCATCAGCGATGTAAAGAACAAGATTTACAAGATGGATGATCATAAGTTGGCTCATATAGAAACCATGACGAAGGCGTTATGTTCTTTGGGTTAAATAGATCTAGGACGATCAATGAGACTCTTATTACTAGATTCGAGGGATTCCACGACGGAAGATGATAGAATGATTTATTCTGCCTTACTTATGCAAAAGAAAGATCAGCAGTTTTAACGGATCATCTTACATCTGTTTCAGCAGCATTGACCTTAGCTCGTCGTCAAGGCCTCCTAGCCTCCTGTAATTGGGGAGAACTTTACAGCCCCACTTTTATACAGCCCAGTGGTCGACAACATCCATCTTTGACGGAGAAATCGACAAGGTCGCCAAGGAAGTCTCTAAGGATTCCAGGGAAGTCCTTATGATTAGATCGATGGACACACTAGCCAGCGCCATTCGTCAGACTTCACAAAGATACTCAGGCAGATCTAAGTTCACGGGCCTACAAAGAGCAAGAGACAGGAAGATAGCCAGCTCTAGAGGTAAAGATTCTTTAAAGTAAGCCCATATGGCAACTATAGAGGAGGATCAGGAAGAGGCAGGACACCCAGAGGTTCCGCAATTATAGGCAGCTGAAACACAGGTTCGGGAGCGACTGGAGTCTTCCACCCCAGCCGTTCCAGTACAACCAGCTCAAGTGGGTGGGGACTCCAACTACACTGGGAAAACTGGGGAATACTGCAAGATCCTTACGTCTCCAACATTATTCAACACGGATTTCGTGATCCCTCTACTGGACAAGCCTCCGCTGACAATCAAACCCCCAAGTTCGGTTACAAAAGCAACAACTACCAAAGATAAAAAAGAGGCTGTCTCATCACTCCTATCCAAACAGGCCATAGAAGTAATAGATCAAGCAAACGTCGAACCAGGTTTCTACTCCCCAGTTTTCCTAGTTCCCAAGAAAAACTCCACGGAGAAATACAGACTCATCTACAACATGAGCTTTTTCAACAAGAACTATCACGCAAACCACCGAAGTTTTAAGCATGATACATTTACCTCAGTTCACGCCAGATGATTAGGCCCTATGGACTACATGGGCAGCATAGATCTACAGGATGCCTACTTGCACATCCCCATTCATCCCGATTCCAGGAAATACCTACGATTTACTCTAGAAGGGCTACATTACCAGTGGAAAGTACTCCCCATTCGAATATCATCAGCCCCTGGCTATTCAATGGAGGATAGCGAAACCGATTATCAAATTTCTACATCGTCAAGGGCTACGCGGTGCGTTTTACCTCGACTGACGGGATACAAGTAGATCAAGATCCACTGCGTCTCAAACTACAGTTAAATTACATCATAAAGCTACTAACACAACTAGGTTGGTTAGTAAACTTCACGCAAGTCGGACCTAGTACCATCGCGAAGACCTACAGTTCCTAGGTATTCGATTCATCACAAATCGCGAACCGTATTATGGTACCAGAAGACCGTTGGCTCAAGATACAACAGACCATTCCACCAGCTCTACTCTCTCCGTTACCACTAAGCGACAATGGCAGAGCCTACTAGGTCTTCTCACATCAGCCCAAGACATGACTGTCACAGGCAGATTACAGTTACGCCCCTACAGGTCCTCATCAACGCACATCTCAACGATGTACAACCATTCAGTCTACCGAAACATCTCAGACCACATCTACTATGGTGGACCAAGGAATCGAATGTCCGCGAAGGGATTTGTTTAGCAGAGCAGGAATACAAAACCCATCTGTATGTAGGCAATGCCACTCCAAGGTTGGGGAGCCTCATCTCACCAACCACACGATATCAGGGTTATGGAATCAGCAAGAATGCAAACTCCATATAAACAGTCTAGAAATGAAAGCTGTAATCAGCGCCATTCTACATTGGAGCACATTTCTACAAATGCGGCGCCTAATGATCCATACAGACAATTCGACAGTGGCGTTCTACATAAACAAGCAAGGCTCAACGAGATCGATGAACCTTTTGAACCTAAGTTTTCAACTGTTCGATTTAATACAAGATCTAAATCTACATGTCAAAGCAGTGCACATTCCCCGAGCCAGAAATATGCTAGCAGGCGTTCTCTCTAGGCCTCATCTACCATCACCGACAGAGTGGATGATCAACCGGAAATTTTTGCACAGATAATCAAGCAATTAGGAGCTAAGCTAATAGACCTATTAAGCCACGCAGCGATTCAACAATCAGCTACCGACATTCGTGGTCACCAGTCCCAGACCCCAAGCTTGGGCAACGGACGCTCTAAGTCTATCATGGAAGGCCTCAATGCGTGCGGCGTTTCGCCGCCAGCAATAATACCTCAAGTATTACAGAAAATCAGACAAACACAGAGCCTACAACTCACTTTGGTCGCGCCCTACTGGCCGGCCAGAAGCGTGGTTTCCCATACTAATTCAAGAAATCGGTCAACCAACACTGGAGCTACCCAAGCCGCGCAAAACCTGTTAATTCATCCTCACACCAAACAAGTGCACGGAAACCCAGCAATGTTCCAACTACGCATTATGGACTGTATACAAATGTGTTTAAACAAGAGAGGATATTCTGCCAGGGCGGCAAAAGCAGTCACGCTGCAACGCGCTACGTTACTCAACTTCGTGGCAATGCGGCGACAAGTGGCACAGTTTCAAAAAATTATGCAACAAAGAAAGGGTTTACAGCAAGAGAGGCTTCTACAACCTCAAGTGGCAGACTATTTGTGTTACCTACGCCAAAACAAACATTTAAAAGGTTCAACGATATCAACATATCTTGCCGCTTAGCTCTGTAATCACCATGAGAACGGGTGTCAAATTGACAAGATCTCCAGAGTTACTGGCCTTACTACATGAGCTTTCGATTGGAGGACCAAAAGCGGAAGTTCCACGCCCAGCTTGGGATCTGAATGTAGTGTTACAACACCTCCGCAGTGAGGTCTATGAACCCCAGAATCGACAAACTTTGAATTTCTCTCACAGAAAACATTGTTTCTGCTATCGCTAGCCACAGCAGCAAGAATGTCTGAAATTCAGCTCTGGATTCGAGAGGATACAGTTTGATGACAATCATAACAGCGCACCTCGGATTAAGATGGGATTTCATTGCAAAGAATCAACTGCCAGGTCAACCAGACAGATTATTCCACATCCCGGCGCTATCCTCTATTTCTCGGATCACAAGATACACAAGACCTATCACTGTGTCCGTAAGAGCCCTCAAAGTTTATTTCTGACGATCCAAAACTAGGAGAAGATTTCTCAAGCGTTTATTCATCCCTTTATCGCCTCTGAATCAAACAGAAGTGTCACGGACCACAATATCTATTTGGATAAGGACTGTCATTCTCCGTGCCTACAAGGCAGCAGGCTTGGACCCACCAACAGCATCAAATCCACATGAGATCAGGGCACTGGCCTCTACCCTCGCCCTACACGGTAACTGTTCCTTGAACACGATTATGGAAGGATGCTATTGGAAATCTAACATGGTATTTGCTAATCACTACCTAAGAGACATCACTACAGAAGATGTCTCTGGCATTCACCATTTTGGGACCACTGGTCCTCGCTCAGCAACTGACAGTCCCTCAGTAGGCGTTAAAATATTAGCCTCACAAGATTAATATGTATTTTATACATACTCATCTAGCTTATAACTCTAAGGAGTTTTAGGGCTATGTATATATGTTCAGCTTAAGTATTCTACCTTAAGCATATACTTGGATATAGTCAATTTCAGTGCCTCTATCAGAGTCACCTATATATATATATATATAATTTATATGTATTGTTCAATATATTCATAATGTAATTCCCCTTTAATGGCTTTATATAACCTATGGTTTTCTTTATACAGGATACATCCTAAATCTAAGACTTCATGAAGTTCCCGTAGGGGATATTACAGTATATCTATACAAAATCACTAATTATAAATCCAAAGTATTCTGTTACCTACCTCGTTCAGGTAGGATGCTACAAGCAAAGAGCATGAGTCAGGATAAGGAAAAATATGTAATTTTAGAGTAAAATTGATATTTTATGCTTATCCTGACTCATGAGGTTAGCCCTCCCATCCTCCCCACATAACACTTTGGATTTCCCTGTAAATTCAAGTGTTGGGCTCGCTAAATCAGGAGAGAGTGGAGCACATGGCCAGAGGGTGGCGACACCTTTTCCCGCCAGGGGAGACAAAGGGGAGCAACTCGTGGTGAGTACCAATTAGTGATTTTATTTTGAAGGGAGCTTCAAATAAGGAGATACAAGTGTTCCACTATGTTCGTAAGAAGAAGAAGACAAGCAAAAGAGCATGAGTCAGGATAAGTATAAAATATCAATTTTACTCTAAAAATTACATAATTACTCTAGGTAAGTGTTACGTACCACTCACTGATTAACAAGATACTGATTAACACTTCCCGTTTCTGAATAATCTCGGGAGTCAGAGCGAATTGTGTTGTTACATCATTTGGACCTAATTGCATCAAAGGGTTACGTCGTCTTTCAGGTGCCGGTTTTTACAGATTCGTTTTCATAACAACTTGTTCGTTGGGACTGAAAAACAATGCCGATATCCTGAATAGACAGATGCCGATGTTTACAGAAGTTTCTAAATGATAATAACGTGCATTTCTGCCGGGGACTGAAACTTTGTGCCGATGTAGACAGAGTGCCGGTGTTAAGAGAGGCCGGTATTGACAGAGTCCACTGTAATTAGGGACAATGTTGAAATGGTATTTACAAGTATTAGGAACATTGCTTGCAAACACAGTAAAATCAATAGGGAAATCCTAAAACTTTAAAGTGTTGACATTGAAGTCATTTCAAGCTATGTACATTCTCAAATCTTTGCGGACGTTAAACGAGTGTAGTGTATTGAACGGTATCCTTTTACATGTTTAGACCTTATCATAAAATGACCTTATAATTTGATATGAAAACAGTTCATCCAACAAGTCAAAGATTAAGAATGAATAAACTGAGAATTGTTTCAGTTGTCTGCTTGTCTCTGTCTGTGCTGTGATGAAAGATAGCTCTTACCAGGTATTCCTGGTTTTGTCCCCAGTATTCAACTTATCATATATATACACATGACATAGCTCAGATAAAATCAGCATGATTAAAATATTAAACTGAAGTTGTGTATAAATCAGTGTTTGCACGTTTAGTGTATTGATTACAAAATGGTCATTATAACTGTCTGTATTTGTTTTGCTGGTTCTATCTTTTCAGCCCTTAAACTTTACTACATCACCATTTCAACATAATTTAATTAGTAAAACTCAGTTGTAAATATTTTGTCTTGTTTTGACAGGGCTGTTTTTGGATACGAGGGCAATACTCCTGTGCTGAAGGTCTATGAAAGTGGTGGTATGTACTTATGGAGCGTGGTTATCTATTAGTATTAAACCCTGAGAGCATCTGAGTTGGAATTGGTCTTGAGCAACCTATGCTTGTCTTGAGAAGCGACTAATAGTTGATTTCATCATATCCCATTTGGGTAGATTAATGCTCATAATCTCAATCACTTGAATGCTCAGACTTAATTATTTAAGACCGGAATATTGCTGAATGTAGTGTTTGAATATAGTGGAATATTGCTTGCAGTTTACTGAATATATTTACATGAATATTTGCTTGAATATAGCTGAAATATTGCTGTGATATTGCTGTAGTATAGCTTGAATATTCCTGCAGTATTGTTCAATATAGCTCAAATATTCCTGCAATATTGTTCAATATAGCTCAAATATTTATTACATATTGCAGAAATATAGCTTGAATAAAGCTGAAATATTGCAGGAATATGGCTTGAAAATAGCTGAAAGATTGTTGGGACATTGCTTGAATATACTTTATTCAGGGATATTGCTTCAATATGGCTGGAACAAAGCTGGAATATCGGTAGAATATTGGAATTGTAGTGCATGTCAACATGCAGTAAGTGGCTTATTGATAAGAAGACTGCATGCCATGACAGACTTGGTGTCGCACGCATACACACACACACACACACACACACACACTGTTCAGGCTCTTCTTTTGGCCTGATTTTGGATTTGTCGTTTCCTGCACAGATTTATACAGTGTTCCTGAATTTGAATTGCTTTTATTTGTATTGCTTGTGTTCAGTGATCACTGTCATGTTTCTGTTGTGTAGAGGGAGGTATTGAAGAGATGACCGAGGAACTGAACAGTGGGAAGATCATGTATGGCTACTGTCGTGTGAAGGACCCCAACACTGATCTCCCCAAATATGTGCTCATCAACTGGGTAGGTTCATCACCATATGGATCAGTATTATGCAGTTATAATCCAATCTACCAATGGGGATGGGAGGACACTGGCTGCTTGTCAAGTTATATGATCCTAATAGCTAAAAGAAACATATCTGATATATTAAGGTTGTATTACAGTATTTGACATATTTTTCCTGAAAGAAAGTAAATAATATTCTGTTTTATTTTCAGCAAGGAGAGGGTGCTCCTGATTCCATGAAGTTAAAGTGTACCCAACATTTACGGGATGTCTCAAACTTTGTCAAGGTAGGCAGTCATTGAAAAAAGCCCATTTGATTCTTTTATCTGACATTAACCACCATGTCCCTCCAATGTCTATCAAACACCATGTCCCTCCAATGTCTATCAAACACCATGTCCCTCCAATGTCTATCAACCACCATGTCCCTCCAATGTCTATCAAACACCATGTTCCTCCAATGTCTATCAAACACCATGTGCCTCCAATGTCTATCAAACACCATGTCCCTCCAATGTCTATCAAACACCATGTGCCTCCAATGTCTATCAAACACCATGTCCCTCCAATGTCTATCAAACACCATGTCCCTCCAATGTCTATCAAACACCATGTCCCTCCCAATGTCTATCAAACACCATGTCCTCCAATGTCATGTATCAAACATCAAACACCATGTCCCTCCAATGTCTATCAAACACCATGTCCTCCAATGTCTATCAAACACCATGTCCCTCCAATGTCTATCAAACAATGTCCCTCCATGTCTATCAAACACCATGTCCTCCAATGTCTATCAAACACCATGTCCCTCCAATGTCTATCAAACACATATGTCCTCCAATGTATATCAAACACTATGTCCCTCCAATGTCTATCAAACACCATGTCCCTCCAATGTCTATCAAACACCATGTGCCTCCAATGTCTGTCAAACACCATGTCCCTCCAATGTCTATCAAACACCATGTCCCTCCAATGTCTATCAAACACCATGTGCCTCCAATGTCTATCAAACACCATGTCCTTCCAATGTCTATCAAACACCATGTCCCTCCAATGTATATCAAACACTATGTCCCTCCAATGTCTATCAAACACCATGTCCCTCCAATGTCTATCAAACACCATGTCCCTCCAATGTCTATCAAACACCATGTCCCTCCAATGTCTATCAAACACCATGTCCCTCCAATGTCTATCAAACACCATGTCCCTCCAATGTCTATCAAACAGTATGTCCCTCCAATGTCTATCAAACACCATGTGCCTCCAATGTCTGTCAAACACCATGTCCCTCCAATGTCTATCAAACACCATGTCCCTCCAATGTATATCAAACACTATGTCCCTCCAATGTCTATCAAACACCATGTCCCTCCAATGTCTATCAAACACCATGTGCCTCCAATGTATATCAAACACTATGTCCCTCCAATGTCTATCAAACACCATGTCCCTCCAATGTCTATCAAACACCATGTCCCTCCAATGTCTATCAAACACCATGTCCCTCCAATGTCTGTCAAACACCATGTCCCTCCAATGTCTATCAAACACCATGTCCCTCCAATGTCTGTCAAACACCATGTGCCTCCAATGTCTGTCAAACACCATGTCCCTCCAATGTCTACTGTATCCATACAAATATTTGAATGTAGTAATCACAAGTTGTGTTGACCGATTCTTCAGACCATCCATGTGACGGTGAATGCCCGTACAGATGATGATGTCATTGAAGATGACATAATCAACAAGGTTGCAAAGTCTTCTGGTGCTAACTACAGCTTCCATAAGGAGAAGGCAAAACCCACTGAAGCCCCCAAACCTGTGGTAAGTCGTTGTTCATACTGTAACAGACCTCAGATATCCCACACCTGTTAAGTCATGGTTCAGACTTCAACAGACATTGAAGCATCCACACCTGTGGTAGGTCATTGTTAAACACTTATATAACAAATGTCCAAGTTGAGACTGTAACAGACATTGAAGGACCCACACCTGTCGTAGGTCATTGTTAAACACTTATATAACAATGTCCAAGTTGAGACTGTAACAGGCATTGAAGCATCCACACCTGTGGTAGGTCATTGTTAAACACTTATATAACAATGTCCAAGTTAAGACTGTAACAGGCATTGAAGCATCCACACCTGTGGTAGGTCATTGTTAAACACTTATATAACAATGTCAAAGTTGAGACTGTAACAGACATTGAAGGACCCACACCTGTGGTAGGTCATTGTTGAACACTTATATAACAATGTCAAAGTTAAGACTGTAACAGGCATTGAAACATCCACACCTGTGGTAGGTCATTGTTAAACACTTATATAAGAATGTCCAAGTTGAGACTGTAACAGACATTGAAGCACCCACACCTGTGGTAGGTCATTGTTGAACATTTATATGATAATGTCCTAGTTGAGACTGTAACATACATTGAAGCATCCACACCTGTGGTAGGTTATTGTTAAACACTTATATAACAATGTCCAAGTTGAGACTGTAACAGACATTGAAGCACCCACACCTGTGGTAGGTCATTGTTGAACATTTATATGATAATGTCCTAGTTGAGACTGTAACATACATTGAAGCATCCACACCTGTGGTAGGTCATTGTTGAACACTTATATAACAATGTCCAAATTGAGACTGTAACGGACATTGAAGAACCACACCAGTATAGACACCAAATTTGTTACGTTACCACTACAGTAGCAGATACTAATATCACAGATACTCCTCTTCCAGTGGAAACTAAAATATGATGGAATGCTATTTTTCAGGGCTCTGTTTATCAGAAAACCGTGGCAGCCAAAGACATCAAGACTTCCTCCAGAGATAAGTTCTGGGCCAAAACAGAGGTAAAGCGATATAGGTGTCAGTCTGACAGCATGTTCCTAGAATTACCTCTTTAGATTCTTGTGCAAGGAATTGTGTGTATGAATGGTCCGTGGATATGTTCTAATAAAACCAGGACTCCCTTGTCTTTGTAGGGGACCTTTCAGAGAGTACCTCAGAAATATCTACGTCCTCCATGACATTCAGTAAACAGGCTTTTAATTCCAATGAGAATATTATATTCCTTATAATACCAGGACTCCCTTGTCTAAGTAGGGGACATTGCAGAGGGTACATCGGAACATTCAACATTCTCCACGACATTCAGTAAACAGGCTTTTAATTCCAGTGAGAATAAAATTTTGTATTTAAAAACTGCAAATTATTTCCCTAATGGAAAGCTGTAGGGTTGACTGAATTTTTTTATGTAACCAGCAACATTCAGTCCAGCAATCAGGGTTTTACGTGCGTGTATGCGTCGGCGCAAGCAACGTCAGTGTGTGTGTGTGTGTGCGGCGTGTGTGTGCGTGTGTATGCAGCGTCGCGTAGTGTGTTAGCCTAGTGGTTAAAGCGTCGGCTCGTCACGCTAGAAGACCCTGGCTCGATTCCCCACATGGGTACAATGTGTGAAGCCCATTTCTGGTGTCCCCCGCCGTCATGTTGCTGGAATATTGCTAAAAGCGGGCGTAACACCAAACTCAGTCAGTCAACCCAGCAGGCAAGGCTTGATATCAAGAGTACTGAATCACTAAACCAACACCATTCAGCCCAGCAGTCCAGCAGGCGAGAGTGTATATCCTGTATAGTAATGTTAAGTAATATTGAATGGATTCCCCTCAAAGTTATTGCATTGACATTCCCTCTGGGTTGTGCTAGCCTTTTCTCCTCCGCTTCATGGACTGTTACAGACTATCCTGAGAAGAAAATAAAGGGGAGATAATTCCCTTTGGGGATATCCTGATGAGGAATAGCAGTTATGTCCCTTGACATATGCTTGGTTTGTTGTGTATCTTAATTAATATTTCCCCTTGTTATTACTGATTAGAAAGCCCTGTGTTACAGACATGAAGAGATAACAATATCACTGTGTTTAAATAACCAGGTTACTTCCTTGTGAGACATGAGTGTTACTTGTTCCAACCTGCCTGATGCAACATATTTGGGTGTGAAACTTAAAGCATAGGCATTGTTCTGTAACTGGTGGTAATATTACTCCTCAAGAGGTTTAGGAAACTGCAAGCTCATCAGTTTTATAACACTGAACAGGGAAGTGATGGTTCTGTTCGCGTGTCCCTGTATAAACAGGTAGTAATACTGTTCAATATGAACAGAAGGTGGAATTGTACCATATGAATGGCAAACCTACTAAAGTACTATTCAATATGAGTAATAAGGGAAATTTCAATATTAATAGCAATAGAACTGTTCAACATGTGGAAGTGGATTTGTTCAATTTCAGCAGCAAGTTTACTGTTCATTATATAGAAAGTGTTTTGTTCAGTATGAACAGCAAGCAGTGCTGTTCACTGAAGTAGTGCTGTTCAACATGAATAATGAGTAGAAATGTTCGATATGAACAACTAGTTATATTGGTTGGTTGGATAATAAGTATATTGTTCTAACTTCAGTAAGAACTGTAAGCATGTTCATGAAGACACCTTTTTAAATTGAAAATTGGAGAGAAATGGGTCAACAGCATTTACACAATGTTGTGATGATAACTGTTCTGTGGAAGCTAATTGAATTAAGTGGCCATATTTAAATGTTTGCAAACATCATTGTCATGCTTATTCTTTTGTTTTATGATTTGTGTTCTCTTTGTTCCCCCAGCTTGAGGTAAAGTGTTGTTCATTATTGACTGATGTTTACAAAATTCAAAGATATTTGTTTATATGTTTGAGTTTGTAAAAATCTGCATTATTATCATCACAGTTTCAGCCCATTAAACACACATCAGCAAAACCTAACCTGACTAAAGGTTTGACCAAGTTCACCATGTATTTGAAAAATCCAACCCACTGAAAACATGGAAACATTACCATGACCTCACTAACATGATCACACAACCCCATGAGTAGTTACCTCCCCTGATCTATCCCTGACATTGTACAACAGGTTTTCGGTGTAGATTCTGAAGATATTTGTCAAGTAAGAAAGTAATCAAGTAAGAAAGTAATATAATATAAAGGTTAAGGTATTGACCCCCTAACATTGGCTCTTTCGTGATAAACAACTTGATCTTGTTTTCAATTATTCACACATCAATGTCAAGATGCCAATCAAAGATGTCAGCTCTAGAATCTGTACATTACTGAGAAAGTGCAATCCCAAATGTTTCAGCTCTGTGAGGATGAAGATTACAAGGAAGCTAGGGGAAGAGTTATCATGGCTGTTTAAGACTTTCAGTGTTCCTTTCCTGTCTGAAAGAGGGTTTTGGAGGTCACAAAATGTTTAATCAGAGTTGTCTAGAGTTTACTTAAACATGATTTTGATAAGTACCACACATGACTATTGATAAGAGAGATTTTGAGGACCAGAAAGAAAGATTCTGTAGAAAGAGGTCAGACTCACACTTTCATGTTACTATTTGTCTATTTTTCATGGGCAGTGGGGTAGCCTAGTGGTTAAAGCGTTGGCTCGTCACGCCGAAGACCCGGGTTTGAATCCCCACATGGGTACAATGTGTGAAGCCCATTTCTGGTGTTCCCTGCCGTGATGTTGCTGGAATATTGCTGACAGCGGCGTAAAACCAAACTCAGTCAGTCTATTTTTCATCATGTTCATAGTGTGTACTTGGATATGTTATAATGTGTTCCTAATTAAATACTATGGCAGATAATGAACAAGAGATAACAAACTTTGTCAATGAAAAGGGGAACTTTGTAAATGACACATCATGAGAAATTTCTTTACCATTTCAATTGTATTCTTGTTAAAGTAAATGTTGTTTTATATGGAGATGAAGATTATAGTGTTCATTTGTCTTGTATGTTAAGCCAGTGTAAGAATCAATACAGTTGAAGTTTCTTGACGTTTTCTGAAACATCTTTAAGGCATGGTGTCCAAAAATTGTTTGAATATAATATGTTCGTTTATAGTTCCTCAGTATTTTGTCCTGCCATGATATTCCTGGAATATTGCTAAAAGCGGTGTTAAACGATACTCACTCACTCAATATTTTGAGTGTATACACTGTTTCTCCTCCATGTTGGATTTGTTTCCCCAGTTCCTGATAGTTAGCCTGAACCTTACCTGACCTTGAACTTGTATCTCTGACCCACAATCAATATCCCCTCACACTGCCTTTTATTCACATGACATTTAAAGTGCCAGGGGGGCGGTGGGGTAGCCTAGTGGTTAAATGTCATTGTGAAGACCCGGGTTCGAATCCCCACTTGGGTACAATGTGTGAAGCCCATTTCTGGTGTCCCCCACCGTGATGTTGCTGGAATATTGCTAAAAGCGGCGTAAAACCAAACTCAGTCAGTCAGTAAAGTGCCAGGTAGAGATGTCAGTGTGATTCTCATAGTACAGGGTTGTCTCCCTTTAAACTTACTCCTTATATGTTAATTTTGATTTGACATTCTAGATATATGATAGATTTTATTTCCATGTTATTTTTATCAATTATTTTCATTTAGTATATATTGTAAAACTTTAAAATTTGAGAATTAGTGATATGAATAATACAATCGATACTTCAAGTTATACCCATTATCATTACTTAATCCCAGCACAAATAATTTTACAGGCAAATGATTTGACTTATGTAACCATAGTAATGGTGTCAATGGTGGTTGTTGTTAACTGACAGATGGTAAAACTCAAGAGAGGGTGTAACCATGGTAACTGATGCTGGCAACTGACATATTGTTTAACCTACACATGGTGCAACTGAGGGAATATGTAATTGACATGTGGTTTAACTGATGGAATATGTAATTGACACATGGTTTAACTGATGGAATATGTAATTGGCACATGGTTTAACTGATGGAATATGTAATTGACATATGATTTTACTGATGGAATATGTAATTGACACATGGTTTAACTGATGGAATATGTAATTGACATGTGGTTTAACTGACAGATGGTTGAACTGAAATATGGTGTACTTATTCATGGTGTTACTAACAGATGGTTTAACTTAAAGATGATTTATCTGATGCATGATGTAATTGACATGATGACAGATGGTTTAACTGACAATTGACCACGTGCAATTGACAAGTGGTGCAAATGACATTGTGTAGCCGCTGGATGGTTTAAGTGACATAGGGTGTAACCCACAGATGGTGTATATGATGGTTTAACTGAAGGATGGAAAAGGTCACGGTATAGGTGGAACAGTAACGTAACTGTCAGTTTGTGCAACTGGTGGATGGTTTAACTGAAGGACGGAATAGGTTAAGGTATGGATGCAACAGTGATGTAACTGTTGGTTTGTGCAACTGGAGGACGGAATAGGTTAGGCTATAGGCGTAACAGTGACGTAACTGTCAGTTTGTGCAACTGGCGGATGGTTTAACTGGAGGATTAAATAGGTTAGGGTGTCGGTGCAACAGTGATGTAACTGTATGTTTGTGCAACTAACAGATGGTTTATGAATGGAATAGGTTAACTTAGGTTAATGCAATGATGTAACTGTCTGTTTGTGCAACTGGTGGATGGTTTAACTGGAGGACGGAATAGGTTAACCTATAGGTGCAACTGTGAAGTAACTGTCAATTTGTGCAACTGATTCACAGGTAGAGGAGAAGCAGAGACAGGAGGAAGATAAGCAGAAGAGGTTAGCAGAAGAACAAGTGTTGGATACGGCGAGGAAGGAGAGAGAGGTACTTGCATGCCTAGTACATGCACTATCTACAACTACTGGCAAACAAGGATAAGTTGGATGCGTTTACGAGAAGTAGGCGGTGCACAGCAATGAGCAAACCAATTTGGTTTGTGAAAGGTAGAGCAGATGTAGACTAGTGCACATACATTGCATGACGATCAAATTGATTCTGCGCTTAGCTGCGCACGCCTTGCTCTTAAAACTCTCACGTCGGTGTAGCAAGTCACACTACACTTGATCGGACAACCTGGGGCCCCTTCACTAACAATGACAATACATGCTAATACGGGTCAATTGTCAGGTCGGTATTCAACTTTTCCTTGTTTGCCAGTAGCATCAGCCCTGAGTGAAATTCAGGGTCACTTTGATAAACGTATTCCACAGATTAGATTATGAGACTGTAGTTCAATAAATCGGCACTTCCTTGTCAGAAGTTTTGTAGTCAAGCCTCTGTACTGAACACTTGTAACTCCAGCTGAAGGAGGCCAAGGAGAGGGACCAGAGGATGCAGGAGAAGATGAGGGCTGTACACGAGCAGAAGCGGGCTGAGAAGGAGGCTGCCACAGTGGACCGTGAGAACGAGAAGAACAGATGGGTGAGTCTGTCATAGTTAACCCCGAGCTGAGTCGATTGCTGGAGACATTTTGGAGAGTTTCATATCCTTCAATTTATGACATGCTTGTGATTTGTTCATATGGTGTGTGCTTATGATATGCTTGTGATGTGTGCTTATGGCCTGCTTGTTCTGTGTGCTTATGACATGCTTGTATTGTGTTCATATGGTGTGTGCTTATGACATGCTTGTGATGTGTGCTTATGGCATGCTTGTTCTGTGTTCATATGGTGTGTGCGTATGACATGCTTGTGATGTGTGCTTATGTCATGCTTGTTCTGTGTTCATATGGTGTGTGCTTATGACATGCTTGTGATGTGTGCTTATGTCATGCTTGTTCTGTGTTCATATGGTGTGTGCTTATGACATGCTTGTGATGTGTGCTTATGTCATGCTTGTTCTGTGTTCATATGGTGTGTGCTTGATATGCTTGTGATGTGTGCTTATGTCATGCTTGTTCTGTGTTCATATGGTGTGTGCTTATGTCATTCTTGTGATGTGTGCTTATGATATGCTTGGGATGTGTGCTTATGGCAAGCTTGTGATGTGTGCTCATGCCATGCTTGTGATGTGTGCATAATGTCATGCTTGTGATGTGTGCTTATGTCATGCTTGTGATGTGTGCTTATGTCATGCTTGTTCTGTGTTCATATGGTGTGTGCTTGATATGCTTGTGATGTGTGCTTATGTCATGCTTGTTCTGTGTTCATATGGTGTGTGCTTATGATATGCTTGGGATGTGTGCTTATGGCAAGCTTGTGATGTGTGCTCATGCCATGCTTGTGATGTGTGCTAATGTCATGCTTGTGATGTGTGCTTATGTCATGCTTGTGATGTGTGCTCATCTTATGTCTGCTTGTGATGTGTGCTTATGTCATGCTTGTGATGTGTGCTTATGTCATGCTTGTGATGTGTGCTTATGTCATTCTTGTGGTGTGTGCGTATGTCATTCTTGTGATGTGTGCTTATGTCATTCTTGTGATGTGTGCGTATGTCATGCTTGTGATGTGTTCTTATGTCATGCTTGTGATGTGTGCGTATGTCATGCTTGGGATGTGTGCGTATGTCATGCCTGTTATGTGTGCTTATGTCATTATTGTGATGTTCGGTTATGACATGCTTGTGATGCGTGCTTATGTCATTATTGTGATGTGTGCTTATGACATGCTTGGGATGTGTGCTTATGTCATGTTTGTGATGTGTGCTTATGTCATGTTTGTGATGTGTGCTTATGACATGCTTGTGATGTGTGCTTATGTCATTCTTGTGATGTTTTCTTATGTCATGCTTGGGATGTGTGCTTATGTCATGCTTGTGATGTGTGCTTATGACATGCTTGTGATGTGTGCTTATGACATTCTTGTTATGTGTGCGTATGTCATGCTTGTGATGTGTGGTTATGTCATGCTTGGGATGTGTGGTTATGACATGCTTGTGATGCGTGCTTATGTCATTCTTGTGATGTGTGCTTATGTCATGCTTGTGATGTGTGCTTATGTCATGCTTGGGATGTGTGCGTATGTCATGCTTGTGATGTGTGGTTATGTCATTCTTGTGATGTGTGGTTATGTCATTCTTGTGATGTGTGCGTATGTCATGCTTGTGATGTGTGCTTATGTCATGCTTGGGATGTGTGCTTATGTCATGCTTGTGATGTGTGCGTATGTCATGCTTGTGATGTGTGGTTATGTCATGCTTGTGATGTGTGGTTATGTCATTCTTGTGATGTGTGGTTATGTCATTCTTGTGATGTGTGGTTATGTCATTCTTGTGATGTGTGGTTATGTCATGCTTGTGATGTGTGGTTATGTCATGCTTGTGATGTGTGCTTATGTCATGCTTGTGATGTGTGCTTATGTCATGCTTGTGATGTGTGGTTATGTCATTCTTGTGATGTGTGGTTATGACATGCTTGTGATGTGTGCTTATGTCATGCTTGTGATGTGTGCTTATGTCATGTTTGTGATGTGTGCTTATGACATGCTTGTGATGTGTGGTTATGACATGCTTGTGATGCGTGCTTATGTCATTATTGTGATGTGTGCTTATGACATGCTTGGGATGTGTGGTTATGACATGCTTGTGATGCGTGCTTATGTCATTCTTGTGATGTGTGCTTATGTCATGCTTGTGATGTGTGCTTATGTCATGCTTGGGATGTGTGGTTATGACATGCTTGTGATGCGTGCTTATGTCATTCTTGTGATGTGTGCTTATGTCATGCTTGTGATGTGTGCTTATGTCATTCTTGTGATGTGTGCGTATGTCATGCTTGTGATGTGTGCTTATGTCATGCTTGTGATGTGTGCTTATGTCATTCTTGTGATGTGTGCGTATGTCATGCTTGGGATGTGTGCTTATGTCATTCTTGTGATGTATGCGTATGTCATGCTTGTGATGTGTGCTTATGTCATTCTTGTGATGTGTGGTTATGTCATGCTTGTGATGTGTGCTTATGTCATGCTTGTGATGTGTGCTTATGACATGCTTGTGATGTGTGCTTATGACATTCTTGTGATGTGTGCGTATGTCATGCTTGCGATGTGTGGTTATGTCATGCTTGGGATGTGTGGTTATGACATGCTTGTGATGCGTGCTTATGTCATTCTTGTGATGTGTGCTTATGTCATGCTTGTGATGTGTGGTTATGTCATGTTTGTGATGTGTGCTTATGTCATTATTGTGATGTGTGCTTATGTCATGTTTGTGATGTGTGCTTATGTCATGCTTGTGATGTGTGGTTATGTCATTCTTGTGATGTGTGCTTATGTCATTATTGTGATGTGTGCTTATGTCATGTTTGTGATGTGTGCTTATGACATGCTTGTGATGTGTGCTTATGTCATGCTTGTGATGTGTGCTTATGTCATGCTTGTGATGTGTGCTTATGTCATTCTTGTGATGTGTGCTTATGTCATGCTTGTGATGTGTGCTTATGTCATTCTTGTGATGTGTGCTTATGTCATGCTTGGGATGTGTGGTTCTGACATGCTTGTGATGTGTGCTTATGTCATGCTTGTGATGTGTGCTTATGTCATGTTTGTGATGTGTGCTTATGACATGCTTGTGATGTGTGCTTATGTCATGCTTGTGATGTGTGCTTATGTCATGCTTGTGATGTGTGCTTATGTCATTCTTGTGATGTGTGCTTATGTCATGCTTGGGATGTGTGGTTCTGACATGCTTGTGATGTGTGCTTATGTCATGCTTGTGATGTGTGCTTATGTCATGTTTGTGATGTGTGCTTATGACATGCTTGTGATGTGTGCTTATGTCATGCTTGTGATGTGTGCTTATGTCATGTTTGTGATGTGTGCTTATGACATGCTTGTGATGTGTGCTTATGTCATTCTTGTGATGTGTGCTTATGTCATGCTTGTGATGTGTGCTTATGTCATTCTTGTGATGTGTGCTTATGTCATGCTTGTGATGTGTGCTTATGTCATGCTTGGGATGTGTGCTTATGTCATGCTTGTGATGTGTGCTTATGTCATGCTTGTGATGTGTGCTTATGTCATGCTTGTGATGTGTGCTTATGTCATTCTTGTGATGTGTGCTTATGTCATTCTTGTGATGTGTGCTTATGTCATGCTTGTGATGTGTGCTTATGTCATGCTTGTGATGTGTGCGTATGTCATGCTTGTGATGTGTGCTTATGTCATGCTTGTGATGTGTGCTTATGTCATGCTTGTGATGTGTGCGTATGTCATTCTTGTGATGATGCGTTATGTCATGCTTTGTGATGTGTGCTTGTGATGTCTTATGTCTGCTTGTGATGTGTGCTTATGTCATGCTTTGGGATGTGTGCTTATGTCATGCTTGTGATGATGTGTATGTCATTCTTGTGATTCTTGCGTTATGTGTGCTTGGGATGTGTGCTTATGTCATTCTTGTGATGTGTGCGTATGTCATGCTTGGGATGTGTGCTTATGTCATTCTTGTGATGTGTGCTTATGTCATGCTTGTGATGTGTGCGTATGTCATGCTTGTGATGTGTGCTTATGTCATTCTTGTGATTTGTGCTTATGACATGCTTGGGATGTGTGCTTATGTCATTCTTGGGATGCTTTCCTATGATGTGTTTTTGTGACATTATTGTGATGTCCATATGATGTCATGACATGTGACGTCCTTGTATTAACCAGGAGAAAGAGCAGCAAGAGTTATACAAGGATGATGAGCAAAAGAGGAAGAGAAGCGAGTCCCTGCGGAAAGAAAGAGCGCAGGTAGGACTTCCTGTCATAAGGATCTGGTGACAATATTGAAACATTCTGATATCTGCATGTGTACCTTTGAGGTTCTTGGCATGTTAAATTGACCCCATTGTCACAAGAATACATCCACTTCTGTGGTGTCCGTTTTCTATATTGACTTTTCAGACATTTTTTCCAATTCTTCTAAGTATGTAATTTAATACCAGCATGTATGAGGACCTAGATGAAGCCCTCACTTAGACTATGTCATGGTATGCACAAGAACAATTACTATGAATTAGGGTGGTTGGGTGGCCTAATGGTTATAGCGTTCGCTCATCACGCCAAGGACCCTGGATCTGTCCCCACAACGTGTGAATGCCATTTCTGGTATCCCCCACCGTGATATTACTCTAGTATTGCTAAAAGCGGTGTAAAACTAATCTCACTCACTCACAAGAACAATTACTGTATTCATCAGTTTATGACATAAACTTAAAATTGTCGTGTTAAATTCAAAACTTAATACTGCCATCAAACTTTGAATGTATTCAGGAGGCTGCTGCTCTTGGATCTTCCACTGGTAGTGCGAGAGACTTCTTCAAACAGAAGAGTGTGGAGAGGCCGGACGACGGCCCCCGAAAGGGACCACCACCTCCTAGGTAATGATACTTTTTTGGTTTACTAGTGAAATTGACCAACTGGAGCCAAAACTCACAAGCAGACAGCACATAAAAAGGTGGAAATGTATTTTTATTTGCCTTTTCCAGCATTCCAGCACTGCATAAATAACATCCAATTTAAGCAGTATTGTGCATCACTAAGTTGATTTTATTTTGATTGAGTGAAATAATCTGAAATCTATGGAATATAACAAGTGTGTAGTAAGCATACTTCAGAAAATTCTGAATCAAGTCATTGTCTATATTTCTCATTTAATCTAATACCAAAGTTAATTGCTGAAGTTAAATTCATTTTAGTCCAACAGCCTCCATATTGACACAGCAGTGCCTGTTTCACAAAGCAATGGCTGCCGTAAGCCAATGTATGGCAATTACAATCAGCTGAGCGTTATGATAGCTATATTCACTGAGAATCTATTATCTCCCATGTGTAGGAAAATCCGTCAAGGTTTATGGTCTGGAGGGGACCAGGAAGATGAGGAGCCACAGAGAAAGCAGCCAATCAAATTGCCCACTGAAGAGCCGTCTTCCCCACCCCCTAGTAAGCCAGTTCGAAAGTCTGATCCAGAACCAGAACCAGTTTATCAACCAGAGCCAGAACCAGAACCAGTTTATCAACCAGAACCAGAACCAGAACCAGAGCCTGCACCTCAGCTACCTGAAACCAGGAACTTGTTACAACAGAATCTGCCCCCAAGACAAGACTCAGATGAAGAACAGGAAGAAGATCAGAACTGGGATGGTAAAGTTGATGTTTGGGTTGACGTCTGTGGGAAATATATTAAGTGTGTCTTTTCTATAACAGAACTGTGGTGATACAGATTAACTTTGGGATATTTCTGTGTAACTGCGGGGCCTGTGAAAATGACAGAACTGGGGCAGTATGATTTGGTTGTTGTTTAACGCTGCATTCAGCAATGTTCAAGCTATATGGCAGCGGTCTGTAATTTAATTGAGTCTGGACCAGACAATCCAGTGATTAACAGCAGGATCATCGATCTACGCAATTGGGATACAATGACGTGTCAACTGAGCTAGCGAGTCTGACCACCCGATCCCGTTAGTCGCCTCTTACGGCAAGCATGGGTTACTGAAAACCAGTTCTAGCCCAGATCTTCACAGGTAGGGCGATAGGGAGGTATTCAGTATACATCTACAGTGAAACCTGTCTAAACCGGCACCCCACGGTACCGAAATAGAAAATGCCGGTTTAGACAGGGTGCCGGATTAGGCAGTGACGATCATTTTCCAACATGACTGTTATTTACACTTGTCAGTCTCTCAATCTAGCGTGCCGAGAGGAGTGTATTGGATTAAGGGACCCTGATTGGACTGCTCATACCCATGCCGGCTTAGAGCATTTGATTCATTGCGCAATCACTTCTTCCTGATTATCCAGTGTGCCAAGATTATTAATTAGTGTATTGGATTATGGGACCTTAATTGGACTGCTCATACCCATGCCGGTTTGGACAGTGTTAATTACAGTTAAAATTGCTTGTTGGGACTGGAAAGTCGTGCCGGAATACGGAATAGACAGGTGCCGGATTAGACAATGTTTTAATGAACATGATATCGTTGTAAAATGGCGGACCAAAATTTTATGCCGGTTTTGACAGTGTGTCGGGTTAGACAGGTGCCGGTGTTGGCAGGTTTCACTGTATATAACTGTGGATTGACCAATGGACACGACAGTACTTGCTTGATGGAGAGGAACCTTTTGGCGGGGCATCTTACTACCTTTGGGGCAGATTGATTTGTGAACAGAACAGAATTGAGAAGAGCCTTTCTGTCCTGAAACACTTGTACATATACAGCAGTCATCTATTATTGTCCCCCGCCGCAATGCGTACGTATGTTGATATCTCATGGACTGTTGTACCCAGTGTCAAATTTGGTGACAGCATACATTGGGGGATTACGCAGACACCAGTTGATTTGGTCTTCAAGGTCACCACGACACTTTTCAAACTCTTCTTAACGCGACATCTCAAGAACTGTTATAGCCAATGTCTTCAAATTTAGTGACAGCATACATTGGGGGATTACGCAGACACCAGTTGATTTGGGTGACCTTGACCTTATCTTCAAGGTCACCACGACACTTCAAACTTTTGTTGAACTTTTGTTGAAATTTGGTGACAGCCTACATTGGGGGATTACGCAGACACCAGTTGATTTGGTCTTCAATGTCACCACGACACTTTTCAAACTCTTCTTAACGCGACATCTCAAGAACTGTTATAGCCAATGTCTTCAAATTTAGTGACAGCATACATTGGGGGATTACGCAGACACCAGTTGATTTGGTCTTCAAGGTCACCACGACACTTTTCAAACTCTTCTTAACGCGACATCTCAAGAACTGTTATAGCCAATGTCTTCAAATTTAGTGACAGCATACATTGGGGGATTACGCAGACACCAGTTGATTTGGGTGACCTTGACCTTATCTTCAAGGTCACCACGACACTTCAAACTTTTGTTGAACTTTTGTTGAAATTTGGTGACAGCCTACATTGGGGGATTACCCAAACACCATTCGATATTGGTGACCTTGACCTTATCTTCAAGGTCACCACGACACATTGACCACTTTTCTAACTCTTGTTAGCGCGATATCTCATGGACTGTTGTACCCAATGTCTTCAAATTTTGTGACAGCCTACATTGGGGTATTACATCGACACCAGTTTATTTGGGTGACCTTGACCTTATCTTCAAGGTCACCACGACACATCGACCACTTTTCTAACTCTTGTTAGCGTGATATCTCATGGACTGTTGTACCCAATGTCTTCAAATTTGGTGACAGCCTACATTGGGGTATTACATCGACACCAGTTTATTTGGGTGACCTTTGACCTTATCTTCAAGGTCACCACGACACTTTGACGGCTTTTCAAACTTATTTAAATGTGATATCTCATAAAACATTGCACCCAATGTTTTCAAGTATGTTGACAGCATACATTGGGTGATTATGCAGACACCAGTCATTTCAGGCATCTTATATGTGCCCCCCCCCCCAAAGTAGTAAATATAGATATTTAATTCTTTAGCAGGGGGGACATTGCCATTTCAGTGGCAAACACTTGTTTAAAATTTTACATCCAACTTGAAGAGCAGTACATGGGAAACATTTGAGTGCATCATCTCAACAGTTCTCTCATTAGTGAAGAAATTAACAAGAATAACAGTTGGTTGGCAATTACATGCTAAATTCAATGTTACTTCAGAGCCATCAGGGGAGGATTTCTCAACATCAGCTTCCACGGGTCAGGTGATTTCCCAGCAGTCTGCTGACAGCGAGCCACGTGTCATGGAAGAAGACGATGTGGAATACGACACCGCTGGGAACGTCCAGGCTGGGGGAGACCAGGGAGTCACTGCCATTGCATTGTATGACTACCAAGCAGGTGGGTTCATGACAGGGTTGTATGACGACCAAGCAGGTGGGTGTACGACTGGGTTATGGCTACCAAGTAGGTGGGTGTATGCCTGGGTTGTAGACAGGTGTATGACTACCAAGTAGATGGGTGTACGACTGGGTTATATGGCTACCAAGTAGGTGGGTGTATGCCTGGGTTGTAGACAGGTGTATGACTACCAAGCAGGTGGGTTCATGACAGGGTTGTATGACTACCAAGCAGATGGGTGTATGACTGGGTTATATGGCTACCAAGTAGGTGGGTGTATGCCTGGGTTGTAGACAGGTGTATGACTACCAAGTAGATGGGTGTACGACTGGGTTATATGGCTACCAAGTAGGTGGGTGTATGCCTGGGTTGTAGACAGGTGTATGACTACCAAGCAGATGGGTGTACGACTGGGGTGTATGACTACCAAGCAGGTGGGTGTATGACTGGGTTATAGATGGGTTGTATGACTACCAAGTAGCAGGTGGGTGTATGTTTGACTACCAAGTAGATGGGTGTATGACTACCAAGCAGGTGGGTGTATGACTACCAGTAGATGGGTGTATGGCTGGGTTGTATGACTACCAAGCAGGTGGGTGTATGACTACCAAGTAGATGGGTATGTGACTATGACTACCAGTAGATAGGTGTATGTCTACCAAGTAGAGTGTATGACTACCAACAGGTGGGTGTATGACTACCAGTAGATGGGCATATGACTACCAAGTAGATGGGTGTATGACTACCAAGTAGATGGGTGTATGACTACCAAGTAGATGGGTGTATGACTACCAAGTAGATGGGTGTATGACTACCAAGTAGATGGGTGTATGACTGGGTTGTTTGACTACCAAGCATATGACTACCAAGTAGATGGGTGTATGTCTGGGTTATATGACTACCAAGTAGATGGGTGTATGACTACCAAGTAGATGGGTGTATGACTACCAAGAAGATGGGTATACATGACTGGGTGTATGGCTACCAAGTAGGTGGGTGTTTGACTACCAAGTAGATGGGTGTATGACTACCAGTAGATGGGTATATGACTGGGTTGTATGACTGCCAAGTAGATTGGTGTATGACAGGGTTGTATGACTACCAAGGAGGTGGGTGTATGACTGGGTTGTAGATGGGTTATAAGACTACCAAGTAGATGGGTGTAGGACTGGGTTGTTTGACTACCAAGTAGATGGGTGTATGACTTCCAAGCAGGTGGGTATATGACTACCAGTAGATGGGTGTATGGCTGGGTTGTATGACTACCAAGCAGGTGGGTGTATGACTACCAAGTAGATGGGTATATAACTATGACTACCAGTAGATAGGTGTATGTCTACCAAGTAGTGTGTATGACTACCAAACAGGTGGGTGTATGACTACCAGTAGATGGGCATATGACTACCAAGTAGATGGTGTATGACTACCAAGTAGATGGGTGTATGACTGGGTTGTTTGACTACCAAGCAGATGGGTGTATGACTACCAAGTAGATGGGTGTATGACTACCAAGTAGATGGGTGTATGACTATCAAGTAGATGGGTGTATGACTACCAAGTAGATGGGTGTATGACTACCAAGTAGATGGGTGTATGACTACCAAGTAGATGGGTATGACTACCAAGTAGGTGGGTGTATGACTACCAAGTAGATGGGTGTATGACTACCAGTAGATAGGTGTATGACTACCAAGTAGATGGATGTTTGACTACCAGTAGATGGGTGTATGACTACCAAGTAGATGTGTGTATGACTACCAAGTAGATGGGTGTATGACTACCAGTAGATGGGTGTATGACTACCAGTAGATGGATGTATGACTACCAAGTAGATGGGTGTATGACTACCAGTAGATGGGTGTATGACTACCAAGTAGATGGGTGTATGACTACCAGTAGATGGGTGTATGACTACCAAGTAGATGGGTGTATGACTACCAGTAGATGGGTGTATGACTACCAAGTAGATGGATGTATGACTATGAGTAGATGGGTGTATGACTACCAAGTAGATGGGTGTATGACTACCAGTAGATGGGTGTATGACTACCAAGTAGATGGGTGTATGACTACCAGTAGATGGGTGTATGACTACCAAGTAGATGGGTGTATGACTACCAGTAGATGGGTGTATGACTACCAAGTAGATGGGTGTATGACTACCAAGTAGATGGGTGTATGACTACCAGTGATGGGTGTATGACCAAGTAGATGGGTGTATGACTACCAAGTAGATGGGTGTATGACTACCAAGTAGATGGGTGTATGACTACCAAGTAGATGGGTGTATGACTACCAGTAGATGGGTGTATGACTACCAAGTAGATGGGTGTATGACTACCAGTAGATGGGTGTATGACTACCAAGTAGATGGGTGTATGACTACCAAGTAGATGGGTGTATGACTACCAAGTAGATGGGTGTATGACTACCAAGTAGATGGATGTATGACTACCAGTAGATGGGTGTATGACTACCAAGTAGATGGGTGTATGACTACCAAGTAGATGGGTGTATGACTACCAAGTAGATGGGTGTATGACTACCAAGTAGATGGGTGTATGACTACCAAGTAGATGGGTGTATGACTACCAGTAGATGGGTGTATGACTACCAAGTAGATGGGTGTATGACTACCAGTAGATGGGTGTATGACTACCAAGTAGATGGGTGTATGACTACCAGTAGATGGGTGTATGACTACCAAGTAGATTGGTGTATGACTACCAAGTAGATGGGTGTATGACTACCAAGTAGATGGGTGTATGACTACCAAGTAGATGGGTGTATGACTACCAAGTAGATGGGTGTATGACTACCAGTAGATGGGTGTATGACTACCAGTAGATGGGTGTATGACTACCAGTAGATGGGTGTATGACTACCAAGTAGATGGGTGTATGACTACCAGTAGATGGGTGTATGACTACCAAGTAGATGGGTGTATGACTACCAAGTAGATGGGTGTATGACTACAAGTAGATGGGTGTATGACTACCAAGTAGATGGGTGTATGACTACCAAGTAGATGGGTGTATGACTACCAGTAGATAGGTGTATGACTACCAGTAGATGGATGTATGACTACCAGTAGATGGGTGTATGACTACCAAGTAGATGGGTGTATGACTACCAGTAGATGGGTGTATGGGTGATGACTACAAGTAGATGGGTGTATGACTACCAAGTAGACCATGACTACCAAGTAGATGGGTGTATGACTATGACTACCAAGTAGATGGGTGTATGACTACCAAGTAGATGGGTGTATGACTACCAAGTAGATGGGTGTATGACTACCAAGTAGATGGGTGTATGACTGGGTTGTATGACTACCAAGTAGATGGGTGTATGACTACCAAGTAGATGGGTGTATGACTACCAGTAGATGGGTGTATGACTACCAAGTAGATGGGTGTGTGTATGACTACCAAGTAGATGGGTGTGTATGACTACCAAGTAGATGGGTGTATGACTACCAAGTAGATGGAGTGTATGACTAAGTAGATGGGTGTATGACTACCAAGTAGATGGGTGTATGACTACCAAGTAGATGGGTGTATGACTACCAGTAGATGGGTGTATGACTACCAAGTAGATGGGTGTATGACTACCAGTAGATGGGTGTATGACTACCAAGTAGATGGGTGTATGACTACCAAAGTGGGTGTATGACTACCAAGTAGATGGGTGTATGACTACCAGTAGATGGGTGTATGACTACCAAGTAGATGGGTGTATGACTTTGAGTAGAAGTATGACTTTGAGTAGATGGGTTTATGACTTTGAGTAGATGGGTGTATGACTACCAGTAGATGGGTGTATGACTACCAAGTAGATGGGTGTATGACTACCAAGCAGGTGGGTGTATGACTACCAGTAGATAGGTGTATGACTACCAAAGTAGATGGATGTATGACTACCAAGCAGGTGGGTTCATGACTGATTTACTTCTGCCAAACAGATTTGGTAGAACACATATGTACTAGTCATGGGCTCATAGAAAACCCAAGTCAAGATGTCAGTTTGTTCCTGGAGCATAAGTCCACACCTTTGAACAGTGTTCAGTATCTCTTTATCGAGCCATGTACAGATGTCAGCCTTGCCTTGAACTGGTGTCTTTTCCTATATCATTAATAAGAATAGAAAAAGATTCCCAATTCTGACCCATACTAATTGATTAACTCTTCATTGTCTCGAAATGTAGTTGAATCTTCCTGTGCTGTGTTCCCCAAAACAAAACAAAAACATCTCACCTGAACCCAACCAGAACCATGTGACCAAACTGGCTTACTAGCCTCTTTCTCCATTTTCATACAAAATAGTCCTAAACACAACTGTTATTTATTCAGCACCATTGAAATAGTCCTGGTAGCTTTTGTGTTTTCCATCAAGTCTGTCACTGAATGCAATTGGCAAAGGTTATGAGTCTCGAATGCTTTTTTTACAAGCTATTTTTTTCCTATTTAATCCAAATGCTTTGTATTTCCTCAGCTGATGATTCTGAGATAACCTTTGACCCTGATGACATCATCACGAACATTGAGCAGATCGACGACGGCTGGTGGACTGGAACAGCCCCCGACGGCGCGTCTGGCATGTTTCCCGCCAACTATGTGGAACTCATTCAGAAAACAAATTGAAACAATTGTTTTACAAGGAGTTAACAGAATCATCTTGCAGTATTTAAACAGTGTATTCCCCATCATTGTCTCAGTAGCGCTGGAAGGGTCGTTGGGGTACGTATCTATAGTACCTGTGCCGACAATGACCATTTCAGTCTCAGTAGCTGGAACAGTGATTTCTCAAATACAAGTCATCAACTGAAGCTCACCTTGTTATGTGTAATGTTACCCAGAATTGCACAGATTCAAAGGTGTGTTTTTACAGGTTTGAATTTAGAGAAATTATGATACAAAAGTATGCTTTATTAGGGGAACTGGCCCCGATTTCTCGAAACAAACTTAAGTTAGTTTTAAATTTCAAACTGAGTTTGACAATTTGAAACAGCTGAATTTTTAACTCAACTGCATTTATAAATAAACAAGCCAAAACAACTTAAGTAATCTATCCACCAAACTCAAAGTGTCTACTAAGTTTGAGTTTAATATTGATTTCAGTTTATTCTGGAAAATGCATTTCCTGCGTTTTCTAAAAATTGAGTAAAAACTCTGACTTAAGTGAAAACTCAGACTTAAGTTTGTTTCGAGAAATCGCGGCCTGATATTGGTACAGTTTTGAGTCTGCAGATTATATTTTGTTGCCTAGGAACACCCATGTTAGGAATGATGAAAGCTTGTTCAACAAATTACATGCTTCGATAGCTCACCATCATTCATTATCTGAAAGTAGTGTATTTCTATGTGTCTACTGCATTGGCTATACTTCTGTCTACTGATTTACATAAAAGTGCTAAAATAGTTTTATATTACGCTTTTTTCTGTTTTTGTTCACCAGGGTAATAGTAATGATAGTGATACACCTAGTCATCAACAATCAGTAAAATGTGGGAGGGTACAAATGTCAGGTTTAAGATTTCAGCCAGTTTTACTTAATTTCATCACTTATTTTGTTGCAATGACAGAACTACTGTTACATACTGAGACTACAGGAGCTGCCATAGATTCAGTCTTGTGTATGTACAAAATCATGGATTTAAAAATTATCAACAATACGTTGCATCAACATATATCGATGGTTTTACCATTGTAACCTGTTGATATGTTTCAAGCATTCACCATGTTGAAAGTAGAGACAGTTTAGCTGTTTTCAGTGAACACAATTACTGTAATTTGTTTCCTTTGTCACTATAGGACCTTTCATTTCGCATTATAATTAAAATTTTGTCGACATATATTTTAAATTGAATACCTTGTTTTCATCGATATATGGCTGTAATATTGCCGATGCGATGTAAAATTTAAACTCACTCACTCACTATAATTCAGACGTTATCTTCTGTGTTACCTCCTTTTACAACCAAAGACAAAGTGGATTGGGTGGCCAGGCTTCCTGACTGGGTTGATTCATGTCATCATTGACAAAATATGTGATTTACATGCTTATGATTACAGAAACTGGATAGTTTGGGCCAGACTCAATTATACACAGACTGCAGTCATACAGCTGTAATATTACTGAATGCAACCCAATTTGTTAGTTGTTAGAAAGCTACAAGGAAGGTTTTGTTTCTATGGGCATTAGACATTCAAGATACATTGTTTATCAACAGTTTGTCCTGTTGAGAAACACTCAAATATACCAAGGATTCATCACTATTAATAACACTGTTGGTATAGCCCCTCTGATATTAAGATTTGCTTAGTCAGCAAATTTGGTGCTATTTTCCAAACTGTCTATCCTGTTAAGCCTCTGGTAAATTTGAAAAGTTTTTGAAAATGAATACCATCAGCCTTCATATTACATCTCTTATGAAAAAGTGTGCTACCTATACATCCGACTTAATATTTTTTTCTGTTAATTGAACGATCTTGGTGTTAAGAAACAAGTATTTTTTCGTAAAAAGATATCTGATGAATGCTTTCATTGGTGTGTATATTTTGAGTACAGGTAGTTGCACTCATACTGTTGTAGATTCAAAGGGGTTGAGTGGGTGTAAACACACACACATCAGATTGTATCAGTTCCTGTATCGTGTTTCTTGTTGGATCAGCATGACATGTGTAGTGTTCACCCCTTTCATAAGGAGTCCTGCACCCACTTGCTCAGAGGGATCTTAGCTAAGACTGTCTTAAATCTATGTTAGAGTAGGGGAGTTATGACATCGTAGTGCTAATATCGCTTTGTGCCAGTATGCCCAGGGTTCCATTCCATGAATTAATCCCTGTGCTAAGATTGTCATAAGTTTAAGTGTTACAATTGTCTTAGCGCTAAGATTGCTTTTTGGAATAGGGCCCTGGATCCACATGTGTAACTTCTCTGTTTCAAACAAAGACAAGTGTCTTACCTTGGTATGTAAAACTTGACAGGACTAATCATAGTATTTCATCTTTAGAAGAAATCGAAATGTACAATTATGCAGTTAACCTACAAGAAATGATTGTCCCTTGAACAATACCTTGGTCAAGGATAACATCACCTCTACTTAAGCATGATGTTTAAGTGCTATCTAGAAAACAAATATGCCTGGGTAAGGGGAATACACTTATATCATCCTATTAATTGAATATTATGATTTAACTTATGTTTGCTTTAGCATGCATTATACTGAGCAAATGAAGCCAATATGTTATTTGTTATTGATTTATTTTAAAAACAAAAGCTTCACTTCTCGGCTTGCATCTTGCCACTGATTCAATTGAAGTCTTTCTTTGTATGTGTTTCTTTTTGTCAGCTTGCAGCCTGAGATGGTTTGAAAATGACTGAATTTGTTTATGTCCAAATGGTTTAAAACCAGCAGATTAAAGCACATTTCCATCTAATGTCGTCACAATGTGTGAGCATTGTTTACATATATTTCTACTGCAATACATATTAAACTTGTACCATATATTTTTATTAAAATTTGTACAGCATAAGAATGTGTCATGTTTATTTTATAGCTGAACACAATAAATATTTATGCAGGTTTTTAAGCATTGCCTCCCTTGTCTGAAGGATGAAGTGAGGTCAAATGTTCATTGTATCAGTTTTCCAGTGTCATGAGCAGTGTGGACGTTGTTTTATGCAGAAATCAACAATATTCCAGCCTTATTACAGTGGTCAGAAAATATTTAATCTGGGTCAGAATGAAACACATTTAGCCAGATCGCACACTGCACATGTTGCAAGCACCTGTTGCTCCTGTAACAAGCCCAAATCAGCTTAGGGTCACACATTGCACTCTATAGTTTTTGTCCTGTAACAAGCCCCTTTCACATGTTACGAGCACCTGCTGCTCATTAACTGCATCATGTAACAAGCTCATTTTAACTTAAGGTCAAACATTGCACAAGTTGCAAGCCCCTGCTGCTCAGTAGCTGCTTCCTGTAACAAGTCCAAGTTAGCTTAAATCACACATTGCACATGTTGCACTTTAGTTTTGTCCTGTAACAAGCCCATTTCACCTTAAGGCCACACATTGCACATGTTGCAAGCACCTGTTTCTCATTAGCTGCATCCTGTAACAAGCCCAAGTTAGTTACAGGTCTCACATTGCACATGTCGTTGCTCTTTAGCTTTGTCCTGTAAAAAATCAAAGTCAGCTAAACATCACATTGAATGTATTGCAAACACCCATTGCCTACTTGGTCCTTCCAAGCTGTACATGCGTCCCAGGACTTGCGATATATTTGGGCCGAAAGTAAGATGGTTTGAGTGAATACACAAACACTGGATGGATGCCAGTATCTATTTTATCCACTGAAACAGGAACAATTACAGGTATTGTTAGTAAACGTACCTCTGGATTATGTTTGCCAGTTTCCTGTGGTATCACAGTGACATACAGAAATGAAAGAGAAAAAAGTTCTCTTTTAAAAAAACCCTAAGTCATAGTTATCCTTGGTGGTATGCCTAAAGAGTGACACAGTTATCTCCCCTAGCCATGACGTCACAGCATTGTTCTCCCTAGCCCTCATACTTTTTTTCTAAAGAAACTCTTAATAAACCTCTTCTCATACACCTCACGGGGAGGGACCTATATCCCATAATCCAGAGGTAAGTTTACTAACAATTACTAACAATACCTGTAATTGTTTCTAATTATGTCATAAACGTTCCCTCTGGATTATGGTTGCAAGAATCCCACATATGGACGGAGGGCCCCATGGATAAGAGGAGAATAGGGATACCAATATCTTACTGGAAGTATATAATTCTCATAACTGAATAACTATGACTTAGATTACTTCATGTCCTAAGATACCCGCCACCATAATCCTAACGATTAATTGTTAGCTTCAATAACTAGGACAGGAAGTTAATGTGAGGAGAATTCTGTCAATCTAGGAGACCTTGCTAGAACATACTTAAACCTTAGTATCTTTAATTCTGTAGAAACCATATTTCTAGAGGTAGCCTCTGAGTTCAAAGGTTGCTGAAACATCAGCTCCTTAGTGGATTCCGGTAGATTCTTAACTGAGTTCAACTTGTGTGTCGTATCCATAGTTGTGAGTCTGCCCAAGGAATAGACTTGATTCTGAGTAGCATCTGAAACAGCGTGATATAATACATCCAAGTAAGAATGAGCCAAGGCTACTTCATGCACCGACATAGCCACAAGAGTATCCTTAATGTCCATATAATCCTTGAATACAGGAGGGAGTAACGCCCTTACACCCGCTGCGAACCAATTAACATAAGAGAGGATATCTATGGTAGAACGCGCGGCTGTGTCCAATTCCTTAAATTCCCTGGGTTGGCATGGTAACGGAGAGTCCTGATGATTACTAGCCCCCAGTAGACTAAAGTCCTTGTCCAGATGAGGTATCCCAGCTGGCAATTCCCGATTGTGATAAGTATACGCTGGCCTATGGGGAATCTTGGGTAAGTTCGCCAGAGAAGTAGTTTTAGCCAACAATTCATTGTAATTATTCATTACCAATCTCACTACTGATGAATCAGGCAAAGATAGTCTGGGAGGCTCGAGGTAAACAGTCAGAAGAGCCCAATTCAATTGGTATTTCCTGTTCCATATCCTCAGCTGGTGGAGGTAAAGTACTTGGATACAACCCATATAAAAATCCATTTTTTTTCCGCCAATGTCCATCCGAAGGCAGTAACACAATCTTCGGTAGGCCGTATGCCCCTCTGAGTCCGATAAGTCCGGGATTAACGGTAATATGGGCCGTTTCCATGGAAGGCACAGTAACACAACCTCCTTCATAATCAGCTCAGGATTAGATACTGACAGGTAGGGCCGTGATGCCCCTCTGAGTCTGATAAGTCCAGAGGATTAGCCGGCTCTGCAGAACGGCCGTGGGGATAATATGGTGGCGGGAAAAAGAGCATTGTCACGGGAAATGACTGTTGATTTAGGGGCCTAGTGCGCCTCTGATTGTGCAATACTAAAATGTTTGGGCCATAGTGATGATGAAAGAGCATTCACTGTATTGTGATAACATAAACCATCGAGCTTGATATTTGACCAATGTTGTGGTGCCTTCCAAACAGACATCACATTGGCAGTTTATTTGTCTTTATGATCTTCAGTTTGACAAGATTATTGAAAACAATGATATGCATATCATATATATATAAAATTATATTTAAATATATGTTACATTATGCATATTAACAAACAAAACTGAGCACCGACACATATATGCACTGCACATATCTAAGGTTCATACAGGTTTTAAGCCTTAGTCTGTCAACATTTTAAAAAAATCTAGCACACTCTATATTCCTTGTAAGATGTAGAAAGCAGAGTGAACATCACAAATGTTTCAACAAGATTTATTAAAACAAATAAAATATGTTAAATGTGTCATCAGTTGTAATGCTTTTAATACAATCATGCAGTTTTGAACAAGATAAAGGCTTTTCAAGAGAGAGACATTAAAATTTAAGGACTTTTCAAGCCTATATGAACCTGATTATTATTAAAAGCAATCTGTATTGAAGCTCACTTGAGTAACTGTAAATTTACATCTTAAAACATATGGTATAACCCTGTTCTTAACATTGTATATAATAATATTTATAAATAATCCTGCCTTTCAACAGAAAGCAATACATTCTTTTCCAAGTATGTAAGTGATACAAGGAACTGAGTTCTCTCATAGAAATAACTTGCTGTCCTTTGATTATAAATCATTTTCATTTCACAAATATCACAACATCCTGATAAGGTAAAATGAAGGAATGCTTTTTTAGCATCTTTCATATATATTAATTGACACAAACATCTATGAAAGTTATCTGAGTGCTAAGACTTTCAATTGTCTCAGTGATCACTACATGGAAGAAAACCCTGGAAAATCCAAACCAATAGCACTGGCCAAGAAGGAAAACCCAATCATGGCATTTGGCCGGTCATGAGGTTTGGAGATTGAAGACAGACACTAACATATCCCTCTTGTATCCACATTCATCAAATTCTAGCTGCCTGAAAGAACCAGCATGGGTAATGTCTACCCAGTCTGATCCAAGTCCCCATCAAGTAGGGGTTTACTAAAGACTACAAATTTGTGTTCCACAGTCCAATATTGTCACTTGCACTCATTACTTTTTCCCAGTAGTCTTCATAAAGTACCGAAGGTTTTGCAGGGGTGGAAGTAACTTTAAAATTGCTAGTGTACTCCGGTACAGTAGCACATGTAAAATCACTTGCCCTGATAATTTTTCCTCTATACCGGACGATTTCTTGTTGATTTTTTTAAAATAAACAACATAATTAACAGTGGAAAGTCAACTGGACACCGGTACAGTGTGATGTACAAATTTGCTTGCCCGACAGAAAAAAACACTGGACTCGGAAGTCGGGCAATGGGTTATTTCCACCCGTTTTGTGGTCTGATGCGGACACCAGGATCCTCTTCTATAAGGTGACTTGATAATGGCTATCACTGATATGTGTATCTGCACACAATAGAGGCGCCATTTCCTGCTCAACCTCCAGGTCATCGATACAACCAAGTAATGCCAATCACCAGTATGTATTCCTATAAGTGGCGAAGATTGCTGCCATCACAAGGGCACAATGCCCCATTCCAATACTGTTGCCAGTACCCATTCTAAGTGGTCTAAATGGTCATCATCTCATCACAAGAACTTACGAGTGTTCCCCATCTGATGCTACCACCAGTCCCCATTCATATGAGATATGTAGATGCAGGGTTTTATACGACATGCAAATGTGCATCCAGTATTCATAATTGTAGAGAATATATGCAGAAAAAATATTCACTGCATCCAGAGGGACGCAGAATATTATTCATTGTACCCACAACACATCTATGACTTTGCTAAGAGTTTGGTTGTTTTTCAGAGTAGTTACTTGCATCACTCTGCCCATCAGTCCACATGATCGATGATTCATTCCAGACTCTAAAGAAATTATCAAAGCATACAGTTCTCTAAACTGTTACTTCACAGGACCCTAGTATTGCCAGCAAGGACCCTTAAAACTAATAAATTGGGGTCCTTGGGAGCCTCATGTTTGTGAACCGAGGTAAAACCCTGTAGATGGTCATCATTTCAAGATCTGACACCCTGGTCTCATGCTGTCACCAGTACGCATTCCTTCAATAGTTTAGACAGCAATCATCACAAGAGACTGATGGATGTGTACGCCTCCCCAGACATTTCCCAAAGTTTGCGAGCCAGTTGGCGGCAGTGTGATGCGATGTACTGCGGATGAACCAGGCCTACATGCATCAGGTATAGCTCATAGCAGTGCACAGCACCTGGTATTGAATTTGGGAAGCACTTCTGAATCAGCTGTCTGAAGACAAAAACATTACATGTAGTTAGGGACCGTTCATAATTTATGTCTGGGGAGGGAGGGGGGTGTTATTTTGATCTTTATGGAGAAGCATGTACAATGTGACTGATGCCCCCTAAAAGTTATGTACAAAGTAAGTGACCCCCCATGCATGTCATGTACAAAATCAATGAACCCCCCCCTCCCATATTTCTTAAGCATAATTTTTTAATATTCTTATGTACAAATTGATGACCCTAGTACATGTGTACAAAATTGATGACCCCCTACCTCCCCAGAACAAAATGGGCGACCACCCCTTCAAATCATCATCACCCCCCTAGCCATAAATTATGAACGGTCCCATAGTGACTGTGAAATCATATCTGGTTCTCATATTAAGTTGAATGAAGCCAGAAAAACTGTCCAGGTCGGGGGGTGTCACACAAGTATTAACAGGTGCATGCTTTTCGATGAAGTCAAACTGTTTGTTGGATCCAGCTTTTAAGTTTAGTTTCATAACAATGATATGAAGACAGTGTAATATCAACATTATTGTTAACGCACTGATGGAATGTTTCTTCTGATTTTTTTAACAATATAAAAAATGAGGATTTACAAAACAAATTTCATCACTTCTGTTATCAATTCTTTAACAATGGCATGAAAAGAACAAATTTGTAACCTGACAAAACCAGATGTATGACAGGCACTGTCAATATATGGAGAAGGCCTGGTAGACACAACAATTACAATCAATCTATTTTTTGTGTGCACAAAACCATGTTAATCATCCAAAACAGTAACCCATCTTACAAAATAACACTTTTACTCAGCTACACCAAGAGTCACAAAGGGACATGTACCAAGTAGTGTTGGTGACATGGCTTGAAGTAACTCCAGTGTGCAAAAAAATTATCAGACTTAATATCAGTGTACCACAGAGACTCTATGTTTTATGTTTTGCTATGCTGATATACTATTTACCTGAAGAATGTTCCAGTGAGTATTCCAGGAGGAGGCATATCATGGCTTGGTTTATAGGGCAGCTGCACTGGGAGAGGATTTCCCTAAAGTAGAAATGCCAGTATAGCAATTACAAACACTTGCTAGATGTATTTTCTTCTACATATGTTACGACAAAAAGAAATATTACATTACTTTTGTAGTGCCTCAGACAACAACATCAGTCAGTGTTTAGTTTCACAATGTTTTCCTTTCACAATTACAGTTTATGAACAAAAAAAGGAAACTGCATTCATTCATAAACTGATATTTGAAACAAAAGTAAATGTATCCATGGTAACAAAATTACCTTAACAGTATGGCAGATATATATCTGCCAGCATGTACTTAATGAAGTATGGAGAATTTGTGTAACTATGGCAATGCTTTAAATCATGTCACTATCAGAAATTACTGAAACAGTAACACACACATACATGCTTGGAAGCAATAAATGAAGTTTGTAGCATTTGTGTAACTAAGGCAACGAAATGTACACATTTTATTTAAATCATATGAATATTGCAAGATACTGAAACAGTAATACATATTTAAAAATGTGATTGCAAGCTCAAAGTGAAGTATGGAGTGTCTGTACCAACTCACAGTGTTATCTTCAAACCAGAGGAAGTACGAGTAGTAGAAGTCCCCATCTCTGAACATGATGGACGTGTACCCTTCTGTCAACTTCACCATCATCTGTTCCACCATCATCCACACCTACATCAACACAATAAATATGTTAAACTGCCTCAGAAGTCAAGTAAAAGACTGCCAATCTGCTGATGAATCCAAATTGGAAACTGACATTTGACTGGATTGAAAACCCAAAACATGCATACCTGGTTAAAGTTCACTTTGATATCTCATTTCAACCTGCAATGCACGGTTTGTCAGAAGGAGAAAAGTATCAGAACATGTGGTGGTGTGTGGTCCTGTGCACAGAGCGCAGGTCACGAATCAGTTGAAGTTAGGCAACGGCGAGCTCGGACGGTCCTTGGATTGGTGACCGTGTTTGACAGCTTGACTCCTGAGAGTTTCTAGGACTTCCGTCCTGCCCCACAACGAAGCACATGTAATAAATGTTGTCTCACCTTAGGCAAGTGAGTTGGTTCAAAATTGCCCCTGTTCACCCGGTTGGATAAAGTCATGTGACTATAACCTTCTAGTGACTAACAGGCAGCTTGGTTATCCGGGGTAATAATAATCAGGGTGTTAGCTAAGGCTGTTACGATGCCCTCGCATATTTGGTGAATCAAACTGTAGCCCTTCATGAATTAAATTCATTATTCGTGATCACCAGAACCGAATATTAAAAAATATTTATGAATATTTTAAGGGAGTGTGTTTTACTTGAACCATTATGTCCTTTATCAAGTGAGATATGCAAGAATGGAATATGTACTATCCTTGTAGTAGCGAACTTTATGTTAGTTTGCCAAGGTTGCACATGGTACTGTTGACTATTACTATTACACACCAAATTTGAGTGTCATGAGATCACTGGTTATTGCTGTGACAAATTAACACTGTCAACATGGGCATTCCACTTTGTGCATCAATCACTTAACTACAATATTGTATTCATGAATAATTATTTGTATTCGGTACTCAATATTCGTGAAACGTATGATATTTGCCAAATAGTGTATTCGTTGCAGCCCTACAAAACCATGCGCTTTGAGCATGCTTTGCTGCATGGAGATTAGAGCATTTTAAGACTTCTCATTATTATTATTTTATTATTATTAACGATATGCTGCTCCTGCACACAAGGTACTCTGCTTTATGCCCCACCTTGTTTTTAAGCAGACTTGTAGCATCCTTCTTGCCCTTCTCCTCTAGGGTGATATTGAAGGACGGAGCTGTCAACTGGTTGGACTGACGGTCAATGTAGATGAAGTGGACCAGTCCAGGGAACTCATCCAGGTATCTTCCACCAGTCAAGGTCCATGTAGGTAAATATTGTAAATGATAAGGACCTGTGAAGATCCAGGTTAGAATTGATATTCAGCAACCCATGTTTGTCATAAGAGGCGACTAACGGGATTGGATGGTCAGGCTCTCTGACTTGGTTGACAAACGTCATCTTATCCCCATTGAGTAGATCAATGATCACACTGTTAATCACTGGAGTGTTTGTTCCACACTGGATTATTTTACAGACCACCGTCATGTAGCTGGAATATTGCTAAGTGCGGCGTTAAACAACAAAACAAAAAGGAAAAGGTGGAACTGTTATGTTTGTGAAATGGTATGGCTTTATGTAGTAGCATATTAGATTTATGAATTGTTGCAGGAAAATGTAAATTTGCCTATTATTTGCAGCTACAAGATTATATCTCCATTGGCTACCAGTGAGACAGCATATACAGTTCAAGATTCTGGTGTTCATCTTTAAATCGCTGCATGGTCTAGCTCCAGAATACATCAGTGAACTCATATCCATCTACATCTCAAGAGCCCTTGAGGTCCCCATCCCAAAGAAAAGACACTATGGGATAGATCCTTTCTCCGAAGCTGGCACCTAGCTCTGGAACTGTCTTCCTCGACACATTCAGGACATTGTCAATCTCAACCAGTTCAAACGACAACTGAAAACCCAGTTGTTCAACATAGCTTTTGCCTAAGAGCCTTTGAGCAATACGTTGGAACAGGCATTATACAACTTCATTAACTTTATTATTTATATCACAGAATTGGGAACATGAGAATTGGAATTCACAAACTGAAACCATGTGGGCACTCAAACCTAAGAAGTCATTGGCATGGTGAAGAACTTTTTCCCCAATTCACCCATGCTTGTAGCAATAGGCGACTAACAGGATCGGGTGATCAGACTTGCAGACTTGGTTGACAAGTCATCATGTCCCAATTGCGTAGATTGCTCATGCTGTTGATCACTGGATTGTCTAGTCCGAACTCCATTATTTACAGACCACCACCATATAGCTGGAGTATTGCTGAGCATGGCGTAAAACTAAACTCGCCCACTCATTTTATGAGTAGACTACCCCTGCCCTAACTTTGCTCCAGAGCACCACCCTAATTAGATGTGGATAAGACAATGGAAACTGAGACCTTTGACATCTGTCATCACTATGAAAGAGTCGGTTTAATTGATGATGAAAGGATACGATGTCATTGGGATGTTCCTCTGAGCCTTGACTGAGAGGTAGTGTCTATAGTCAGACAACTCGTTCCTGATCTTGTCTCTAAGTATTTGAACAGTCTCTCGGAACCTGGCATTGACAGTCTGTGGGGACAGGTACAAGTAGGAGAACAGGTCCTTCAGCTTCTTCATCAGCTCGGACAGGGACCTCTCCAGTCTGAAATACATTGGTACAATATATATATTGTATTGCAGAACATTATTATCCTTTATTACCTACGAGGGCGAAAATATCGATGTTATGACGTAATGTTTCTTCTGTGACGTTGCGTTCTACATGCAGTGACGGCTATGTTTGAAAGTAGATTTGGGTTTATTTTCCTCAATTTGAGGACTTCGGTAATAAACAGAATATAATATTCGTGCCCATATCATACTATGTTTACGACACTCGTGCCTAAATATCCGTATGTCCCTCGCTCTCGCTTGGGAAATACCAACATTTAGGCACTTGTGTCGTAAACATAGTATGACATGGGCCCTCATATAATATCCTCTATATATTTCCTTTTGTACGATGATGGCTAAAACACCATGACAATATATTATATTATTTTTATTTTAGAGCTTTAGAAAAGAAATTAGTTCTCTACCACCATGTATAGTGTAATAAAGTTAACACTTTCGCCTGAACTATTAAAGTTAAAGTACGAGGACGCTTGCATCCGAGTGCTTTAACAGTATAATAGTTCAGGACGAAAGTGTGCTTTATTACACTATACATGGTGGTACAGCAAACTGTATTTCTTTTCTAAGATGCCAAATTTAATACTTTCTAAGGATAATTACGATTAATTTAAGTCAGAAAACAAACGACGGTGTCGGTGACCTAAATTAAGAATCCTTGCACAGGGCTAACTGGCGCGCTGTTCTATTGATGTGTCTGCCCCCCTACGTTAAGACGAACGTTACCAGCAAAAACAAATGATAACAGTTTGATGACGGTTTATGCTCGGATTAAATATCTTCTCTGAATTATTTTAATTACATCTGTCATTAACGTAAACCATATAGGGCAATATGAACGCCGTGATTTCTACTACCAACGTAAGTTTAGATCAGTACATCCAGATGAAGCTGAGTAGTCAGCGACATTCCACGATTGCATTGTGGGAATGTAAACATTGCGAACGTTACCGTGTCGCTGAAAACTTGTGAGTCGAATTGACACATTTTAACCGTCGTAAAACATGAACGTAATGTTTCCACCAGTGATGTTAGCTGTGTGAAGCAACTGCAAACCAAAAAGCGGGATGCAACGGAGTAGTTTACTGTAGGAGGCCGTACGAGGCGATCACAACTGACATGCATCGTGACGTCGCTTACATTGTGACGTAATGTAAAATGGTTCGATTAGGAGGGGGCACACTAGAATGGCGCAGTGACAGGATAACATCATTCAATTGTTACGTCATCAAAAAACTATACCTTTATTGTCTGATAATGTTTGTGGGATTTTTTATTGTTCTAACCGCTAGGCATCTTAGAATCTACTTTATTAACTAAGTCCTCTGAACAATGAAATATACTCATGGAAACGAATGGGGAAAACATGAAAGTACAAGTGTTCCTTGATCTATTTCCAGATTTTCACCCACAGTGCAATATATAGCATGACAAGAAACCCGGAAAAGAGTATAGGAACACTTGCATTTTTGTGTGTTCCTTCATTCGTTTCCATGAGTATATCACCAAAAACCTGTATATCCTTTTGTGTTGTGATGTCTAATGACCATGACATTATTGTATTATATTTTAATTTAAATTGTTTTATTCAATTCTAAAGTGTCCTAAACAATGAAACATTACAAAGGTTCTGTAATTCCCTCTGTGTAGTGATGGCATTTTGTGCCATGATGACTAATGACATTATTTTGTTTTAATAATGACATTATTCTATTATATTTTAAATTGTTTAATTCAATGTTTAAGGTAATGAAATATTACCAAGGTTCTGTTATTCTTTTTGTGCAAGAATCGCAATAACCATGACATAGTTGACATCCTGTCTGTGAGGCACTGATGGAAGTTAACTTCATATTACACACACACATACATAAATACTAAGGGTGACTATTGAGGGGGAAACAACTATTGTGATAGCGATAGTCTATTGCAACATACTATTGCGACTATTGCAATAGTTTTTTTCTGCTTGGATTATCTCATTTGAAGTCATTTCCCAAATGAATGTATAGTTTATATGATATAAAAACAAGCTGAAGTAGTTGCAGTCTCTCTTAATGAGTGACAAGAAACTTGAAACCCGTATCAAGTAAACAGTTAAAGCATAAACTCAGTGAAGCTGCAAGTCTGCACCCAAACATCCTGTATTCTACCATGACATTTAAGTATGTTCGTTTTTGATTGGCTGTTACTAAAAAATTATAAGTGAAAACTTGTCAATAACCACTTCTGAGAGCCGGTTCACTGCGCGTAGGAATATTTTGCACTCATTAACCCTTAAAAAGGTAAACAAACATGTCGTCTGAAACTGTTACGTTTGACCTCGGCGATTTCATTGATGTGTTTGGATCGGATATGGAGGAAAATATTGACCCAGCCTGGTTCCAACATGAAATGACTGAACAATCACCCAAAGTAACTCTAAGTACCGAAGGTATGAGTATGTACTTTCGGAACTAAGCAAAGCACTTACACGCATCCAGGACAGCCACGTTTCGAAAATGGCACGCGCCAATGACGTCGGAATGAAGGTCAAACCAGACGAATCTATTTTTGTTAGAGGGGTGTTCCTTACTACATAACTCATTCCATGAAAGTTGTCCATAACATAAGAAGTAGAATGCCAGTACAGATGTTGCAACTTGCAATGTATTTGAAGAAAACTTGGTTGTGGAAATAATTAAAACATTTGACACTATGTAAATTGTTTCTTTTTCCTGTTTCACCCGGAGTATGGGCGAAACCATTTAGAAGGCTCTATCCGCAGTAGTGTCAAAACACTACGCAAGGATAATGAGTGCATATTTAAAACGTGTTTTATTCATGGTGCATATGTCATGGTAGAATGGAGATAATCCTATTGTGTTAACATTTTGGAAGTGATTATAGTTGGTTGAACGCTGCTAAATCATAAATGTAATTTAAAACCGAGTGCGTTACGCGTTAGCGTGAGGTTTTAAATGAAACATTTAGCAGCATTCAACCAACTATAATCACTTCCAAAATGTAAACACAATAGGATTATCTCCTAATTTTGCACTGCGCTTTTAGCAATGGAAGTCAATTACTAAACTATTGATACTCACACATACTATTGATGCATCGATAGTTTTTCGTTTCTATCATCGATTAATTGCTATCAGAGACTGAGCAATTGCAATGCATCGATAGTTCGATGTATTGTTACAGCCCTAATAAATACTGAGAGCAACCTATATAAATGAGACAGTTAGATACTCACCCAGTCGATACTTCTACCCCCGGGTCCTCCTCAAGGTAAGCTAGGAGGCTGTTCTTCAGACCATCATTGTCCCATTTCCGCTTTACATCATTCATGACACGTTGCACATCTCCCTGCAACACATATCAAGTAGCTATCTCCCTGCGACACGTGATATAGCTAATTGCAACAGATAATATAGATAACATAATATTTTTTCTGAAACACCAGTTATGCAACTATCACAGTTTGTTCCCATACATGTTTGTTTTTTATTTGTATGGTGCTATACTCAGAACTTTTTCAGCTAAATGATGGTAACCTGTACCAGACAATCAAGTAATACATATCATGAGCAATGATCCAAGACTTCAGATGACGTATGTTGACACGCTATCAAATAAGCCTGTGCTCAACCACCTGATCTATTAAACCTCACCTAAAAACAACCATAGCACTTTGTGACCAATTATAACCTAGAAACCCCAGCATGGTCCTCAGCCTATCTATTATCTAAAAGGTTTCCTAACAATAATATTTGGGAATTTTGTAGATTCCAACTGGCACAACACAAGGAAAGAATTTTGTGTTTGAGATAGTCAAGCGTTACTAAAATTTGTTGAAAGTTCCATGATGAAATATTGTTTATCACCATGGATTGCAATATTCCAGTCTTAATCAGTCTTAAGTGCTTGACAGTTAGTGTGTGAGTTTAGTATTATGCTGCATTTAGCAATATCAATTCCATGGAATATAATGGTGGGGGACAACATAAATGGGATTCACACACTGTGCCAATGTTTGGAATCGAACCCAGGTCTTCAGCTTGATGAGTGAACGCTTTAACCACTAGGCTACCCAATGCCCCATGTGGTTGACAACATGAGTAATCCAACCTCATGTCTAATATGACACAAGATAAGAAAGGTCTCACACTGTGTTCATTCAACATGCAGAGCATATGGGTACATATTCTGGAATCCCTATGTGAATTTAATTCCAGCAACTCAATATGTCTGTCACAAAACTATATGTCATACTATCATCGTCATACAGGTCATTCGATGATATTGATTCTATGGCCATCTAACACGACTTACCTTAACCTTTCTGAGTGTCCCCTGTATTTTGACAAGAAGTGAGTTCATGACATCGTACACCATCTCCCCCCTTGCCCTGCTTAGCTTGTCTTTCTCCCCAGACAGAAGGTCCTTGATGATATGAAACATCTTGCATAGGTGGGGAGCTATCTGTCCATGCCGAGCCTGTAATACACAATCCAAAATTGATCTACATCAAACAGTTTGTGCATGGAATCACATCTCAATCAAATATTCACTCATTAAGACATCTACAGATCATATAACTGAAACACCTGACACAAGTGTATGTACACATTCAAAAATGATTTCAGAGATTTCTGAGTTTGGTTGGGGGGAGGGGCAATATGATAAGGACACTTATATAGCACTGACCCTCCATGCCGCACGGGCATGCTCTAAGCACATTTAACACAATGGACATTTTTGCCACAGATAACCGAGGGTGTCACTAGACACCAGAAGGTTTATAGTCATGTGACTGTTCCCACTGGGGACCCATCTCCTGCCAGGTGAATGGACTATTTTTAAGAAAATCACTTGCCCAAGGGCAGGACTGAAGTCCTAGAAGCTCTCACGTGTCAAACTGCCAAACACAGTCACCATCCAAGGACTCAATGACAATGATGAAAACAGTAACAGGCAAACCCTGAGTGTATAGCAGCTGGTTGGGAAAAATACTTACAGTGGATGTGAGATCACCTCAATGATGATAATCAGGACAATACCAGGCAGGATCTGGGTACAGTGCAACTGGTGGGGTAGGGGCAATATCAGCTGACATCAGCTCACCTCAATGACAATGATGAGGACAATACCAGGCAGGATCTGGGTACAGTGCAGCTGGTGGGGAGGGGCAATATCAGCTGACATCAGCTCACCTCAATGACGATAATCAGGACAATACCAGGCAGGATCTGGGTACAGTGCAGCTGGTGGGGAGGGGCAATATCAGCTGACATCAGCTCACCTCAATGACAATGATGAGGACAATACCAGGCAGGATCTGGGTACAGTGCAGCTGGTGGGGAGGGCAATATCAGCTGACATCAGCTCACCTCAATGACAATAATGAGGACAATACCAGGCAGGATCTGGGTACAGTGCAGCTGGTGGGGAGGGCAATATCAGCTGACATCAGCTCACCTCAATGACAATGATGAGGACAATACCAGGCAGGATCTGGGTACAGTGCAGCTGGTGGGGAGGGGCAATATCAGCTGACATCAGCTCACCTCAATGACAATGATGAGGACAATACCAGGCAGGATCTGGGTACAGTGCAGCTGGTGGGGAGGGGCAATATCAGCTGACATCAGCTCACCTCAATGACAATGATGAGGACAATACCAGGCAGGATCTGGGTACAGTGCAGCTGGTGGGGAGGGGCAATATCAGCTGACATCAGCTCACCTCAATGACAATGATGAGGACAATACCAGGCAGGATCTGGGTACAGTGCAGCTGGTGGGGAGGGGCAATATCAGCTGACATCAGCTCACCTCAATGACAATGATGAGGACAATACCAGGCAGGATCTGGGTACAGTGCAGCTGGTGGGGAGGGGCAATATCAGCTGACATCAGCTCACCTCAATGACAATGATGAGGACAATACCAGGCAGGATCTGGGTACAGTGCAGCTGGTGGGGTAGGGGCAATATCAGCTGACATCAGCTCATCTCAATGACAATGATGAGGACAATACCAGGCAGGATCTGGGTACAGTGCAGCTGGTGGGGAGGGCAATATCAGCTGACATCAGCTCACCTCAATGACAATGATGAGGACAATACCAGGCAGGATCTGGGTACAGTGCAGCTGGTGGGGAGGGGCAATATCAGCTGACATCAGCTCACCTCAATGACAATGATGAGGACAATACCAGGCAGGATCTGGGTACAGTGCAGCTGGTGGGGGAGGGCAATATCAGCTGACATCAGCTCACCTCAATGACAATGATGAGGACAATACCAGGCAGGATCTGGGTACAGTGCAGCTGGTGGGAGGGGCAATATCAGCTGACATCAGCTCACCTCAATGACAATGATGAGGACAATACCAGGCAGGATCTGGGTACAGTGCAGCTGGTGGGGAGGGGCAATATCAGCTGACATTAGCTCATCACAATGACAATGATGAGGACAATACCAGGCAGGATCTGGGTACAGTGCAGCTGGTGGGGTAGGGGCAATATCAGCTGACATCAGCTCACCTTAATGACGATAATCAGGACAATACCAGGCAGGATCTGGGTACAGTGCAGCTGGTGGGGAGGGGCAATATCAGCTGACATCAGCTCATCACAATGACAATGATGAGGACAATACCAGGCAGGATCTGGGTACAGTGCAGCTGGTGGGGTAGGGGCAATATCAGCTGACATCAGCTCACCTCAATGACAATGATGAGGACAATACCAGGCAGGATCTGGGTACAGTGCAGCTGGTGGGGTAGGGACAATATCAGCTGACATCAGCTCACCTCAATGACGATAATCAGGACAATACCAGGCAGGATCTGGGTACAGTGCAGCTGGTGGGGGAAGAAGGTACATGCTGGCGTTCTCAGGAACACCATCTGCCTCCAGTAGTCTCTGTCTATTATGGGTGATCTGTCTGGCTGGGTGTTCCTGGTAGACGGCTCATCAGATGTAGCAGTCCCAGACCGAGATCTGCCCTTGCCCTCACTTGAAGGAGTGGAAGACTGGAACAGATTGTAACGCTTGTCAATTTCCTTGATTGTTGCTACTCTCAGTATTGCAAAGTGCACCACACAGCATAACACATATGTGCTTTTGTTGTATGGGTGGAAAGTAGAACTTGAATAGAAACACCTGTCAATAAATGGTGTTTCCTTGATTGTCATTTAATTTCAGTGGTACAGTGTTTCTTACAGAATACTGAATAAAAAACTTGTTTATGGGAGGAAAGGGTAGGAGAATGTGAATACATCAGGAAACGTGCCAATAGATGATGTTGATTTAATTTATGCTGCCATCAATAATACTACATCACCCACAATAATAGGGCTGCAACGATTCAGTTCGATTGATCGAAAATCGAATCTGACACCTTAGTTTCGATTTTCAATAACCATTATTACTATTTCAAGTCCACATTTGAATACATATTTAAATTATTTCCACACAGCCAAAATGAAATTTTGAATCCAACTCTAGTAGTTTCGAGTGCTGAAATAAGGCGAAACTTGACTGGTTGATACCGGGCTAATTATCCACTGAGAATACTTGTTAGTAGACATCGCCAAGTTGATGATGGATTTCACGCTAAAAAGCCAACTCTGAGAGGTCAATGAAACCTGATGTTTTTACTTGTATGAAGAATCAAATAGAAAAGGATTGAATCAAGGGTCCAATATCGAAAATCGAAATGAATCGAGATCTGGGTGAATCGTTAAAGCCCTAGACAGTAAATAATAATTTGTTGACCAGGCAAACCAGTAAATAAAGTCAATCCGACCATCATTTCAATTGGTTCCTTGTACAAGTACGACTAACTGGGATCAGTAAGTGACATTTAGAAGGATATTATGAAGATAAACTATTGATTATCATGAAGTACTAATTTGTGGTACACTTAAGAAATGTTTCAGAATAAATCTTAGTCTATGGCCTCATTCCACAAATCATTAAAGTGCCAAGACAATTATGACTCCTATACTTTAACACAGACTTATCACAGTCATAGTGCTAGGATCGCCGAGTAAAATGGAGCCCAGCGTAGTAATGGAATCAGAAAATGAGTGAGTGAGTGAGTGAGTGAGTATGGTTTAACGCCGCTTTTAGCAATATTCCAGCAATATCACGGCGGGGGACACCAGAAATGGGTTTCACATATTATACCCATGTGGGAATCAAACCCGGGTCTTTAGCGTGACGAGCCAACGCTTTAACCACTAGGCTACCCCACCGACCCGAATCAGAAAATGAGGTCTACTGTTATAGGTGTTCTTAAACTTACAGGCAAGTTTGCACTATGTCTAGACTGGAACTCTACCCTGGATCTGAAGAAGTTCCCTCCCTCTGTGGGAGACAGGACGGGGTACTCTGTATAAGTAAGGGTTGGAGTTGCTGAAACATGAGGAAAATGCAAAACTGTCCACTATATATGTATGATATTCTTGGAATGCGTATTTGAGTCCAAGACTAATGAAGAATTTGTAACAGTCACTGACTGACTGACTGACTGACTGACTGATTGATTGGTGAGTGAGTTGCTTAATGTGTTTGAAAGCCTCAGATGCAGGTCTCAAATAGTTATCAATTCGGTGAAATTCGCCAGCACAGGTATGGTGCTGACAGAAGCAGACACAGAATCTGACAGAACTTAGATTCCAACCCATGATCAAAGGTTTCTGGCATGCCAAAGGGACATTGCTCTGATTTCAGCACCTTGACCAGGACACCCGACACCCCTCCCATAATACATTTGTAGACGATACACACATAGATAAAGACCTTATTTGGATTTTCACCTGATGTACTGTGCACTTCTGTGTCAGTAAGAGTCTGCTCACTGTCAGTGTTCAATTTTGAAATACTGGGAGACTGAGACTGAATGTCAGCTGTTGGCACTACCTCGAGTGATTTGACATAGCCTGAATGATTGTCTTCTGCTTGAGCTAGCACACTGTCTGCCTTATCCTCCACTGTATTGTCAGAGTATGACTGACTGTCCTTGGCTGGTGTCTGACCTTGGTCTGCCCCCCTCTTCTGTTGAATTTACAGACTGACTTTCTTCAGCTGGTTTTGGCTCACTGTCTGCTTCAATCTCTGCTGATGACATCTGGTCATGATCACCCTTTGCCTCTGCTGAGCTGACAGACTGCCTGTCCACTTCTTGTATCTGTTCAGGGTTTTTCTTCACCTCTGTGCTACTGGCAGACTGTGACTGGTCAGAGCTTAGCAACTGCTGCTCGCTGCTTGTCTCAGTCCCTGCTGTGTTGACATTGTCTGCCTCGTCAGCCCCTGCAGGGGGTGTGCGACCTCTCACTGTTCGGTGTTGTTGGAGCACTGTGGAACTGAAATAACACATTGGCAGATTCAGATACTCTTATGTATGCTTGTGTCCTCATCCAACGCTAAATCAAACAATCAAACTCTACACAGTTGACGTAAATAGTTCTGAAGTTTCTCACCTCCTGATCACTTGATTCATCTCTGCGATCTGACTCTTGTCTAGCTGTTGAAGGAAGGAATGAGCGTGATCTCTTCCTGTTGAACGTGACATTAGACAGGGAGCGTGAGAAAAGATCTTCCAGTTTCTCACTGGATGGAAAGATGTCTTGGATCAGTAAAATGATGCTTAAAATGTCAGCTGCTTGAAGCTCTGAGGCTGTTCGACTGAAAATACAATAAAGTAAACCATAAATAAATTATTATGAAATAAATACACAAATGTGTTCATAATTATTAAAGGTTTAAAAATTGCAATTTCCTCTCTTTCTTGTCATAAAGCATGTTATCATCCTGATTATCCTGACAATTTCTCAGTCTCACATTGGCAGAGATCAACATAAATAGTGGTCTTATGGCTAACATCACTAAAGTACTGTCGGAAATAGAAAAAACCTGTTGTTTGGCTGTTACTCTGTATCCCTAAAATTTACACAATTGCAAACAGCATATGTCGAAATAACCCACATCAGCCTAACTGGGCGTTCAGTGGGATGCGTAATAGGATATCCAGAAACTTACGAGTTTACTCGTGAAAATCGGGCAAAAAAAATCGAATAGCTGCTTAAAACAATAGATACATATAGATGACAATTAAGTCGCTCGGCCAGGTATGATGACGGACCGTCGACGCACCGAGCACGAAATGACCGTGCTGCCTACAGGCACATGAGGTCATCTCAATGATAATGTAATTTTTAGATTAAAATTGATATTTTATACTTATCCTGACTCATGCTTAATTGCTTGTCTCTTTCTTCTTGCGAATGATAGTGGAACACTTGAATCCCCTTTTGAAGCTCCCTTAAAAAAAGCGGACGTAAAATCACTCACCCAGTGTTATCTCCCTTGTGACTCTTTTGGCGGAAAACCACGTCACATGTTCGGACATGCCCCTCACTCTCTCCTGATTAAGAGCCCGACACCTGGATTACAGGGAATCCAGAGTGCAATGAGGGGAGGTTGGGAGGAGCTTACCTCATGAGTCAGGATAAGTATAAAATATCAATTTTAATCTAAAAATTACATATTTTTCCTTATCCTGACTCATGCTTAATTGCTTGTAGAATCCAACGGAACAGGTGGTGGGTCAAGCCACTCTGGATTCCATGCTGATTTACGTCCTGCATACCCCCCTGTGGGTACTTCTTATAGTAATATGCTGATCCTTCCTTCCAGCTTCCAGTTTGGGGGGACCACAACTTGTCAGATTTTCCGGAACTGCTTCTCCTGACAGTAAAAGTGGATTTATACGACTCCATGATTTGATTTCCGCATCAATGGAGAAGTGACCCTTCTTCATATACGAGTAAGTCCTTACAAGTATAGGGTCTGTCACTCATGTTAGCCTATCTTTAGCAAGCGCACGGACTCTAAGCTCCAACTCTTCTGAGTGTCGGCTTTTACAAGTCATGTGATAAAGGGTGAGATTCATCTCAGCGTCTTTGAGGAACCGTCAATTGTTGTGCTACAACAAGGGGCCCAAACTGGTGGATACCGGAGACATCCTCGGTAGCAATGTCTCTGAGGTAGTGGTTGGCAAACACCGTCTCCGACTTCTAATAGCAGCCTTCCATTATTGTCGAGATTGAGCAATTTCCATGTAGAGCAAGTGTCGACGCCAGTGCTCTTACTTCATGAGGATTGGAGGCTCGTGGTGGCTCGAGTACTGCTGCTTTATAGGCTCTCAATATGATGGCTCTCATCCATATTGATACTGCTGTACGTAAGATTTCTGTAGGTGTCTCCGTAGATAAAGGGATCAAAAGTCGCTTGAATTTTCGTCTCCTCATCCTAGACCTTTGTAGGTAGATTTGTAATGCTCTGACTGGACATAAGGATAGATCCTGAGTATCCTGTGGTCCAAGGACTGACGAAAGTGCTGGGATGTGGAATTGCCTGTCTGGCTGACCGGGCAAATTGGTTCTTTGCTATGAAATCCCATCTCAATCCCAGATGTATGATATTGCAATGTGCATCAAATCGTATTCGTTCAAAGTCCAGAGCATGTATTTCTGACATCTGAGCTGCTGTTGCCAAGGCGACCAGGAACAGAGTTTTATGTGTTAGAAACTCATAGGATCTCCTTCCTGGTGGTTCATAAGCATCACTGGTGAGATGCTGTAAGACTACGTTGAGATCCCAAGCAGGTGCTTTGAATTTCTTTTGTTGGTCTTCCAACTTAAAGGAGCGTAGTAGAGCTAGTATCTCTGGTACTTTAGTCAGTTTCACACCTGTCTTCATGGTGATAACTGTATTGAGGGCCGCTAGGTATGTAGAGAGCGTTGAACCTTTTAACCGCCTTGTTTGTCTTAGATGACACAGATATTCCGCCACATGTGGATGTGTTGCTTCCATTGTCGTGAAGCCCTTCCTCAAAGCGTATTTCTCAAAACTGTGCCACTTGTCGTCGTACAAGCTGTGAGTTGATCTAGGTAGAGCTAATGTGACTGCGTTCGCTGCTCTGGCGGAGTATCCTCTTTTCTTCAAGCAAGTTTTAATACGATCCATGCGTGTAGTTGGAATACTGTTGGATAGGCGTGTACTTGCTTGGTGTGCGGATGAATTAGTAGGTTCGGCCACTCTGGAAGTTGTAGGGTTGGATTTCTGAGTTCTTGAATGAGGATGGGAAACCACCCCCTCGCTGGCCAGTAGGGCGTGACCAAAATCAGTTGCAGGTTCTTCGTCTGCTTGATTTTCTGCAATACCTGCGGTATTAGAGCTGGAGGTGGAAACGCGTATGCGTTTAGTCCTTCCCAGGAGATGCTTAGAGCATCTGTTGCCCATGCTTGTGGATCCGGAACCGGAGAGACGAATGTTGGCATTTGTTTGTTGAACCTTGTAGCAAACAGGTCTATTAGTGGAGATCCTATCCTCTGTATGATGCATCTGAATGCTTCTGGGTGTAACATCCATTCCGTCGGGGATGGTTGTGTTGGCCGATATAGGGCATCTGCTATCACATTCTTGGCTCCGGGAATGTGACATGCTTTCACGTCGATGTTCAAATTGTCTATTATGCTGAACAGATGAAAGCTGAGATCTAGTAGATTCCTCGATCTTGTTGATCCTTGTTTGTTGATGTAGAACGCCACTGTGGAGTTGTCCGTGTGGATCATCAGTTGTGCGTTCCTTAGTATGCTGGACCAGTGTAGTAAGGCGTTTATGACTGCTTTCATCTCGAGCATGTTGATGTGTAGACTTTGCTCCTGACTCGACCATTTCCTGCTGCCACTTCGTTGTGATGCATCTACGTGGAGATGGGTGTTGTACTCCGGCTCTGATAAGTAGGTTCCTCCGCAAACATTCGACTTCCGTTGGTTTCAGTCCGTCCGGTAGTCTGAACTGTCTAGATGAGGGTTCACGAACACTTGTAGTGGGCGCAGTTGTAGTCTTCCTCTGCGTGTCATGTCTTTTGCTGACGTGAGGAGACCGAGTAGGCTCTGCCAATTTCGTGTAGATACGGAGTGGGTAGTGCTTGAAATATCATCTGTTGTATCTTGACCCAACGCTCTTCTGGGACGACTATGCAATTCTGCAATGTGATGAACCGTATTCCTACGAATTGCAGATCCTGTGTGGGTTGTAGTTCCGATTTGAGGAGATTTACTAGCCATCCTGGTTGTTTGAGTAGCCTGATTGTGAAGTCTAGTTGCAGTCTGAGTTGACTGGGATCTTGATGAGCTTGAATCCCGTCGTCCAGGTAAAACGCACTGCGTAGACCTCGATGATGTAGATAAGCGATGATTGGCTTTGTCACTCGAGTAAACAAACAGGGGGCTGACGATATTCCAAATGGTAGCACCTTCCATTGGAAGTGACGTCCGTTGAAGAGGAATCGTAGATATTTCCTTGAGTCCGGATGTATCGGTATGTGAAGATACGCATCCTGTAGATCTATTCTGGCGAGGTAGTCTAATGGAGGAATGAGTTGTCGCAGTTGAGGCAGATGTATCATTCTGAACTTTGCGGGGCTGCATAATCCCTGGAATTTTTCTTCGGTACTAAGAAGATTGGGGAGTAAAAACCGGGCGTGACGAACTCCTGTTTTATTTCTTCGATCGCCTCCTTCTCGAGTAGAGTTGTGATAGCGTCTAGTAGATTCTCCCTCTGGTCGGCAGCATAGTTGTGGGCCAGAGAGTTGCTTGTCAATGGTGGTACTGCTTGTAGTTGTATCTTGTATCCTCTGCTTGGATCTGGAATATGTAGTCGTCCTGAAGAATTCCCCAATTCTTCCAGTAGCGTTGTAGACGTCCACCCACTGTTGAAGGTTGTATGGGAACGGCTGGGGGTGGAAGACTCCAGTCGTTCCCGAACCCGTCCTTCAGCGTCTAAAGTTCCTGGCACCTCTGGATGCCCTGCCTCTTCCGGGGTTACCTCTGGGAGCTCCGGTTGGGCGACGAAAAGAATCCTTGCCTCCTCTGGAGCTGCCGTATTTCTTTTCCCTGACTCTTTGTATTCCTGTGAACTTCGACTTGCCGGAGAAGCGTTGCGAGGTCTGACGGATAACACTAGCTAGTGTTTCGATGGACTTGATCATCATTACCTCCCTTGACTCTTTGGTTACTTCCTTGACCACGTCCTCAATTTCCCCTGCGAAGATAGATGGTGCTGACCACGGAGCTCTGTATAGTGACTTGGTGACTCCACGTACAGGAAGATAGTAATCCTTGTCTTCTTAACAGTGTCAGTCCTGCTGATGTAGATGCTAGATGTTCAGACATGAACTGATGATCTTTTTTCTGAGTTAGTAATGCCGAGTAGATTATTCTATCTTCTTCCGAGGTCGAGTTCCTAAACTTCGCGATGAGGGTTTCATTGATGGCTCTTGACCTGCCTAGGCCAAAGAAGGTACGTCTGGTAGTTGTGTCTTGTTGTGCCAACTTCTTGTCTTCCACTTTGTCGTTGCTGATCTTGTAGTTCTCATCTATCTCTGGGGCCTTCGTGAAGGGTTCCATGTAATGAAGAGAGAACTTCTTAGCGTTGAATGGTGGGACGCTCTGACTCTGGAACTTCATTGCCTTCCTGAAGGCTGTGCTGAGATTCCCTGGTACATCTGCGACCGGATTGATGGGTGGAAGAGTAAGTGTATCGAAGTCCTCGTTAGGCATCCTGTATGTAAACACTTCATTATCCTCTTTGGAAGGTGATGCAAGTTCTAGTCCATTTGCCATCCAGGATTTAATTTCTGTGTCGGAAAATATGATTTCCCCATCATCTTCGGATTTAGAGGTTTCTAGTTCAGGAGATGGTTGCCATTGTGTCTCTTTCCTGCGTGGAGACCTGCGTGGAGACCTTCGTGGAGACCTGCATGGATACCTTCGTGGAGACCTGCATGGAGACCTTCGTGGAGACCTGCCGCGGAGACCTTCGCAAATGCTCCTGATGGCTGTCCATATCAGAGGAGGATGATCTGCGATGCTCCGGTGAACGTCTGGTTCTGTTCCTTCGCGAATGCTCCTTCGGTGAAGGTGTCCTAGTACGTCGTAGAGTGTGCGATCCTTCGCGCATGCTTCCTCCTTCGCGAATGCGTTCGTGCATGCTTCCTCCTTCGCGAATGCTTCCTCCTTCATGAATGCTTCCACCTTTGTTCATGCTTCCTCCTTCGTGAATGCTTTCTGCGCATGCTTCCTCCTTCGCGAATGCTTCCATCTTCGTGCAGGCTTCCTCCATTGCGCAGGCTAATGTCATAGGTGGGCTATGATCTGCAGGCTGCTTGACCTTCGTGCAGGTTTGATGTAGATGGGACCTCCATCACTGCTTTCTCCTGCGCGAACCTTCACTCCATCAGGTCCAACATCTGCTGTGTAAACTGCTGCATAAAGACCCCGGGGTTGAAGCTCTGCGACGACGGCTGCTGCTGCTGCTGCACTGCGGACGACGCATCTGAGAGTGTCGAGGCTTCTCCCAAGGACTGCTGCACTTGTGACGAACTGCCATCTCTATCTGATGTCTGCGTTGTGATGACTGCTGCTGTTGCTGTAGATGAAGACCTCGTCTTCTTCCTCACTGGCACATCAGGGATGAGGTTGGGTGGCTCATCATAAACGTCTACTTCATCTGCTGGGATGATCTCTGTAGCAAAAACCTCGTCTTAAGAGCTGCCCCATGTGAAGACTTCGCCGGAGTCTTAGTAGACGACTTCGTCTTCTGAGAAGACGATGCCCTCGTCTTCTTCGACTGCAATGAGGTTATAGTTGATGTAGATGACCTCTTCATGGAGCCGGAGCTGCCATCAGACACAGCAACCTGCTCCGTAGACGCAGCTGGTAAACTACTAGAATGGCGAATGTCAGTAGGCAACAATAAACGGTTATCAACGCAATCATTTGGTTTAGACATGACTTGTGAAAGTCGTCTACACCTGCCCTTGGCACGCCTAAAACTGGAATATAAATAGTTATTTAATTCAAATTCAGTTAAATGCTGACAAAATTGACAGCGAAAGCTGGAAGACCATGGAGAAGTACAATTAGGACATATTAAATGTGGATCAGCAAATGACAATAGGTATCTGCAACGACTGCAAGATTTCATAAAAAATAAACACGATGAAAACACATGTCAACAACGCGAACAAATACAGATAATTTTGACAAATTTCAAACCATATTGTTGGTATATCAATCCTAAAACCGTATACAACTAATTTAGTAGCAAGGCCTAAAAGTTTAAAGGATATAACACCGTATAGGGGACCCAGGCGCTCTCACAACCGTCCTCAAGGGTGAAGAAGGAGAGAGTGAGGGGCATGTCCGAACATGTGACGTGGTTTTCCCGCCAAGAGAGTCACAAGGGAGATAACACTGGGTGAGTGATTTTACGTCCGCTTTTTTTAAGGGAGCTTCAAAAGGGGATTCAAGTGTTCCACTATCATTCACATGAAGAAAGAGACAAGCAATTAAGCATGAGTCAGGATAAGGAAAACATTTCTATGCGTTTTCTTGTGTGTTGAATATGTCTCAAATATTGATTAACATCTAACGTGTCTTTTTTTCCATAAAGTTTATGTTGAGAATTGTAAAACAGTATGATACCCATATAAAGGTTTAAATGTCTCAAAATATAAAGGTAGCATGGCCACCCGGTGACTGGATATTATTTGTAAATTGTTACTTCCCCAATTTAATTCCCTTACAAGAAGACAAAGTCATCAATATCCCCTGCAATGGCAAAATACGCTTCATGATTATGTCTACGAGTTATGATTATGTCAAATATTTAGGTGTGTATATAGAAAAGTGGAAGGAGAGTATTGAAAGGTTTTTAAAGTTCTGCTCCAGAAAGCAGCACTATCACCAATTTCAGGCTAAGTCAAATTTGTTGCCATGGAAATGCCAAAAATATTTCATTCAGAATTCCAAAACTACCAAAAGGCATAAGTACACCACCAGATCTATCTATGTGCCAAGTTTGGTGAAGAAATAGTGAACAGTTTTAGAGTTCTGCTCTGGAAAAGAGCACTACCACAATTTCAGGCTAAGTCAAACTTGTTGCCATGGAAACGCCAAAAATATTTTATTCAGAATTCCAAAACTACCAAAAGGCACCAGTACACCACCAGATCTATCTATGTGCCAAGTTTGGTGAAGAAATAGTGAACAGTTTTAGAGTTCTGCTCTGGAAAAGAGCACTACCACAATTTCAGGCTCGATCCAAACTTGTTGCCATGGAAACGCCTAAAAATATCTTATTCAGAATTCCAAAACTACCAAAATGCTCCAGTACACCACCAGATCTATCTATGTGCCAAGTTTGGTGAAGAAATAGTGAACAGTTTTAGAGTTCTGCTTTGGAAAAGAGCACTACCACAATTTCAGGCTAAGTCAAACTTGTTGCCATGGAAACGCCAAAAATATTTTATTCAGAATTCCAAAACTACCAAAAGGCACCAGTACACCACCAGATCTATCTATGTGCCAAGTTTGGTGAAGAAACATTGAACAGTTTTAGAGTTCTGCTCCGGAAAAGAGCACAACCACCAATTTCAATCTAAGTCAAACTTGTTGGCATGGAAACGCCAAAAATGTTTTATTCAGAATTCCAAAACTACCAAAAGTCACCAGTACACCACCAGATCTATCTATGTGCCAAGTTTGGTGAAGACATATTGAACGGTTTTAGAGTTCTGCTCCGGAAAAGAGCTCTACCACTAATTTCAGTCAAAGTCGAACTTGTTGCCATGGAAACGCCAAAAATATTTAATTCAGAATTCCAAAACTACCAAAAGGCACCAGTACACCACCAGATCAATGTATGTGCCAAGTTTGGTGAAGAAATATTTTACGGTTTTAGAGTTCTGCTCCGGAAAAGACAAATGTGCACGGACGGACGGACGGACGGACGACAGACGGAGTCCATTTTAATACCTCCCATAACGCGTGTTGCGGGGGATAATAAGGATTATGTTATCTTAGCTCATATCTCTGTCCCCCATGCAGCCCGACCCCAACCATCGTCTGCAACACCCGACCAGGTTTTGCTTTTTAGAAGACCCCCATGTCTGTTTGTTTTTTATAGTGGTAGTGAGACTCCATGGTAGCTACATCCTTAATAGTTTCATAAGTAAAAATATTATTTTGCACGTCAGCTATCGTTTCTAATGAAGCTAAGTCTAATTTCAAAATGGGCATTTAAAATGTGTCCTTTGTAATACAATATCATCGCACACTAATTTGCATAAAGCCAAGGTCTGTTCCATATAAGTCGACACATTGCTTGGACTTAGAAAAAAACCACATTGCTCATTTCTGCACTTATCTTTCCTCAGTAAAGTCCTTTTTTCACGTTTCCTATCTCCCTACCACCGAGACTGTAGTTAGGCCGATCTTAGTTTAACAGATATTTCACACTTTCACATATTAACTCCATAAATTGTGGATCTAAATGTGAAAAACAAATAACATTTTTTTCTTCTATTTCCAACAGTACTTTAGCAATGGAGACTATTTAATGTCACTGTGGCCAGCATTAACGCAATAAAAGCAGAGCCATTAATTGTCTTAGAACTATAATTGACAAATGTTCTGTTTCATTTATATTTGAACTAAGTTTGTTCACTACTACTTAGTCTCTGAAAACAATATTAACTGTTATTTGTGATTTCATAAGTTCTCAATGCTTAGTGCATGTATTACAGTAAATACAGTATCTGCGTACATACTCTGAATACAGGGCCATCAACTTGGTGTTGACCAGGAGCAGGGAATGTTGGGCCGGCCTTGATAGCAGGTCATCCGTATCCCTCATCACCTTCTCCAACAGCTCGATACACTTCTCATTCACAAGCTGGTTCACATGAAGCCGTTCAACAGCCTGAAACAGCATTATTTATTTTAATGAAATGATGATAACGTTTTGCATTACAGAACCTATGTTATGCATCCAGTACACACTGACCGTGTAATAAGTGCATGTATTTCAGTAATGTAATTTTCTGAATAAAATTGATATTTTATACTTATCCTGACTCATGCTTATTTGCTTGTCTCCTTCCTCTTGCGAACGTTAGTGGAACACTTGTATCTCCTATTGAAGCTCCCTTCAATAAAAACAGACGTAAATTCACTACTCACCAAGAGTTATCTGTTGAGCCGTTTTGGCGGGAAACTGTGGCGCCACCGTTTCCCACATGCTTCACTCTCTCCTGATTATGAGCCCGACACTTAAATTTGCAGGAAATCCAAAGTGTCTAGTGGGGAGGTTGGGGAGGGCTTACCTCATGAGTCAGGATAAGTATAAAATATCAATTTTATTCAGAAAATTACATATTTTCCTTATCCTGACTCATGCTTATTTGCTTGTAGAACTCCGTCGGATTTGGTGGTGGGTCAAGCTACTTCTGGATTTCATGTAGTGATTTACGCCATATATACCCCTATGGGAACTTCTTGTTGGCAATTCTATTTTACTGCTAGTCTCTGCTGCTGCTGCGACCCTGTACTTCCAGCTGCCTTTTGATCGGGGACCACAATAGTTAACGTTTGGTCCTTTCTTCTGTTAACATTTTATGTGGATTTTGCGACTCCATCTCTTGATGCAAGCATCAAGTGGAGAAGCGACCCTTTCCTGTACGCAGTATCCTTAAAAGTACTGGGTCCTATCACTTATGCTTGTCCTTAGGCGTGCATTTTTAGACTTTAAGCAGAACTCTCCGAGTGTAGGCTTTATGCAAGTCATGTGATAAAGGGCGAGACTGATCTCCACGCCTTTGAGGGACTGTCAACTGTTGTGCTGCACAACCAGCGGGCGAAATGGTGAATGCCGAGAGGCGTCCTCGGTGGCGATGTCCCTCAGGTAGTGGTTTGCAAACACCATGTCCGATTTCCAAAAAGCAGCCCTCCATTATCGCCGTGATCGAGGCAATTCCCATGTAGAGCTTAGTGTTGACGCAGAGCTCTAACCCGAGTGGGTTGGAGCCTTTTGGAGGATCAAGTCCTGCTGCTTTGTAGGCCTGTAGTATGACAGTTCTGATCCAGATTGATATCGTAGTGCGCGGAGACCTGTCTGTGTCGCTGTTGATGTCGGACTGAAGAGAGGCGCTTTGAATTTCTGTCTCCTGATCCTGGATCTTTGTAAGTATACTTTCAATGCTCTTACTGGGCACAAGGATAGGTCCTATGTATCTTGTGGTCCAAGGATGGATGATAATGCTGGGACGTGGAATTGTCTGTCCGGTTGACCTGGCAGTTGATTCTTTGCTATGAAGTCCCATCGCAGTCCCATATGCACGGTGTTTTGATTTTCATCAAATCGTGTTTCTCGTAGTCCAGAGCATGTATTTCCGACATCCTTGCTGCTGTTGCTAGGGCTAGCAGGAACAGCATCTTATGTGTCAAGAATTGAAGGATGTCCTCTCTAATGGTTCGTAGTGAAGCGTCACTGGTGAGATGTCGTGAGAACTATGTTGAGGTCCCCGCGCCGAGCTTTGAATCTCTGTTGTTGGTCCTCCAATTTATAAGAAGCGTGAAGTAAGGCCAGTAACTCTGTTACTTTTCGTCAGCTTGGCACCTGTCCTCATGGTGATGACTGAGCTCAATGCCGCTAGGTATGTTGAGAGTGTTGACCCTTTTAGTCGCTTTGTTTGCCGTAGGTGACAAAGGTAGTCCGCCACTTGAGGGTGTGTCGCTTTTATGGCTGTAAAACCGTTCCTCGCTTGGCGTATGTCTCGAAGCTTTGCCACTTGTCTTCGTACAAGTTAGCGTGTAGACTCTAAGTAGAGCTAGTGTTACTGCTTTCGCTGCCCTGGCGGAATATCCTCTCTTGTTCAAGCACGCCTTGATACAGTCCACACGTAGTCGGAACACCCCTGGGTTGCCGTGGCTTCTGCTTTGTGTGAGGATGTACTAGTAGATTCGCCCACTCTGGTAGTTGCAGTTGAGGTGGTTCTAGTTCTTGTATGAGAATGGGGAACCATACTCTCGCTGGCCAGTAGGGCGTGACCAAAATCAGTTGGAGGTCCTTCTCCTGGCTGATTTTCTGCAACACCCTCGGTGTAAGAGCTGGCGGAGGAAACGCGTACGCGTTTAGTCCTTCCCAGGATATGCTTAGAGCATCCGTTGCCCATGCTTGTGGATCTGGTACTGGTGAGACGAATGTTGGCAGTTGATTGTTGAATCTCGTGGCGAAGAGGTCTATTAGCGGTTCTTCCATCTCTTGGATGATCTGCTTGAAGATCTCTGGATGTAGCATCCATTCTGTTGGAGATGGCTGGCGTTGGACGGAGAGGGCGCTCTGCTATCACATTCTTGGCTCCCGAATGTGGCATGCTCTTATGTGGATGTTCAGAACGCCTGTTAGGTCGTAACAGTTGAAAGCAGAGGTCCAGGAGGTTCGATGACCGTGTTGATCCTTGCTTGTTTATGTAGAACGCCACTGTGGAGTTGTCCGTGTGCACCATCAAATGAGCATTGTGTAGAATGGTGGTCCAGTGGAGTATGGCGTTTATGACTGCTTTCATTTCCAGCATGTTGATGTGCAGACCTTTCTCCTCTTTGGTCCATGTCCCGCTGACACGCCATTGTCGAGGTGTGCTCCCCAACCTTGGAGTGATGCATCCACGTGAGGTGTGTCTTGCACTCGGCCTGCTAAATAGGTGCCTCCGCAGACATTAGATCTCTGGGTCCACCATAGTAGATGTGGTCGTGAAAGGTCCCGGAGTCCGGAAGCGATTCCGGTCGTAGATGAGCAATGACGTAAGACCTGTAGTGGGCGAAGTTGTAACCCTCCCTCTGGCTGTCATGTCTTGTGCTGACGGTGAGGAGACCCAACAGACTCTGCCATTGTGGCCACGGAGAGAGTAGAGCTTGAGCAGATTGTCTGTTGTAGCTTGAGCCATCGGTCCTCTGGTACTACTATGCGGTTCTAAGGTCCGTGGAGGAACCAGATTCCTAGGAACTGCAGGTCCTGTGTAGGTTCTAGGTCCGACTTGAGGAGATTCACTAGCCACCCCAGTTGTGTAAGCAGTCTGATGGTGAAGTCCAGTTGTAGTCTGGAGATGCTTGGGATCTTGATGTACTTGAATCCCGCCGCCTAGGTAGAATGCACCGCGAGACACCTCGATGATGTAGATATGTGACTATGGGCTTCGTCACAATTTGTAACCAACCAGGGGGCCGATGATATTCCAAATGGCAGGACCTTCCATTGTTAGTGTTGTCCGTCCAGTGTAAACCTGAGGTACTTCCTCGAGTCCGGATGTACAGGAATATGCAGGTAGGCATCCTGTAGATCTATGCTGGCCATGTAGTCCATCGGACGGACGAGGTGGAGTAATTGAGGTAGATGTATCATGCTGAACTTGGGAGGTCTTCAAGATAATCTCTGTTGAACGCCTCCTCATATTGTAGATGAGTCGGAACTTTTCTTTGGAGTTTTTCTTGGGTACTAGGAAAACTGGGGAGTAGAATCCTGGTGAGAGCTGGTCCTGATCCACCACTTCTATGGCTTCCTTCTCTAGTAGAGATGTGACCACTCGTGAGCCTCTCTGTCCGATGGGTCTTGAAGTCGAAACTTGTGAGGGTCCACTGTTAGCCGCGGAGCTGCTTGTAGTTGTATGCGAGCATCCGCCTCTTAGGATGCTGGATACAAATGGATCTTGAAGTAGTCCCCAGTTCTCCCAGTATAGTTGAAGACGTCCACCCACTTGTGAAGGTTGTACGTGACGGCTGGGGGTGGAAGACTCCAGTCGTTCCGAACCCTTCTTTCATCGTCGATGATCCCCGGCTCTGGGTGCCCTGCCTTGTCCAGGTCGCTCTCTATAGTTGCCGGGCGGCTTACTTGGCGACAAAGAGTCCTTCCCGCCTCTGGAGGTGCTCATTTTCTTGTCTCTTGCCTTCTGGAGACCGCTAACTTCGACTTGCCCGAGTAGCGCTGGGATGTCTGCCTGATGACACTGGCCAGTGTATCGATGGACTTTATCATGAGCGACGTCGTCAATCTCTCCAGCGAAGATGGATGGAGTCGACCATGGGGCTCTGTAGAGGGACTGAGTGAAGCGTTCACTCCAGTTGCAGGATGCGAGGGAGAACTTGTCGCCTTGCCAAAGTCAAAGCTGCGGAGATGGATGATAGATGGTCCGGCCATAAACTGCTGGTCCTTCTTCTGCATGAGTAGCGCAGAGTAGATCATCCGGTCTTCTTCCGCAGTAGAGTCCCTGAACTTAGCGATGAGTGTCTCGTTTACTGTCCTGGATCTGTTGAGGCCGAAAAACATACGCCTGGTCATCATCTCTATTTGCGCCAACTTCTTGTCGTCGATCTTATAAGACTTGATCCTGGAGTCGTTGATGACTTTGTAGTTATCGTCGATCTCCTGCGCTTTCAGGAATGGGTCCATGTTGTGGAGCGAGAACTTCTTGGCGTTGAACTGTGGAGGATGCGGCGCCTGAGATTTCATGGCCTTCTTGAAGGCTGCATCTAAGTTCTCCGGAACCTCCGAGATGGGATCAATTGGTGGTAGAGTGATCGTGTCGACGTCATCGTCCTGCATCAGGTAAGTCTGGGCTGCATTCTCTTCCTTAGAGGGTGACGCTAAGTCCAGACCGTGTGACAGGTGCGCTGATCAGGGAGTGTTGATCCTCCTCCGATGGTGATCTGTGTGGTGACCTTCGCGGCTGGGGAGACCTGCATGGAGACCTGCGCTCATCTGCCCTCAGTGTAGATACCTCGACTGGCGCAGCTCATCATAGAGTCTTCTTCAGACCTCATCGACAATCCCGCCGAGAAAGCTCTTTAGAAGTCTCCGCGCTAGACGCCCCGTAGAGTTGGTCGCCAGTCTTAGGGGGTGTGTAGCCTCACGCGTAGAGGATGGCTTCTTTTCTTAGTCTGGCGATAACGGATGTCCGGAGCTGGCAGCCTCTTCTTGGAGGTGGCGGACAACGCCCCACTTCCAAAATATAGTATCTGTGTCAAAATCAACAGATAACTCTTGGTAAGTAGTGATTTTTATTTCAAGTAAAAATGCATAACTTGGTGTTGACAAGAACCAGGGAATAACTGTTCGCATTACAGAATTTAGTATGCATCAAGTACACACTGATAAGTGTAATAAGTGCATAGTGTTTGAATCAGTGCTAAATGAATGAATTTCATTATTTCAAAAGATATACTGCAGCAACCAGTGATGCAATGGTAGAAGATAGAGGAAGTTTTAGTATTATGTTCTTGTACAGTGACATTCACTCAAACAGAAAATCTATCATTCTATCTATAATGCTACTTTCTTTCATGGAAACGCAAGTTTAAAATACAAGCAACCCATGCTTGGTGACTAACAGGATCAAGTGGTCAGGCTCGCTGACTTGGCTGACAGTCACGTCATCGTATCCTAATTACGTAGATCGATGCTTATGCTGTTGATCACTGGATTGTCTGGTCCAGACTCTCACAAACTGCCGCCATACAGCTGGAATATTGCTTAGTGTGTCGTCAAACAACAAACAAACCAAACCAAATTTAACACCTGTTTATATATGTACTAAACATCAAATCTAACACCTGTCTCTCTATGGATCTCAATGAATTATTTCAATGAGCAAGAAAAAGATCACACTACCTCAACAAGGTAGCACTGGTCGTCTTTTGATAACTTAGAGTATGTGTCCAGCAGTCTCCTCAGAAAGTTCCATCTTGCCTTCTTGTCCTCAAACCTAGAGTGGCCAATTCTACAACAGAGTGAGTGAATGTATTTTTCATACCAAACAGCATAATGATCCACAATGCAAGGGAAGCATACATAAGAAGCGATAATGTTAAAATATAATCCCTACTGATTACATTAACAAGATCTACCTAGGATCAAACTAAGCACCCTGTTTTCATAAAACATTCTTACATTCTTAAGTCAAAAGATGTTTAAACAATGCATTTTATAAATGCTTCTAATGCTATGCAAACCTAAGCATAACAGCATCATCCTTTGTATGGGTCCTGTTCTCAGTAAAATATAAGTCATCTCTAAATATGCCATAAACATATCTGCAATCATATTAACGTGGAGAGTCCAGTTTTATACCCCAATTTGGGATTTTGTACTGATATCCACTGTAAATATAGGGTAAACATCAGCCTCTGAGCAGGGCTAATTGAAATCATGGAATAATGTACTTACTCATCTGAAATGGGTCCAAACATGAACCCAACAAATTTTAGGAATATGAGAATTTTTCTGTTCAAGGCATATTCTGTCTCCCTGTCATCCCCATTCATACAAATGAACAGCAGGTCATCAACCTGAAACACAGACGACACACTATCCTTCAAATACCATGGTAAACATGTTGTACACAATAACTTCTTACACATCACTTCCCACAATGGACTAACTCTCATGATTCTCATATATCCAAACTGACTTAGAAGTCAAGACTAATCAAATCAATTTCTGGAATGTGGGCCAGACTTTGTTTCCTTAAAAGGAAAAAAAAATATAAGACATAATTGGTCTATAATGAATAACCAACGTATCCTTGTATGTGATACATCAAGCTTTCACATATCAGTTCTTGACCCAACAAGTGAGATATACAGTATTATTGATACATACAAGTACAATTCATACCTGTTTAAACACAAAGATGTATCCATTTTCTAGGGTCACTGACGTACATGGGTTCTTAGACTCTTCAATTAGAGCCCAGTTGGACAGCACCAGGGGTGAAAACAGCTGCATAAACACAGTGGAGTCCACATTGTACAAATCTTTTTCTGCGTCCTCAGGCTGAAAATAACATAAAGTTTTAAATAAAACTTATAATCACACACAAATGATAAAAATATTATTGATAAAATGTAAAGTCTGTTCAAGGAGTTCAAATCTTCTTGTCAGTGTCAGGGATCTACATCGTAATTCCTTAATATAACCCAAAGAAGAATTTTCATAGACAACACAGTTCTAAAAGGAGACAAATTTACGCTTCAGACCCAAATGTCACTCAACATAAGCTAGCTTTATAAACTCATTTCATTTCACAAAATTGATAGTATGAGTGATAATCAGATCTCAGATATCAACCCTTTATTTTTTAATTTAAAATCAATCCATAAAAATGTGCGATCAGAATATTCCTGGCACAGGTCAAAATCAAGAACTACATCATGAAAGCTTTGTGGTAAATGCTTAAAGCCGCACAATAGTTTAACTGAAAGGAGGAGACCAATATTTTGGAGAATGACACATCATATTTTGTCAACCTGTAAAAGTCTGGGTTAGAATTGGTTATCAGCTACCCATGATTGTCATAGGAGGTAACTATCAGGATCGGGTGGTCAGGATCACTGACTTGGTTGACACATGGCATGGTATCCCGATTGCGTAGATCAGTGCTCATGCTGTTGATCACTGGGTTGTCTGGTCCAGACTAAATTATTTACAAACCGACGCCATATAGCTGGAATATTGCCAAGTGCATTGTTAAACAACAAACTAACAAAAATAATATTTTGTCATGTTGTCATATTAATTCTTTTTTTTTCATAAACTGACTCAATAAAAATGTTCATCCACTATTTTCTGCAACAAATTTTCTTGTTTAAAAAGTCAGAGATCAATATCCCATCCCTGGAAACAACTAATTGTCGACCCCAAATGACAGATGTATATTCGGTCTTAGGGGGCCGGTCTTAGAATAGTCATCCTATTTCTGAAACAAAACGTCAGTACTCTTTTCACAACGCTCAACTCCAAGAATGGGAGTTGTCTGATCTTATGATGAAAACATATCTAACCTCCTGCAAGCCTTGCTTGGCAGCTTCACGGTTGATATATGCAGCGAAATCATCATCAAAGTCTACAAAAAGCACATCATTTATTTTATTTACAACAAGAAGACACTTCATTTTGCTACTTTCTGATTCTCTTCGGCATATTTCTCTGCTAATCGCTTCCTGTTTTGTCGTCTGCACGTGCTTTTGTTTATTTACTTAGTTTTGAGCCACTGATACGAATATTTTTATTTATAAAAATATATAGTTATCGGTCATTATGATAGCATACATATAGTTTAAAATATAATTTACATTTTTGCAGTTGTCATGTGAATAGTTTACTTCCCTATAACTCGTATCTCATGTTAAAACCTTTTACGATATTTTGGATGTAAATGTTAGCCTTGCTTTCATTTACTACACTTCCGGTTGAACCTTACTTCCGGGAGTAGTTCATGAGGAACGCAATAAATCATACTGTAGTTTGATTAGTGGGCGTTATATTTGACATTACAAACTGTGATGATGGATGATGTAAGTAAACATTTTAATAGCGTATAATGGCATATTTGATATAGGTTTGTGAAGGGAATATAAGAATTGAACTCTCACTCTGAGTTACCATCTTCACTTTCACAAGTAACACCAACACAGAGAGTATATAGTCTCTGACCAACATGACAAATAATGAGACACCCCGTGCCCCTTTTATATTTTAGATGCATATGGGTTAATTGATAACGTAGCCCAATATATATGATATTATCATTTTGGGTAAGACGAAAGAATAATGTGTAAAAACTTTTTCAAATGCATATTCCTTGTAATTCAGACTTACAGCATGTGCATGGTTCAAGTGGTAGGTATTGACACTTCTTAGTTGTCAGTTGTGAGACATGGATGACATTTAACAAGAACATCAGTTATATGTTCAGTACTCACTAGTAATGCTAACTGATTAACAACTGTTACAAATGTAAATTGGAATATTGAAAAATATCAATAAAAAAAACCTAGTATAAAACATGTAACAATCTGACACCTTATCATGTTTAAAATTGTAACCATGGTAACGTGGCATCAAATTCAACCTCATCATAACCATAGACATAATGATGATTTCAGTGTTACCAGGGCCTCAATGTAATCAGAAACATTATCATTTCAGTCAATGATGCACATTCGAATCCGTGATGTGAATCCCAACATAGTGTGTTCCCTCTGTGCTGGCTACTTCATTGATGCCACAACCATCACAGAATGTCTCCATACATGTAAGTTAACTAGTGTAACACGTGAGTTTGTAAGTTATGTAACCATTCTTGATATTTTATGCATTAGATTAAATATGTTTAGTTCCGTGATCATTTTGATACAAGTGCTGTATCATCGTGAGTTTATGATGTATCAACATGATAAACACAAAGCCTCAGAACATAATGAAAGGGGTGGAGGGGTGGGAATGTGTACTATAACGGTTCCTATGATATTGTATTTCTCAGAAGCTAGTTATTTGAATCATGTTCACTAATATGAAGGTGATACCATCAAGACTGTCAAGGGCACCAGTCATACTGTATGTCAACAAACTGTATTGTTACAGCCTTGACCATGACAACAATATGCAATGACTGTTCATTTAAGAATGTTCTTTTATCATGTTTATATCTCATTTCGAACCTGAACTGAAATCTTTAAAGTTGATTGTTAATCTTGTGTTTCAGTTTGTAAGAGTTGCATTGTAAAGTACCTTCAGACCAGCAAGTGTTGTCCTCAGTGCAATGTCAAAGTTCATGAGACCCAGCCACTGTTTCACTTGCGAGCTGACCGCACACTGCAGGACATTGTGTACAAACTGGTTCCAGGCCTGTTTGAAAGTAAGCAATAAAGAAATATAACTTTTTGTTATCTGAATTAATAAAAAACAAAATAATCATGACATTCTGACTATAAAAACAGGCATGTCATGTTATAATAATTAAACAGCTTGTAGAAAACAGGAAAAACATAGTAATTTAGCAGACATAAGGCTGAAATCAATGTATATTACTGTACATTAATACTATTCTGTCTTGATGGAAGAGTATATTTCAACAGTTTATTAAGTTTTAACTGGAAAAGAAAAGAACAATAATATAGCTGCAATGATTATCCCATAGTTGAAGTCCTCATCTCTTACCCCTGACATGTTTGAATTTGTGGAATCTAAATAGAGCTGTGACGATATATCGTAGTATCGATAATCGTGATACTTTATCTGACGATAAATATATCGATACATGTTTTCGTATCGTGATATGTATCGTTGACCTTAAAATTGTTAATTTTCATTAGATATTGACGGTTAAGTCAAAATTTCTTGCTATTAAAATATGATTAAAAAACAAACAAAACTAACGAAAGCATATCGTGATATGCATCGAATCGAATCGTTCCAAGATATCGCGATACGTATCATATCGTGAAATTTCTGTATCGTCACACCTCTAAATCTAAAGAATGAAAACTACTCTGAATAGATATTAAAGCTGGGTGTGGGGACCTTCTCAATAAAGTTAACCAGTTTTACAGTAGTGTCCGTCACATTGCCATGGAAACAGTCGTTACTGGTATACCACCTGGAATCAGTGGCTACAGGGATACCATTTGAAACCTGGAGTCCCTTATGTTCCTGTAGCAATGATAAGGGAGGTGACAATTGTTTTGAAGATTTTGCATTTGGACAGTTGTGTTCATCTCATACCCAAAACTAGATGCTACACTGAAAATATTACTAATGCAGCAGAGACAATGTCTGAATCAATTAGTGTCAATTGTGTGTATGTCTCCAGGTGAAGAAAAAAGAAGGGAGGAATTCAACAAAGCCAGGGGAACTATCATGGTGAAAAAAGATGGCAAAGAAAAGAAGATAGAAGGTGTGTGAAAATTATTTAAAGCAATTATCAAATCAAATTTCATTCAGAAATTGACCTTGTTGAGTGAAACAATAGATAAACATGGTTAAAGAAAATTGCCTGGTTTTTCTTTGCAGAGAACCAGTTGGCTCCTCGTCTGTCCAGCATCCTCAACAACCCCCAGAGTTACATGTACAGATATGATGAACAGATCTGCCTCTGTCTGGAGAGGTTTGGGTAAGGTTCTTTCTTCATAGGGGCGGTGGGGTAGCCTAATGGTTAAAGTGTTGGCACGTCACGCCGAAGACCCGGGTTCGAATCCCCACATGGGCACAATGTGTGAAGCCCATTTCTGGTGTCACCCGCCGTGATGTTGCTGTAATATTGCTAAAAGCGGTGTAAAACCAAACTCAGTCAGTCAGTCTTTCTTCATTATTCACAAAATCAAGTTGTTTGATTGCTCAGTCTTATGCACTTTACTGCTGTTAAGACATCATAATGCTTGGTAATCCGGGGATCTCGGGATTGGGGGGGATCTGTTATACGAACATAGGTTCCTGGCATGCCTTAGAGACTATAAGGGATATAACTCTTGACGGATAGTTAAAGCTCTTTAGTGTCAGCTCTCAGACATTTTGAACATGTGGCCCCATATATATATTCACTAGTCATAGAACTTTGTGTTTTGCTGATCCCCCCTCTGTCAATACAAAATTGTCTGTGTATTATTGCAGACATCAGACAGTGTCACACCATGGGAAAAATGTGCAGCTGCAGCCGTTAGAGAAGAAGTTTGTCCGGTGCTCCATTCGTGTCCTCATCTCCCATCTCAAGTCAATGTTGTACAAGAAACTGGGGATACCATCTGCACTGAAGGTGAGTCTGAACATCGGCCCAACAGAACTCATTTACCTACTGCCCACTGGAGGTAGATCTAGGATTTGTCACAGTGGGTGTACACTAAGTCTTAAATGAACAAAGATATGTAATGAAGTGGAGTCACATATAACAAGTTGACATGAAAGTTTCTAGCAAGAAAACAGATGTATGTCAGCACACCTTCTGAATCTGCTATATGCAAACGTGGCCCAAACAGGTAAGCCCTCATTCACACTGGTATCCCTGGACTCTTCAATCCAACAACATGCTCAGTCCATAATGGCATCCTTAGACCTGTCCATCATTCAACATGCTTGATCTATATAGGCACCCCTTAACCCTTCAATTACTCAACATGCTCAGTCCATATTGGCATCCCTGGACCATCTATCCCTCAACATGCTCAGTCCATGTTGGCATCCCTGGACCATCTATCCCTCAACATGCTCAGTCCATATTGGCATCCCTGGACCATCTATCCCTCAACATGCTCAGTACATATTGGCATCCCTGTCCCATCTATCCATCAACATGCTCGGTCCATGTTGGCATCCCTGGACCATCTATCCCTCAACATGCTCAGTCCATATTGGCATCCCTGGACCATCTATCCCTCAACATGCTCAGTCCATGTTGGCATCCCTGGACCATCTATCCCTCAACATGCTCAGTCCATGTTGGCATCCCTGGACCATCTATCCCTCAACATGCTCAGTTCATGTTGGCATCCCTGGACCATCTATCAATCATTATAGCTAAAATAAAAGAAATTTGCGGGCCGCTGCAAATGATATTGGACCGCTCAACCTTAACGACGGGCCACTATCAGTTCTGTTGTCAAGTGACGTCATAGTGGGTGCGTGGGCTTACGGTTCATTCGACATTAATTGGCTTTCGACTGGCAGATATTCTGGGTCAAACAAGTCAAGGCAACCCGAATTCCTGCTTTAAATAGCGGTAATATTGGCTTTCTTGTTGGTGCTAACCTTAACAATTGCACTATTAAGGCTGTTGAAGGACCAAAACCGAACACTGACATAGTTTGACATGTTGCAGGCTATGGTCTTGTCAAAGGCCAAGGTCGAATATCGTCACTTTCTGTTGTGACGTCACTTGAATTGTTCGATGACGTAATTGCATTCGGGCAGTCAACCCCGTCAGAAGTTGATTTAGGTAAACTTACAGTCAAATTCCTTCATTGTTTCCTTTTTCCTTTCAACACAAATTCCATGTATTTTAGCAATGATAACAGTAATGCTATTTTTGAGGGCATTATCATTTGCAGAAGCCCTCGGTCTTTTTCAACTGCCCTCCTTCGTCGGGCAGTTAATGGAAGACCTCAGGCTTCTGCAAATGATAATGCCCTAAAAAATAGCATTACCCTTATAACATGCTCAGTCCATATTGGCATCCCTGGACCATATATCCCTCAACATGCTCAGTCCATATTGGCATCCCTGGACCATCTATCCCTCAACATGCTCAGTCCATATTGGCATCCCTGGACCATCTATCCATCAACATGCTCAGTCCATATTGGCATCCCTGGACCATCTATCCATCAACATGCTCAGTCCATGTTGGCATCCCTGGACCATCTATCCCTCAACATGCTCAGTCCATATTGGCATCCCTGGACCATCTATCCCTCAACATGCTCAGTCCATGTTGGCATCCCTGGACCATCTATCCCTCAACATGCTCAGTCCATATTGGCATCCCTGGACCATCTATCCCTCAACATGCTCAGTCCATATTGGCATCCCTGGACCATCTGGACCATCCCTCAACATGCATCTAATCAACATCAGTCCATATTGGCATCCCTGGACCATCTATCCTCAACATGCTCAGTCCATATTGGCATCCCTGGACCATCTATCCCTCAACATGCTCAGTCGGTCCATGTTGGCATCCCTGGACCATCTATTGGCATCCCTGGACCATATATCCCTCAACATGCTCAGTCCATATTGGCATCCCTGGACCATCTATCCCTCAACATGCTCAGTCCAGTTGGCATCCCTGACCATCTATCCCTCAACATGCTCAGTCCATGTTGGCATCCCTGGACCATCTATCCCTCAACATGCTCAGTCCATATTGGCATCCCTGGACCATCTATCCCTCAACATGCTCAGTCCATGTTGGCATCCCTGGACCATCTATCAATCAACATGCTCAGTCCATATTGGCATCCCTGGACCATCTATCCCTCAACATGCTCAGTACATATTGGCATCCCTGGACCATCTATCCCTCAACATGCTCATGCTCAGTCCATCCCTGGACCATCTATCCATCAACATGCTCAGTCCATATTGGCATCCCTGGACCATCTATCCTCAACATGCTCAGTCCATGTTGGCATCCCTGGACCATCATCCCTGGTCCATCAACATGCTCAGTCCATGTTGGCATCCCTGGACCATCTATCCCTCAACATGCTCAGTCCATATTGGCATCCCTGGACCATCTATCCATCAACATGCTCAGTCCATATTGGCATCCCTGGACCATCTATCCATCAACATGCTCAGTCCATATTGGCATCCCTGGACCATCTATCCATCAACATGCTCAGTCCATATTGGCATCCCTGGACCATCTATCCCTCAACATGCTCAGTCCATGTTGGCATCCCTGGACCATCTATCCCTCAACATGCTCAGTCCATGTTGGCATCCCTGGACCATCTATCCCTCAACATGCTCAGTCCATGTTGGCATCCCTGGACCATCTATCCCTCAACATGCTCAGTCCATATTGGCATCCCTGGACCATCTATCCATCAACATGCTCAGTCCATATTGGCATCCCTGGACCATCTATCCATCAATATGCTCAGTCCATATTGGCCTCCCTGGACCCATTTCTCTTCCTTGCCTTGCTTTATATGTTAGCAATATTTGGGTTTGTGAATATTTAAGGTTATGTAGCTTACCTACCTCACCAATGTGGATTCACCAAGCCCGTACAAGTGTATTATTAACCATACTGAATACACTGCATATCAGTCAAGTACAGAAAAGGCTTGTATTTGTTACAGTTGGAGGTGTTGTGTGGGGAGGAGGAGATGGCAGATGAAATGTCCATGAAGCAGATCTATCTCATGTACTGGTGCCGGGTAAGTCTGGATTGATTATCACCCAGAACGGTAGAAGATCACCAGTCTTCAACAATGTGATCTTAGCACTATGATTATTGTAACTCTGTTTTAAAGAACAAGGTCCAGGTCCTGATGTAATAACTAGTTCACAATATGCATGCTTGCATTTTAGCAATTTTCATGCCTGGTCGTGCCGGCTCTGCTTGTCGTAAAAGGCGACTAACGGGATCGGGTGGTCAGGCTAGCTGACTTTGTTGACACGTGTCATCGTATTCCAATTCCATATATTGATGCTCATGATGTTGATCACTGGATTGTCTGGTCCAGACTACAGTTTTTAGAGACTGCCACCGTATAGCTGGAATATTGCTGAGTGCAGCGTGAAACTAAACTCACTCACTCACCTGATCATCCCATTGGGATATCTCAGGGATATGACACCATAGTGTTTAGCAGTTGTGGATGTTGTGTTTATGTGTTGGTTGTTGCCTAATTTTTTTGAGGTTATGGAAACAAGAACCAAAACAAATTGTTTGGATTTATTTATAATCGATTGTCTTTCTACTTCTACCATCCTCGATAATCTCCAGGGTATACGTTACGATCACTCTCCACTATACCCTGGATGCATCCACGGCTTGGGGCGATGATTTTATTACCTCCCTTGGCTGTCCTTTTATCCAGTCAGGTGCCTACGCTGGAAAGTTGAGCGTACCAATCACTACTCACTTCCGCGTCTTAAAATATCTAACCGTTTAAACTTGGCAACACAATTGATGCAGAGGTACTCTGAAAGAAGTAGAAGGAGTTCTTTCATATATTCTTTTTAAAGTTTCAGATCTGTGAATTTGTCTTTATTATTTCCCCAAAAATCTGAGTGGCACTGCGAACAAACCTTTGCAACTGCGACGCAATCTTTGTTGACACTGGCAAGCTCGGTTGTAACAGCGGCTTAGCTGATTGGCTACTGTGTAAATGCGGAGCCAGCCAAGGGAGGTAATAAAATCATCGCCCCAAGCCGTGGATGCATCCAGGGTATAGTGGAGAGTGATCGTAACGTATACCCTGGAGATTGTCAAGGATGTATTTCTTCCAGCTTCTTTATAACATTCAGTGGCCACCATGTCTGATATTCTCCTACTTTGCCTAACAGGAAGTGCCGATGACATTGTTCTACAGGATCCAGGAACCATGGATGATAACGTGAGCGTTTCCACACCTATCCTTCCAAATCTGTCACCCGGTGATATCATCACATTACTACCATCTGATCACTGTCAGAACAAGAGAGTTGTTGCCATGGCAACTGAGCAATGGCAGCATTCGTGACAATTTGTGTTGTTTCATGCGCTTCCTAATCATGCGTGACTGAAGAATGTTACATTTGTGATCTTGTACAGTACAGCTTCTCGCGGCAGCATTATCGTATCGACTCTGATTCACAGTTGGCCATCAAAGACATGTCAGCTCATCGTGTCGTCCATGACAGAAGGCACAGCTTTGCTTGTCAGTGTGGTGTAACAAGATATGCAAGCAATGCTGGATGGGGAAAAGTTGTGTCAGCCATCTGATGTCTTATGTGACTGCATGGTAGAAATTTGGATGTAAGATATACAAGTTGACAACTATGTGTTCATGTTCCTTTGTGCATGAATCACGAGAGTTAGTAAACACTTATCATGTCGCCATGTTCAGCATGTTTACGATTCCAGTGCTGGGGTCTTCAGTTACATGTCAGTTCACTGGAATCTCATCTTCTCCATACAGGGATCGATTTAGTGCTTTGTCACTTGCACTGGTGCAACCCAATATTACAAAGTGCAACCTAGTTATTTGTCTAACTTGCACCAGGTGCAAGTCAATTTTTGAGAAATATATTAACAATAAATCTAACATTACAGGCATAATTATGTCAGCTCATTTTTCTTCTAAACTTTGATTAATTCAATGGCATATTTCTTTCATTACACATTGCAATGAAAGCAGTGCAATTGAAATTTGTCTGGTGCAACTAGGTTTTTATCTTAGCTTGCACCTGGTGCAAGTAGGTTAACAACTCCTAAATCGAGCCCTGCCATATAATAGTCATGATTTATAAGTTTCTTGATTATTAAATCAGAGGTGCAGAGTGATGTCCTTGGTGTCTACGTCCAAAAACTCTAACCCAGTTTATTCATTTGTCGGTTTGAAATCTGTCAGATATGTTCTTGATTTACGATAGAGATATGACAAAATGGATGTCTTTGGCTTATTTAGTGTTTAGTGTTTATGTAGGTGTTCCCTCACAGTAAACAGATTAACAGGGTCCAATCTCATTCAGATCAGATCTCATACGCAATCTTTGTGTGAATTACTGTAAAAGGTTTCATCAGGTGAACTTTCAAACCAACCAATCAACATTGAGGCTTCTAAATTCTCAGTAACAGTGAGCATGGTCAGGAAAACATTCAGACAAGCATGTCTGATTTCAGTATCTCAATAACAAATATAATCAAGGCATTCCAAATTGAAAAAACAAGACAAACACACTTGATATGATGTGGATATTTTAAGTGTCTTGTGCACCAACCCATTTACACTCGAAAGGGTGTCCTATCTTATGTATATTGTTTTCTGTGTCAGGTTTCTTTTACAAAGATTGAATATCATTTAATCAAGGTGGTATTAATTGAAGCAAATCATTCAGATATTTGTTAGAAGGTGATTGGCCAATCTTTCCTTCTACATTGCGCAGTCAAAGGTCACGTGATTTAATCTTCTGTGGTAGTGTCTTCAGATCTTCACGATGAGTGGTACTGTATTACACAGTAAAAAGATCTGATATTTATGATATTGAACACTGTCACCTGACAAGGTTTCAAAGTGAGATAATGTCAGGAACTGATGCCATTCCTTTATGGGAACTGATCATTTGTCCGTTGAAAGGAATAAGAAACAATTTTCTTCTGAAAAATGTTGATTCTCATTATCATGCCAGTTTTGTGATTGTGAAGCATGTCATTTGAATGGCCAGTTGTGATTATGCCTTGTGGTAAATGTCTGATTCAAATTTGTTTTATGAATGTCAAGACTGTCTAGAGTTATCTTTCCTTACCTGAACCATGACACCATGGTTTCTGACTTGTTTTATGTTTATGAATTGAGTCAAGCAGTGTGTAACTTGAGTGAGCAGTGTGTTACTGTTGTTTTGGAATTATGACATTTATAATTTAAATTAGAATTATTTGACAAGGTCACCAAGAACAAAATGCTGTCATACTAGCTTGGCAACCATAAAAAGCTTGATCAGCTTGAGTAAACAAAGTTACCAAACTTGATCCAGAAGTGGAAGAGCACAATCTAAATCTACTAAATCCAGTGTTTCAGCTGTCTGTTTTACCTGGTCCAAGGTCCCTTTAATTGATATTTATCCGTTGATCACTTGAGAAATGTCATGGTTTGATGTACATGTGACTGCACCAAACTGTGTTCAGATAATGTAAATAGAATGGGACGTCTGCCCTATAGGTGACTTATCTCATTTTGCCTGAAATGTGATGTAACATGTGATATATATGAGTTCAATATTGCAGTTAGTTGTACCAAATGTTTGAAGAGGGAGCGTTTAGAATATGAAGATGATAAAGTACATCTTAGGCAAGTCCCACTTATCCTGTTCTTCAGAATGAAGTTGACTGTTCCATAATATCTTGTATGTTTGGTAGGGATGGTGGGGCTACCTGGTGGTTAAAGCATTTGCTCGTCATGCTGAAGATGGGGTTTGATTCCTCACATGGGTACAATGTGTGAAGCCCATTTCTGGTGTCCCCCGATATGATATTGCTGGAATATTGCTAAAAGCGGCGTAAAACCTAACTCACTGACTCACTCACTTAAGCAGCAAGGAGAGGTCGAATAGCTTCATGATTAAGGTGTTCACTCATCATGCTTATGACCCAGTTTTAATTCAGTACAAGCCTCATGATAATGTGACCTGGGCTCGTGAGGTGAGGTGAGGTGAGGCCTCCACCATATAGCTGGAACAATATTGTTGTGTGCGACATTAAGCCACAAGCAAACATACAAACTTAACTTGTGAAAAATGGTTGTGCAAGACTAGTCAATGAAACCCCCCCCCAAATATTTAGTAGTTTGAATAGCGGTTACATATATGAATACACCATAGAAAAGCCTGAAATTCCACAAGCCCTTTCTGGATTTCCATCTCTACCAGAATAACGGCTAGACCCAGATGAACAATATATTCAAAGGTCAGTAAGCCCTATCAGTCCTCAACCAATAAAAATGAAGATCTTGCCATGTACTCAGTGATCTACGTATACACACTGGTGGTAATTGTAGTTATCACGAGAAAATTCTGTTAATAGTGACAGTGCTGTTGAGCCCATCAGTTTCTATTCATGTAGTTGTGATGTTATAATGTAGACGTTGTATCTGTTTTCATTTAGTCAACATTATCAACAAATATGTTTCTGTTTTCAACATGTTTTGAGGCAATATGCTAAAATGCAGGAAAAACAAAAATGATAGAGAATGCGTTGTTGATTTGTGGTAAAAGTTATTGAGCAAAAACAAAAAAATTCAATCAATAAAACATCAAAATTCTCAGTAGACACATGAAAAACTAGTCCCCTGCTGAAAATAGTGAGATGTTTGGCAACAGTATTTATATTTTAACATATGAAGAGTTCAAGATCAACAAAAAAATATTTAATGAAATTTGTTATCTTCATTAAATTTGTTATCTTCATTAATTTAGAGGCATGTTTATGCTGTGTTTTATATTTCAACCTATTTTGCAATTATCTCCCAACTGACAGACACCTGACAGACAGTCGATTGACAGACACTGAACTGCAAACTGCCTGTCTGATGATGGGAGGATACATATTTTGCTTATGAAGAAATTGTCCCTATTGTTCGAATGACTGTATGAGACATTCATCCTCATATACATTTCATATCATATTGTTATTTTAGTTCCTATACTATAATAACTTACCCAGCAGATATATTGTGAATACTGAGGGCATTTTAACTCTTGCAACTTCATTGGAATAGTTAAAACAGTATTGTGATACTTCAATGGAGTTTTTCTCATATTTGAAATAGAGCAAATCTTTGATTCAAACTGATTTCGTTAGGTATGCAGTTAAAAAAACAAGTATGAACCATTCATTCTATGACTGGGTTATAGACTATATTTTTAACTTCGGAAAATCATATAATCACACTCTTGTTCTTGATGATGTCCAAAGTCCGGAACTTGCAAGTATACAAAAGTGAAAAGGATACTATCATAATATGAAGGATAAGTTTCATTTTATTATTCAAATGACTCCTGTAACTTTAAAATTCTGACTTTTTTGAAGGTATTGTCTTCGTTTTCACAGCTTGAGCAATAGTGAATGAACTTACGCAAAACGATAGTGGAACAAATAACTTTTGTGCTGATTTTGTAACCTGTAATATATACTGTTGGGTGGATTTCTGGACTTTGTACAGGTAACTGATAAAGGTTACCTCCAGAATGGTTCAGAAAGTTGATACAGCTTATTGAAGGAGGAGGGCACATAATATGCCGAATACAGTAAGATTACCAGCCAGAAGCACTGGATTGTCTGGTCCAGCTGGAATATTGCTGAGTGTGGCGTTGAACAACAACCAAACCCAAACGAGCCAGAAGCAACTCAGTTTATACAACTTACAAAAATGTTATGTTTATTTCTTATGGTTTAAATTTTTATTGGAACTGCAGAATTTTTAAGAAATGGATCAGAAACTGTTTAACCAGTGATAGAATTGTTTGTGTTTCATGTTCAACTGTATCAGTGATGCTTCTTACGTCAGTATGTATATATTGTAAGAATTACTCATTGGATGAAAGATCTGGTCAGCTCTATTACTCTAATGAATTGTCCATGGAGAACCTTTGCTTGTTGTATGTTATAGGTAATTTTCTACCAAGTATGTGGAGAGTGAAAGCTGGTCTGTTCATATAATGTTGTTTTGATTTGTTAATAAAGAAATTGTTTATTTTTACTAAATTTGTTGTGTTTTTTAATGTTAACAAGTTCTTGCATTACAAGAGTGGGGTTGACTAATGCATGTAGTATTCACAGGATTTGTTTACATATTAATATTCTATCATGAATGGATCATTGTGGGTCAAGATCATGGCACACCCTCGTTATGAAAGCATATGAGTATATTTTTTGTTTTCTGTGTTGCCATGTTTACAATAGTACTGCAGTAGAAATGTGTATTCATAAAAAGGAAGTGGTGTTTTGAGAAATGAATTGCATGTAACTTTGTTATCAGAAGTAGTGTTCAAGACATTCATGCATCTATCTGATAAAGCTAGCAAATGTATCATGGGAACATCAGATTTGGATCAAATATACTACCCATCAAAAGTTTAGACTTACTTAAAGCACTCACCATACTTAATGTGATTACATCGAAGAAGAATTTCTCCATTAACTTGGGGGAAATAGCTGCAAGCCTTATACGGATCAATTGCATGTGGATCATGCATCAAATTGCTGCAAAGCATGTGCAAATATCGTGCATGTGAACAGCTGCGTTTTTGTTATTTACTGAACTCATGACAATAATATTTTCAATTTTTACGAATTTGTTTTTCAATACAATCAGTTCATGTGTAAACAGTACCTTTAAACAGAATGGAATATTTCGCAAAATCTAGTTTAGAACAGTTGACTGAAATAAGTGGCCACATTTACTCAAGTGAGTCTATAACTTTTGATGGGTAGTATACTTCTAAACAGTACAAGGACCAAAATAGTGATCTTCCACTGATCCTTGGTAAATAGCGAGTACCATATTTTTCCAGATCATTCTTCAGACCACCAGTACTGTCAGTAGACAGGAATTGCACTTAATTTCACTTGCACATGGTACTTAGAATTTGGTATTAGGAATTCAAGTAGTTATCCATTTCACCTTACCAAAGGCACCAGACAGGAAAATGCATTATAATGTGTAAGAATCTTTGGAGTCCACAGTGAAAACATTTGTCTTTTGTTCCATGTCCAACAGTGATGACACTAATGTCATACCTTTTGACCATTTCCATCAGTTGTTTCTGCCACTCTGAACAGTATTCCTGTTATATACGGGCATATGTAGAATAGTGCATCCCCCCAAAAAAATTCAACATATTTTCTTGGGGATTATATAAATTATAATGATGAGGCAGGGGGTTCCGTGTGGTATGGAGGAGAGGTTGATTCACATCCTACTTCCTCAAGAAGGATCAATTCCACTCCTAAAGCTCAGATGTAACAAACAAATAACACAACTCATCCATTGTAAACAAATATATTTGCATGAAAACAAATTCATGTATTGGTCACATGATGCCAATAGAGAAAATCTACATACAAGATCATGCCAATCCTTGGATGTAAACGTGTCCATCATGTACAAGGGAAATACGTCGCACCCAAGGTGGGTCCACCTAGGAGAACGGGGGACACTAGTCCCTACAAAAGATACCCTAATCCTTGATAATCCCTAGTATTACATCTTTCACCATAAATACCCTGGACCTACGTAATTTCGAGCAGTTTCATTTGATTACCAAAGGAAATATTGTGCTTCGTCAGCAGTTTACAAGACTATCTCAGTCCTGTTTACTGCTGACTAAGCGATATAACCATTTACCAAAGCTATGGTGAACTATGGTGTAGTCTAGTGGCAAGACAACAGATGGCAATGTCCTTCTCGAACAGAGCCTTACGAGTCCAGGGTATTTATGTTGGAATAAAGATAAAAGACCCTGGGTTACAGAGGATGGAAAACAACCTGATTTTCTTTTATTCTACATACAGAGTTATCATTGTGCTCTCATGTTGAATATGAATTGTTCATTTGGATGATATGATGGAACTATGGCAGTTAAAATAATGGCTGATAAAAGTACTGGTCAGCGATGCTGGCCCCTGATTAAAATGTGTGTCCCTTCATCAGTGTCCTGTGGAGAGAACCAGCAACTCATTCAAGAGTGGTCAGTGAGAAGTCATACCAAGACTCAGATGGGTGTCAGTCTCGATTCAGAGAAGTGTTAATTGGCTACAATTACATTTCTCTTGGCAAATAATTAGCATTCTAGTAGTTGATCTGTACTGTGCCATTTGTAGTAAAACTTGCTTCTCTTCACTTTTTTGCTCACATCTGAAAGTCACACCACTTTAGGCAAATTGAATAGAACACTGCTGATATCCAATATGGTCCTAAATCAACACCTGCTCTAGGCTGCAAGCACTCGGGGGAGAGCCACATATGAGTGAGTGAGTAAGTATGGTTTTACGCCGCTTTTAGCAATATTCCAGCAATATCGGAGCAGGAGACACTGGAAATGGGCTTCACACATTGTACCCATGTGGGGAATCGAACCCAAGTTTTTGGCGTGGCATGCGAACGCTTTAACCACTAGGCTACCCAACCGCCCCCTGAGCCACATGATATATGATAGCTAAATATAAGGGACAGTCACGTACATGGATTTTATTTTTGATAATTTTGGTAATTTGTTTTATTGTCTATTTTGGAGTCTTAATCTGCTTTTAGCATTATTGCAGCAAGATCACAGAAATGAGCTTTATAGATTGTACCCATGTGTTAAATTGAACCCAGGACTGTGGTGTGATGAGCAAACACATTAATCAAGAGGCCACCCTTGGTGTCCTAGAAAAGGCCTATGAACTATGGAGTCATACATGCTTGACTGGAGCAGGATTTTTAAGTACAGTAATAGATTTCATACCCATGAAGATCCGGGGGTAGAATAGGTCTTCATGAACCCATGCTTGCCACAAAAGGCGACTATGCTTATCGTAAGAGGCGACTAACGGGATCGGGTGGTCAGGCTCACCGACTTGGTTGACACATGTCATTGGTTCCCAATTGCGCAGATCGATGCTCATGCTGTTGATCACTGGATTGTCTGGTCCAGACTTGATTATTTACAGACCACCGCCCTATAGCTGGAATATTGCTGAGTGAGGCGTAAAACTAAACTCACTCACTCTCTCACAATAGATTTCAAGTTACTCATTGATCAAGACAGTCTGGTCTACATGCTGTACTAACTGTGGGAAGGTACCTCATTTCTTAGAAAAATTACTTCAGTCCTATACCACTTTCCATAAGCAAAGTGCTGACTGTCTTCGAGCAGACATATAAATGGTCCTGTGCCCCAGGAACTGGGAAGGAAATTACCCATGGAGAGTTTATGTTCCAGTTCATGAGTGGGTTAGGTTCCCAGTAGTTTGAGAATTCAGTGGGGACTTGTTGTTTAACTTTGCACTCATCAATATTCCAGCCATATAGCAGCTTGTACGCAGCTCAGTCTGGACAAACCAGTGATTGACAGTGTGAGCAACAGCCCATGTGGGCAAATTCCTCGGTCATTTCATAACAGATGAATTGTCCACTATATAAACAAAAATCCTGTGTTGATGGAACACAAATGGAGCCTATAGTTCATCAAATTTGAATTCTGAACATTTGACTTCATTGTTTGGAGTAATACCAGGACCGAGAATGCACTCAACATGTCCTGCCAGCGTCGAACATACAAGGTATTCAAACAACCGAGGGTCAATGAGGTCAAAGGTGAAAGAAGACAAACAGGGCACTGATGAAGGGACAGCATTGGTCAAGATGATTCCTGTTTCTTTGACCACCCGACTAACCACATGACAGTATAAACACTAATTAGTGAATATCATTTGGCATTGAGAAAGCTGGTGCTTCTGGCGACCTCATTCAAAAGAAGATAAATTCAAACAGATCATCACTTGAAAAAAATGTCTGATTGGAGAACACAGTTCTCTGCTTTGCATCTGATTGGCTATTTGTGTACCAATCAGTATTGGAGGTTTCAGATTCTTGAAGACATAACCGAACTGAATTGAACAAAAACTGTTTGACAGGCTGAATACAAAGCTCTTGATTTGGTGTTACTTAAAATGCAGCATATATTCTCCAAGCAACAATGTAATAAAAACATTCATGAGAACACTCTGCAAATGCAGATAATTCTAGCTGTTCAGACACTGAAAGAGGGTCTTATAAGTAGATTAAAACCTTTGTCTCAGAATACAATTTGTTTCTTCCTTCCTCACAACAGGACAAAATCAGTAAAATACATATAAACAAATACATACTTGAAGCATATCATATAGAGCACTGTTCAAATCATAATGTACATCTAATGCATTTCTTTGTACAAAATATACAAACTAATATTAGAAAAGAATATGATACAATCACTCACACATGGGTCATGGTATGAGACCACAACTTATTAAAAGGCTGTCAGTATCGTTTGTTGGAACGTGTCCAATGTAAATGGCACCTGACTGTATTTGCAGTAGTTCCACAATATTAAAATCATCAGCTTCATCTCCAGCATGTTTCCAATCTGAGTAAAACAAATTGTAACACTTTCCTAACAACTTTTCAAGAAGTTCGAAATTTATAAAAAAAATTAATGAATGTTGTTTTGTTTCAAGTAATGCCAATCTCAAGAGTTGAAATATACAGTTCACAGAATAGGTTCAGGAAGCATTTAAAGATTTAATTTCTATTATTAGATGATATTTAATGATCTTTGGAAATCACTTAAAAGCACATAAAAGGGTTTTGACAAATCTACTCCCCAAAATTTGTTCTTTGAATGACAACAAAATGACAACTTCGTCAAAATGTAATCCATGTAGCAACAATTACATCTTACAAAGTTTCAAAGTTCTTAAGACTCTATATAAACTCCACTATTCAACACTTCTTGTATTTAAAAGATTCCCTCTATCAAAACATTCAAACCTATATTTTGAGGTAATGATTGTATCAATTTGTTCAAATGCCATTTTTCACATAAATACTACACAATACACACAAGTATCCTTTTATCAAATTCACAAACATAACTTGGTCAGCCTGGACATACAGCTCACCATATGGAACAGATCAACCTGGAGTCAACTGTAACATGTTCAAAACAAACACAATAACCCTGGACCTGGATGCATGTCTCTCTCCTCAAGGATACACACCATGGATGACAAACACAGGAATTTCATTGGTTAATTTCAGTGTGCTAAATGACTCATAACATCTGGATTTTCTTGGACAATGACCTCTTGTTAAGGATCTCATTCTACACATGGATAGTAGCGCTATAAAGGTTGTAAGCCTGATAAGTTAAGATCATTGTTTTAACACAGTCAGCTTAACACAGTTTAGATTTTGTATAAAGTGAAACATGACACATTTAATGCAACATCTTCAACAGAGAAGCTGATTCTATGACAATAAGAACCCTCAATAAGTCAAACCATTTCTCTGGTTCACTGGAATTCAAACTAGCAGCGTTTGACTTTATTCCAAACTGATTGCCATCAAGATAAAGTTTTATGCATTGTCCATTTGTGTGGAATTGAACCTGTCTTTCATATGAAAAGCCACAACATATCTGCTATGCTACCTCATCAACCTTGATAGTGACCAAGAAAAAGCTAAAAAGATGACATGGTCTGTGCTCAAACAAATATCAAACATTTTCCAGACCAAGACAAATTGGCCTGGGCTGCAACAAAAAGCAAATATTTTTACAAGGTTTTCCTTTTCTTCAAGTCATTGCCAAAGATAATGGTAGGTCTGTTTTGCAGCAAGCGTTATCGTACAGTCCAGGGCTATTGTGGTACCTTGCTCTAGTGAATGACCACTGACATGACATGGAAGATTGAGATTTTTGTCTGTGTGAATAATGAGAATGTATTTCTATATATACAGCAGCCTTGTGATGGTATAAATATACAAATTGAAACTTAGCATGGTATCACACACTAAATGTTCCATGGAAGGGATGAACCATGATCCGAGTGTACAAGGAACAATGTCTTACATAAGATGTTTGATATGATACAGAGAATTTTGTATCTCTGAACAGATGAAAACCGCAATATTAAGCCATTCAGTCTCATCAAAGTCAGAACCTATACCTCTTTCTGACAGGATCTGAAGTACCCTTTAAAGGAGGTGCCAGTAGGTGAAGATTGAGCAATTTGACCATGTAATCAAAATGAAACCTGCAGGGTTTTTCAGCCAATCAGATGTCAGTATTTCCTCAGTTTACTGTTGTCAGTCGAGTTATTGTCCACAGTTTGGAAATTTTGGTTCGAACAAATAACAAGTAAAGAAAACAACATTGTGAAGATACCATGGCAGCATAAATGAAATTATGTACAATTTTTATATCATTCTTCTTTCAAACCTGCTGCCGAAAAACCTTTTTGAAACAACAAATATCAGATGTGCAGCTTTGAATACTCTGACCACTCACATAAACAGTTTCGAAGTCTCCATGGTGATTATCTGTCATTCTGCCCTAGATCTAACATATCTTTACACAGACACACATCGAATCTGACTTGAATGAAATTAGGTAAGCATTCAATGTGAAACATCTATAATTCAGTGTTCACGAATAGCATCTGACTCTCTGACAAATCCGGTAGATTCCCCAACGGTCCGATAGAAGTCTACAACCCACCAGCCCCAGTGTCCCAACTGTATATTTCACAATGACTGACTGAAGTTGTTATATGTGACATGTGACAGTTGTTTGCTGTTTATTGCTGTTTATAAATCTTATGTTTGTTAATAATTTCAATGCCAATTATAAGAAATGCTATATCTGAAATGTGAGATTAATTTTATTCTATGGGTCCTGTGAATTTTCAATGGGTCAGACAGACATCTGAAACTTACAGGACCCAATGTCCTGTTACTTTGAAACACCATTTGTGAACACTGTAATTACCAATCATAACAACTTGGTAACTTGGCAACTGTAAAGTACTATATTCCTGGCAACTGCTAGTGGGATTCGATGACATACATCAACCAGGCAGTGAGTCTAACCACCTGATCCTGTTGGTCGCCTCTTATGACAAGCATTGGTTGCTGAGAACCAACAATAACCCAGATCTTTATGGGTGCATAATATCTAGGTACTACAGGTTTCATAAATAACAATCACAAATACCATAACAATAGCAATAAATTAGGCAAAAGAAATATGGGTTTCCTATTTCAGCAAACAAAACGTAGGAAAGGAAGGTTGGGATGTCGACTTTTTCTTTTAAAAACAGAAATCTGCAGAATGTCCAAGAAGCTTGCTTTCAAATTAAGATAATGACAGTATTTTATCTATAGTGGAGCTAATAAAATTTACTCTTCTTGCATAAAATCAAGACAATATTGGGATGGGGACAAAGCCAAAGTGTCGTATGAAAAAAGAGCTGACTCAGGGGCTTCTGTTTACAGTTAAATACACAGTTTTGTTTTGGACCTTACCTGACCACATTTTCAGTACAATGTTGTTCTAGACGGATACTACTGCGGAAGCACATTTGGATTTCCTCTCATTAATTGCAATAATATAATACAGAGGTAAAGTAATCAACATGAGACATGAAATAATGCTAAACCAAATTGCACTTGAGTTACAAACGTTGTCAGTAGTGGACTGTAAATGCTAATCATGTAAGTTGAATTGGTATAATGCCTTTAACATGTTTGACAAGCAAAACTATTTAAGAGAATTGAAAAAATCAAGCAGTGTCATCTGAAGCATAAGGTAAACCTAACAGACTAGATTAAATTGACAACAAATTCAGGATCATAGTATATATCATTCAAAATCTTTTTGTGAAAACTGTTATCATGATTAGAGCAGGTGTTGTGTTGACAAACCTAGAAACATAATCAGTGTGATCAGGGATTCAAGCCCAAAGGACTAACTCTCCACAGACAATTCTGGCACCTCAACACAACTGGGCCACCTGTGCACATATACTCATAGAAACAAATAAGGGAACACATGAAAGTACAAGTGTTCCTTTGTTTCCAGAATTTCACTCACAGTGCAGTACATACCTTGTGAAGAAACCTGGAAAAGAATCAAGGAACACTTGTACTTTCATGTGTTCCCTTATTTGTTTCCATGAGTATATTAATGCCATTGCCTGGAACTACCATGAACCATACACTGTCAGTTCCGACGTATCACGCATCTAACACATAAATAAGTGCAACGATAATTAATGCCACTGACAACTCATTAGTGCCCTGAGTATGCTTACCACTACTTAATCTGTCATTACATTGACAAGCTACCTGAAAGTAAGACTGACTGACTGACTGACTGAGTTTTAGTTTTACGCCGCTTTTAGCAATATTCCAGCAATATCACGGGCGGGGACACCAGAAATGGGCTTCACACATTGTGCCCATGTGGGGAATCGAACCGGTATCTCGGCGTGACAAGCCAACGCTTTAACCACTAGGCCACCCCTCCTGAAAGTAAGAACACCCTCTGCATTGTACGAGTCTGCCAAAAAGACTGAATGATGTTTTCAGGCCTAACAACCAGACCCAGTTGTTTCCAACTTAAATGACCCATTACTTATCATTTAGCCTAAATTAATGCATGTGCCATTAAACCTGGTCATATCAAACTCTTAATAACACCATTCACACATTAACATGCCTAATAATGTCTTCCAATCCCTTGCATTTGCTGGTATCTAATAAAAGAACATTGGGCTTTGTACCTGAAAACATTTAAAGTACCTGAGTTCATAAAAACTTTCACCGATTTCAGGAAGGAAAAGTGCTTAGTTGCTAAAAAAGATTTGTGAGAACATCATACGGGATTACCCAAATCTGATGACACATTTTACACTTAATTCATCAGGTAATGATAAGTTTCAAGACAGCCCATTAGATGTTATTGAACCTAAAGAGTTTAATGCATCCATTAGTGAATAAGGTTTGATACAATCAGACCCTGGACATAAGATTTATCATCCAAAACTGTGTTCCACAGAAGATATCGCTTGTGTGAGATCAGACGATATCGTTTTGACAGTAGATTTTGTACAATGCCCTGACAATGCTAAGACGTCATGAACTTGTTGACGTCACAATGTTATGACATCGCTGCACTGCAAATCTAACGGCAGTACTGTGTTCAGAGATGTACATTTTTCATTGAAAACTAATGAAGAGTGATTTTTGATGATAAATAGAATCTCACCCTCGTGTCTTCTGATATCAAATATATCAACACTCGTTGATGAAAGCTAAAATATCCTCGGCAAGCCTCGGATATTTGTTACTTTATCAACTCGTGGTGATATATTTGATATCAAAAGACACTCGGTTGAGATTCTCTATATTTTTAACATAGAAAAGTTATGAGGATTAATGTAAATTGACATACATGAATGACATGCCATAGACGACTGATTCTTGTGAAAAGGATCCTACTGGTTGACTTGATAGATATGACACAGACAATGATATATGACTAATGACTGTTTTTAGGACTATGTGTTCGACTGTCTTGGCAATGGTTGAGCGTAGATATGATATATCCCTTGGATTGCTGTACAACACTGGCGTTCTGTTCATAGCCTGTGACTCTTATTTGTCCAGTTGTCATCCATCTAGGTCATGGTGACCTATGTAAACTTGCTGCAAAGTGGCGCAGTATTTTGAACCACCTCCTGGTCTGTTATTTCAGTGTGACATGCTCCTTTGACAGGTGGATGTGTCCGCTGACCTGTGATACCTCCACCTAGTAGGCTTCCATAGAACACCATCACACACAAACTGTTAACACCACAAAGTTCACAGTACTTCCATAGCCTATTATTATATACCAAAACATGATGGCACTGACTGATTCATTTATGTCACCAGCTGTGTAAACCATGACCACTTGGTAAAGAAGAACCTTGACACTGTGCATGGATCCAGATTAAAGAATGGGAGTTACGATAATCTTAGCACTACGACTGTCGTAAGTCTATATTAAAGAATGGGAGTTACGATAATCTTAGCATTATGACTGTCTTAAGTCTATATTAAAGAATGGGAGTTACGATAATCTTAGAGCTATGAGTGTCAGAAGTCCATGTTAAGAATGGGAGTTACGATAATCTTAGCGCTATGATTGTCATAAGTCTATATTAAAGAATGGGAGTTACAATAATCTTAGTGTTATGACTGTCATAAGTGTATGTTAAAGAATGGGAGTTACGATAATCTTAGAGCTATGAGTGTCATAAGTCTATGTTAAAGAACTGGAGTTACAATAATCTTAGCATTATGACTGTCATAAGTCTATATTAAAGAATGTGAGTTACGATAATCTTAGAGCTATGAGTGTCATAAGTCTATATTAAAGAATGGGAGTTACGATAATCTTAGCATTATGACTGTCATAAGTCTATATTAAAGAATGGGAGTTATGATAATCTTTTAGCATATGACTGTCATAAGTCTATATAAAAGAATTGGAGTTACGATAATCTTAGCATTATGACTGTCATAAGTCTATATTAAAGAATGGGAGTTATGATAATCTTAGCGTTATGACTGTCATAAGTCTATATTAAAGAATGGGAGTTACGATAATCTTAGCATTATGACTGTCATAAGTCTATATTAAAGAATGGGAGTTACGATAATCTTAGAGCTATGAAGTGTCATAAGTCCATGTTAAAGAATGGGAGTTACGATAATCTTAGCATTATGACTGTCATAAGTCTATATTAAAGAATGGGAGTTACGATAATCTTAGCGCTATGACTGTCATAGTCTATGTTAAGAATGGGAGTTACGATAATCTTAGAGCTATGAGTGTCACAAGTCCATGTTAAAGAATGGGAGTTACGATAATCTTTAGCTATGACTGTCATAAGTCTATATTAAAGAATGGGAGTTACGACAATCTTAGCATTATGACTGTCATAAGTCTATGTTAAAGAATGGGAGTTACGATAATCTTAGAGCTATGACCATCATAAGTGTATGTTAAAGAATGGGAGTTACGATAATCTTATGAGTATCTAATTAAAAATGCAAAATATATTGTTGAAAATTTTTTTAGTTCCCTAATCAATGTGTTTGTGATTGGTGCCTGTAGGCTTCCGAAGCTATTAAACATTAATAACTGCTTATATTGTTTGAATTGTACCTGGGCAGTACTTACTGAAAATGTAAATGTGAATACTCTTTAGGCTGGTGTTCACTCTGTGGTTTCCTCTAAGGAGGATCTAGGTAAACAAGGTTCTTCTTTACACAATATGGTCCTTCCTCTGAACAGCCACCCTCACAGAAATATGAAGTCTGAGCAAACAATGTCAATACAACTATCTACACTGGCACAATATTCACTGATTCATTTTGGTTCTGTTTGCTCACCATTATGTGTCCAGCATATCACGAGATCACAATCAGACATGTTGTTGTAGGCCACACTGACCCAATGATCAGAGTGCCACAGCCACTGATGTCCATATCTGCCAGGCTGATGTCTTTATGGAATTGTCAACAGTGATACTGTCATGGTTAAATGAAATGGCCGCATTGGCCAAAATGATTCCCTGATCTCTTCCATCTAGTCACCCCTCACAACGATGATCCTCTCGGTACCCAGACAGGAGAAATGAAAAGCTTCCTCTTTGATATTTGATTAAAAGGGTTAACAATGACCGCTAAACCCAGATCAACAACCCTGTTTGATGTTGCTTGTGGATGGATTCACCGACCAGATGAGGTTTTATGGACCAAGGGGAGAGCACTAAGTTCAGTTCTGATCTAAATCAAGGGAGATAATTTTGACAGACCACTTCAGGATCAGCCAAGAATGTTGTTGCCTTACTTCACCTTGTATGTGTAATGACCCAAAAATATGTGAAAATAACTATTCCATTTGATAAGAGGGAAAATACTAATAGTCTAAAAACTTCCTTTTGTCAGAATAAGGTGGGTAGAGAAGCTTTACCCAGCTTTGCAGCATTTCATGAGTAATACTGTCAGAAGCCTAAAACATTGGCCTCACAAATCACACCCTTCCATGAGTTCAAGTTCAGCTGAATGCTGAGCCAGCAAAGTGTACCCCTCACAATCCAGAGAAAGATATTTTCCACGAATCTCCTCCTCAGTTGAGAGTTGATGGTTGAATGACGGGAACATTAGGACCAGTGAGGCTGCACTCCCCTTTCTGGAAGCCAGCCTTGTTTTACTTATTGAGTCAGGAAATGATGTGATAAAGCTATAGTCTTTGCAACCCTGGAAGAAACACCCCAGTTTGTAGGATCAGCCGCCAAGTTCGCTGCAGGTCAAACGTGAGGCCGTTCCTCCCAGTCGCATAGTCATAACTCCGTCATCCTCTGTCGGTAATGTAGAGTGAGGGGGGCATCCTGGAACACACACATTGCAAATTGACACATTAGGAATAAGATAGGCTTGTTTGTGGTTTAATGCCATACAATTTTCCAGCAAAATGACAGTGATAATTATCACTATTATCAATCTATTATTTATTTATCGTAAATAATCTAGCCTTGGGGAGTGTGAGTGAGTGAGTGAGATTAGTTTTAATAATGCCAAATAATGCAAACGACAGAGCAGACAGATGTAAATATATTCAAGGTGGTTCTTCAACATAATTCTAAAGATGTGTATATTTTGTTTGTTATTTCACGCCGCACTCAGCAATATTCCAGCTATATGGCGGAGGTCTGTAAATAATCCAGTCGGGACCAGACAATCCAGTGATCAACAGCATGAGCATTTATCTACACAATTGGGATACAATGACATATTTCTACCAGGTCAGCGAGACTGACCTCCTGATCCCGTTACTCGCCTCTTACGACAAGCCTGGGTTACTGAAGACCAATTCTAGCCCTGATCTTCACTGGTTAATCTAGCTTGGACCTGACAAACCAGTGTTGAGTAAATCATAATAATGACTAGTGATCTACTTCAAGAAGGTACCCTGACACACGTTTACAGTCGTAAGGTTTAACGCTGCAATTAGCAATTTTTCAACAAGATCACAGTGGAGGGCAATACAAATGGGCTTTACACCCATGTGGGGATCAAACCTGGGTCTTCAACGTGATGAGTGAACACTTCAACCACTAGGCTACTCAGCCACATCCACTTCACTGTGGTACCATGGCAGACTTTCAAAGTAATTAGAACTAAGATATAGTGAATAAATAATGTTTGTTTGTTGTTTAACGTTATACTCAGCAACACTTTAACCCTGTAAATATTGAGGTATCAAGCAGCTGGTACTAACAGCCGCCTGAGTGAGTGAGTGAGTGAGTTAGTTTGGTTTTATGCCGGTTTTAGCAATATTCCAGCAATATCACAGCAGGGGGACACCAGAAATGGGCTTCACACACTGTACCCATGTGGGGAATCGAACCTGGGTCTTCGGCATGATGAGCGAATGCTTTAACCACTAGGCTACCCTATCGCCCCCTAACAGCCTAGTGTGGATAACATCCGATGAACTGAAGTGCAGTTGTCTGAAGGGAGTGTACCTCCTATGGTGTGTAATAAATTCACTTACTTTTGATCTCCATCTCGTGACTGATACAAATTTTAATGTGTGATCTTTTCCAAGTAATTCTTCATTGCACAGTATATCAACCTGTAATAAAGAAGTTGTTAAAGTCAAACTATCCTCATACACTTATCTAAAAATAATTACCAGCATCATCCGATGAACTGAAGTGCAGGACATTTCATAATTTGGGAAAGAAACTAATAAATACTTGCTATTCGGAGGACAGTGAGAGTACAACGAAGTAAAACGATTGAGGACAGAGATGGAGAGGATTGAAGGTTGGAAGAATGGAGAGAGACATGAGAGAGGACAGGAGGGGGTATTATATGGATAAATAATATGTAAATGTCATTAAGAGATGCCAACCCCAAATTTGGGTATGAATTAGCTATTGTAAATATAAAAAACAAAACAAAAAACAATTAGTAATAATTACTTCACTACTAGTACAAGTGACGGTATTGTTTTGATGAAAATAAATAATCTTTCAAATTTAGTTCTTTCACTTCTTTTTAACTCTACAAATCCAGAAAATCTTTCTTCCAATCAGACTGACTGAGTTTAGTTTTACGCCGCTTTTAGCAATATTCCAGCAATATCACGGCGGGGGACACAAGAAATTGGCTTAACACATTGTGCCCATGTGGGGAATCGAACCCGGGTATTCGGCGTGACGAGCCAACGCTAGGTTACCCCGCCGCCCCTCTTCCAATCAGAAGCTTAAACAAGAGATTATTATCTCTATCAAATAGCATACAAACAAACATGTACATGATTCATGGCCAGTGATGATTTTCTCCCCAAATATTAAACATGACTACTTATTGTATTGACAGAAATTTGTTTATAACATAATATTTATACAAACCTGTAGAGGTTATTAATTCTTCGAAGAAAGTCCTCCTTGGGGTACATATAAGCATTAAAATGTCCATTTTAAAACCTACGACAGTTGTAACTATAATTTAATGAAAATATTTACAAAACAAAAAACACGTTTTTGTCTTGTGAGACCACCCCTACAGGACCCCTCAGGCCCCCCTACAGGCAAGAGCAGGTAACTCTAGCAATTAACCTCGCACCTCACTTTTCATGCTGAACGGATCAGACAGAATGAGGGGAGGCGGGTGGCCGTACCCCAAGGAGGACTTTCTTCAAAGAATTCATAACCTCTACAGGTTTGTATAATTATTTTTCAGAAGAAGTCCTCCTTGGGGTACATATAAGCATAAGACAGACTCCCAAAGACAATTAAGCTGGAAGTGGTATTCTGTCTGACAAAGTGATCCAATCGAAGTAACAATCTACAACCGCACAGAAATAGAAAATTACACTTACCTAGTCACCTGACCGCCAATGTCAATCAAGGCGGGGGCATGGCTAGGGTTAGGACCCGGATTGTCAAAGCCTATATGCCGATTGGCTTATCGGTGTCACACCCCCAGTAATAAACCCTAACTACCAACCTAAAGGTTGGAGGTGCATAGATACGGGGAACTCACCAAAACAAACTACTGTCCATAGCACACAGCTAGCCAAGCGTGGGAAAATGGAGAGTAAAAAGTAAGGCACTGATATACCAAAGTAGAACAGGAATAAAAACCACCACCAGATACCTTCACCGATTAAAAGGGGGAAGGAATAAACCCGACACTGAGTGTAAAACAGAGTACATCATCTGGAAAGCTAAATCGGCTTGAGATGTGCTACTCTGTCCACTGCGGAGAACCGTCTGGCCAAATTGAGCACGTTCACGAGAGTGTTTGTCCAACTGGTAATGACGGATGAACGTTGTCTGTGGTATACCCCTGGATAGATTCCCAGTGTCGGTCCACCACCGCAAGTGAGGAATAAGCCACTCCGGAGTTACTAGAATCGTCTTGTAGCTCTCCGAGTGAGACCACAGCTGCGCTAACGCTTGCTGAACCAGTCGCATCCTCAGACGTGCACGCCAAACTATGTCCACTGTCGCCGCCATGTTGCCTAGCAACTGAAGCCATGTTCGAGCTGAGGCCCTGGGGGACTGAAGGAATTGTAAAACAATCCTCTGGACTTTGGCAATGTGGCCCCGAGACAGAGAGACTAATCCCTGCTGTGTCTCGAATCTCGCTCCCAAGAAAACTAGATCCTGGGTCGGAACCAGTTCTGATTTCTTGAGGTTGATAATCCAACCCAACTTGGTGAGAGTATCCATCACTGTCTGTGTGGAATCCCGACTCAAGTGGGTGGCGAGTGCTCTGAGAAGCCAGTCGTCCAGGTACGGGTAACAAAAGTTGCCCTGTACCCTGGCAACTTGAGCTGGCACCAGCATGAGTTTTGTGAACACCCTTGGCGCCGTGGAGATGCCGAAGGGGAGCACACGAAACTGATAGCACTTCCCGTCGAAGGAAAACAGGAGGTATTTCCTGAACTTGGGGTGCATCGGGACATGGAGGTATGCGTCTTTGAGATCGATTGACGGAGCCAATCCTCTGCCTCTACCGACGAGATCACTGAGCGCAGTGTCTCCATCTTGAAAGACGGCACCTCAATCATGTCGTTCAGACCCTTTAGATTTAGAATGGGTCTGAAACCTCCGTCCTTCTTGGTAACCAGGAAATAAGTGGAGTAAAACCCCAGATTTTCCTGGCCCGTCGGAACCACCTCGATGGCTGCCTTGTCCAGCAACGACAGGACCTCGGCACGGAGTATATCCGCCATCTCCTGAGAAGTCCGCACTGAAGTGCAACGAATCCCGGAGAGAGGAGGAGGGCCTCGCTTCCACTGCGGCATATAGCCATCCCTGAGCGTGGACAGGACTCTCTCCCACTCCCGAAGGAACAGAGTTAGTCGGCCGCCGACAGGGACGTCGGGTAACAGGCAATGAATCCCGGCGGTTGGCAGTGTAACTACTGTGGCCGGACGACCACCTGCGGCAAAACAGTAGCGATACGATCACATACCTGCCGCAGAGACGGGCCAAGCGAGAGAAGCTACCTTCCCACGACTGTTCCCAACCGCCATCCTCCTCCATGGCTTCCTCCTCCAGCTCCTCTCGGTATCAAGAGTCACCTCCAAAGTCACGGAAGCAGGATCCACAGACAAGGACAACGGATCAAGAAGAGCCGAGGTGCCTGGCTCGACCGACCCTAGGCTCGAGGCCGAACCTAGTCGCTGAGGACCCAGGGAAGTGCCTGCCGTAACAGGATTCCCCTGAAAACTGAAAGGCACCGAGGTAACCGCAACGCCGGCACTCGAGTACCCACAGCTTGGGTTCCGGTTGCCAACGGTACGAGACCTGAAGGACCGGCACCAGTGAGCTGGACGGTACCGGAGCTGAGGCTCGGGTCAGACACAACTGCACCAACAGAGAGGCCGTCACCGGAACCGATTAGCTTGGAGGCAGAACCCGCCCCAAGCCTAAGCCGGAGGGGGTGCCTGACCCCGGAGCGCCACTAACCCCCGAATGGATACCGATCTCCTGTCGGAGACCGGATATCGCATCCAAGATAAGTCTGACTGACTGACTGAGTTTGGTTTTTACGCCGCTTTTAGCAATATTCCAGCAACATCACGGCTGGGGACACCAGAAATGGGATTCACACATTCGGCGTGACGAGCCAACGCTTTAACCATTAGGCTACCCCACCCCCCCTCCGAGATAAGTGAGTGAACCGAAGTCATCTGCTGCTGCAATATGGAGGACAAATCTGTTAACGTTAATGGTGCAACAGATGCAGAATCGGATTGTGCAGATGTAGAGGGGATAGGGGGAGAAGGGTGTTTCTCCATCGTCTTGGCCTGCTTATCCCCCCCATTAACAGCCGAAGAGGAAGAACTCTTTTGCCCTTAGAGGATTTGGAGGGTAGGTCCTTAGCCCATATGTCCCCACCCGCCTGCAGCAGATTGGTGTAAAACAACAAGTCGGCAGACCGACGCTTGATAGCCCTGGGAGAGAAAGCTTGACATTTCTCACCCCCCCGATCAACGTGAGGCTCTTCCGCAAGACAGCGAAGGCAAACTTCGTGAGTATCTGGGGCCAGTAAGTTTAGAGTGCCGCAAGAAAGGCAAGGCCGAAACTGTGACAAACAGAACCAGGTAATGGTAGCTGTTGTACAGCAAACATATGTACGCATCTGTAAGTACACAAGCAATAGCAAAGAGAAAACGCACGGGCGATAAAAATTTGCCAAAAGCTAAAGCAATTTAACCAACTTAACATGTATACATGAACAAGTGGAGAAAATGCAAGCTGCCTGTGTTTACATATATAGCGTAATATACAGCAAATACAACGTAATGCTTAAATGATCAACTCCGACTTACCTTAAATTCACTGAAAGCGAAATTAATTAGGCAAGCCTAGCTAATGGTAAACATATATACAACCGTCCTAGTTTTGTGAACGCCAAGCGCCACACAACAAGGAAAGAATGTAAGCCACCCGATCTTGCCTGCCATATGGCTGGAAATGGGAACCCGACTGGCAAAGTTACAACTATTTATGAATGAAAAGTTCAGCCTATAAATTCCATCTAGCACCCGTGCGGAAGAAAAGGAACCATACATACAGCAGGTGACTCTTTACCACTCATATCAGTAGGTAGAAGTAGCAAAACTTTGATGAACACACACACACATCTTTTGTAATGAACGACAGCATGAAAAGTGAGGTGCGAGGTTGACGGCTAGAGTTACCTGCTCTTGCCTGTAGGGGGCCCTGAGGGGTCATGTAGGGGTGGTCTCACAAGACAAAAATGCGTTTTTTGTTTTGTAGTTATTTGAATTAAAATATAGTTACAACTGTCATAGGTTTTAAAATGGACATTTTAATGCTTATATGTACTCCAAGGAGGACTTCTTCTGAAAAAGAATGTAATGATTTGGCCCAAATAATAATCGTTGGTGTCTCTGAGTAATAATACTCTTTAGTATGCAAATTCCAGTGAGTACGGCTTTCACTGTGTGGACTCGAAATGTGTTTCACACACTGTACAAAATCCATTCAGAGATTGGACAATCCATAGCTTTAACCACCAGTGACTATGATAATTTCTTTGCACCTGTTAGCCATATTCAAGTATTTTGTCAGCAAGGGATACCAGAAATGAACTTTATACATTGTACCCTTGTGGAAGTAGTGATGAGCAAATGCTTTTACAGCGTTCGAAATACCTGCCTGCCTTCCCGACCATCTGGGATTGGATATTTTCAACACGGACTGACAGATTCTCAAATTCACCTGCCTGACGGTCGGGTTAAAATTTAGACATGTATATGAAGACATTTTGTGGGCAGGTAAGTTTTGGTCAGGGCTGGCAAGTTTTACATCTAACCAGCCCTGTGGTCTGGCGGAATTTTATGGGAGTTTCACACCCTGGCTTTAACAACTCGGCTACCCAACCCCCTCGTGAACAGGAAGATTGAATATCCACTTACATCCTTGTATCTCTCCCGTGCATGGTAGACTTTGAGCGCTATGAACTTCTTGAGATGAGTGACGGTGGCCTGGGATGAAATGCGGATGTACTTCCTCTTCAGATTCTTCATGTGGTTGCCCTTACACTCCAGGCAAATGTTCACCTGCTCGTCACTACGGTGACAGTCCTGGTCCTCGTCTGGTGGCGGCAGGGTCTGACTCTTCTCAGGTTCTTGGTTTTCTTCACAATTTCCTGCTGGAAGTTCCAAAACAGGTAGTAAGAAATCAATGTTTGTTCTCACAAATGACCTCAGTTGCCATAAAAAAATGGAAATGAGTTAGTGAGTGAGTGAGATAGTAGCCAAATAATAGGAGAATTACTAGTATATTCATTTTAAACCCTGAAGTGACACTGAAATACAGATGCTTCAAAATAAATCCATCTACATCTCTTACTCTTTAAGTGTAAGTCAGTGAATGTCATTCTATAATACAGTCAGAAAGTGAGTGAGTGAGTGAGAGTGGAATCAGTGTACCCATCTATCATTTTTGGTAACCCAACACAATTTTGGGGGTTACTGTGCACAATGAATCCAATCTTAAAAACATCAACTGATCTATTCCAAATAGGAGGACAAGTACTTTTTCTCAATTGCTTCAGTTACGGTTGGCTAACTGAGTTTAGTTTTACGGCGCTTTCAGCAATATTCCAGCAATATCACGGCGGGGGACACCAGAAATGGGCTTCACAGCTTCAGTTACGAAAGTAGGATTACCTGGTGTAGAGTTAGGAGGGACCTTCCCTATCTTCTTGTAAAAGTCTTGCTGTCTCTTCATCTCCTCTGAAAACCGAACAAACTCATCAGAGATTCTCAACTCCCTGAGACACATACAAGGCTAAACTAAACAATGTACTCCCAGGAAGACATGCCTTCTACACAAAGTTTGACACCTATTCTCCGTCAGAAACCAACAGGTCGTCAAAATGAGGCTTCATATACATGTACTTGGTACACCATGATACACTGAATCTGTAAGTAGAAATTATGCATATCCTTTGTCATGCAACCACTGTGTAGGGTGGAACTCCTGTAATAACGATGTAAATATGTCACAAAAGGTACACAGATATAAAACGTCAAATTATGTGAACTTACTCTCTTGAAGGTTTGGGACCAGCTTGTACACAATGTCCTGCATCGTTCTGTCGAAGCTGAAATTTGAACACATTCTTTTCTTGGTGAAAGCGATCAACATAGCCCCCGAGTTTGTACTAGTCATGTGAAATGTAGAAAAGATGGGTAAATGATGTCAGACTGAGCCATCTACAAGTGTGAGAACTGTATAATATGTGTACCTTCAGTGGTTGAAAGTGTGAGCTATAATACAATGCACACAGCTGTGTGTAACGTGTGTGACATAGATGTACCTTGACCAGACGAGCCAGTGGTTGACAGCGTGAGCTAATATATAACACTCATAGCTGAGTGTAACATGTGTGACATAATTACCTCGACCAGAAGAGCCAGCGGTTGATAGTGTGAACTACTAAATAACACACACAGCTGTGTGTAACGTGTGTGACATAGATGTACCTTGACCAGACAAGCCAGTGGTTGATAGGGTGAGCTAATATATAACCCTAAGTGTAACGTATGTGACGTAATTACCTCGACCAGACGAGTCAGTGGTTGATAGCGTGAGCTACTATATAACCCTCAAAGCTGTGTGCAATGTGTGTGACATAATTACCTCAACCAGACGAGCCAGTGGTTGATAGTGTGAGCTACTATATAACCCTCAAAGCTGTGTGCAATGTGTGTGACATAATTACCTCAACCAGACTAGCCAGTGGTTGATAGTGTGAGCTACTATATAACCCTCAAAGCTGTGTGTAACGTGTGTGACATAATTACCTCGACCAGACGAGCCAGTGGTTGATAGTGTGGGCTACTTATATAACCTCATAGCTGTGTGCAATGTGTGACATATTTACCTAGACCAGACGAGTCAGTGGTTGATAGCGTGAGCTACTATATACCCCTCAAAGCTGTGTGTAACGTGTGACATAATTACCTCGACCAGACGAGCCAGTGGTTGATAGTGTGAGCTACTATATAACCCTCAAAGCTGTGTGTAACATGTGTGACATATTTACCTTGACCAGACGAGCCAGTGGTGGATAGCGTGAGCTACTATATAATGCACACAGCTGTGTGTAACGTGAATGACATAATTACCTTGACCAGACGAGCCAGTGGTTGATAGCGTGAGCTACTATATAACCCTCAAAGCTGTGTGCAATGTGTGTGACATAATTACCTCAACCAGATGAGCCAGTGGTTGATAGTGTGAGATACTATATAACCCTCAAAGCTGTGTGAAACGTGTGTGACATAATTACCTTGACCAGACGAGCCAGTGGTTGATAGCGTGAGCTACTATATAACCCTCAAAGCTGTGTGCAATGTGGGTGACATAATTACCTTGACCAGACGAGCCAGTGGTTGATAGCGTGAGCTACTATATAACCCTCAAAGCTGTGTGCAATGTGTGTGACATAATAACCTTGACCAGACGAGCCAGTGGTTGATAGCGTGAGCTACTATATAACCCTCAAAGCTGAGTCTAATGTGTGTGACATAATTACCTCGACCAGACGAGTCAGTGGTTGATAGCGTGAGCTATTATATAACCCTCAAAGCTGTGTGTAACATGTGTGACATAATTACCTCGACCAGACGAGCCAGTGGTTGATAGCGTAAGCTACTATATAACCTCAAAGCTGTGTGCAATGTGTGACATATTTACCTAGACCAGACGAGTCAGTGGTTGATAGCGTGAGCTACTATATAACCTCAAAGCTGTGTGTAACATGTGTGACATAATTACCTTGACCAGACGAGCCAGTGGTGGATAGTGTGAGCTACTATATAATGCACACAGCTGTGTGTAACGTGTATGACATAATTACCTTGACCAGAGTGAGTGAGTGGTTGATAGTGTGAGCTACAATACAACAGTCACACCTGTGTGTAACATTTATAACATAGCTATAGCCGGACCAGATCAGCTAGTGTTTGATATAGAGCTACAATACAATTGTCAAAGCCATGCGTATTGCACTGAAGACCTCATATCATGATACTTTACTGTATTGCTATATTGTTACACCACTGCTGGATACGTGATATAAATGACCATATTTACCTGATATAGTTGAGTGGATAGCTCTGGTGGATGACAAGCCTGCAGTCTGGGCAGGTGTTGTTCTCCTCCAGGTACCGCACCAAGCAGCTCTTGCAAACTGGAACAATCACATTGACTGTATTATAGCCAGGGCTGACAAATCATATTTTGTAGTCATTGACTTGTTGGAAATTTCAAAAGGAAGTCAAAATACTCAGTTTACAGGTGAGTGAGTTCTGCTGTGTCAGCAATATTACAGCTGTATGAATCTAAACAAGGCGAACTCGTGACTAAAAGTATTAGCAACAATCAATGGCATTAATGATTAAAACATAATCCCCATGTCAGTCTACTCCCCCTCCAAGAATGGCGTACCTGGGACCTATATCCTTCTTCACAAGCGATTACATATAAAAGTAATTTGTACATGCTCTAGTGAGTGATTGTTCATGCCATTTTGAACAGTATTCCTGGTCAGCTTTAAGTTAGGGAATGCCCACAGTGAAGCAGATCTCAGACTTTCTCTACATTGGTAAAACACAAGAGCATAGGCGTGGTCAAACCAGGTTTCTGGTCTGAACAAGGGGTGCAACACTGAACAATGAAAAACAGCACCTTAAATGACTTGGCCAATCATGCCCCCTTTGATTTAAGCCAACATTATTGCTCAGTGAAACATTTTAGGAAGATCAAAAATTTCTTGATCACACTTAATCTGTTAAACTGCATTAAATGCACATCTGATGCACACATTTATGCAGCAAATGTTCTAACGGGTTAGATTTGTAGGGGCAGTTACAAAACGTTACAAGGCAATGCCATTCATAATTACTTACAAAATAAAGTGTTACTTGATGATATACTTACATGTATGAAGACATTCTGTGATTGTCGTGGCATCAATCAGATACCCTGTACACAAACTACATGTGATGTGTTCATTGACTGTCTTCAGTCGTATTTTTTTTTCCATCATTTCGACAACTTCACTGCAATGAAATTAAAGTAAAAACTGTAACAGGATCTATGGTATAAAAGAATACAGTGCTGACTAATGGATTTCTTTATTCTTTCAATGGGACATTTTAGTATCTTGCTTGTGAAGACCCAAGCACCTGTACTGAAATGTTGCACTGAAAGAAAAAGGAATGCATAAATTTGTTTGATACATGAATGCAAACAGTTTTTGCCAGGCCAATTTCCAAATGGGCACATTTTCATTTCAGACATACCACAAGCGAGTATGGTTTTACGCCACTTTTAGCAATTTTCCAGCAACATCACAGCGGGGGAAAACAGAAAAGGGCTTCACACATTGTACCCATGTGGGGAATTGAACCCAGGCCTTCGGCTTGACAAGCAAACACTTTAACCACTAGGCTACCCCACACCGCCCACCCACCACGAGCACATAGGTGGGGTCAGTTAAAGTGGGTTTGGTAGCTGTGTTGTAAGTTTGGACCCCAGTCCTACTTTAACATGGCAAATACACTAAGAATCATAAGAATATCTATTTCAGCATGTCAAGCAGCATTTGAACTTTAATGCAACAATATTCCCAAATGACGGCAAAATGTACCTTGAGGCCTTGCAAAAATTTCCGTAATCTTGTATTTTTCTCCAGAAGACAACTGGCAAAAATGAGTTAACTCTGATCATGCTGATGTTGAATGGAAGAACTAAAACTATTCCCTTTACATGACCTGAGTTTGTGTCATAGGTACACAGTGATCATTACAATATATGTAAACAAATGTCAAATATTAGAGTACTTCTCAAATAAGAATGAGTGTATACATGAACTCTTACAAAATCAGCATGACACACTTCCAAGTGTAATAATTTCTTTTTAACCATTTCTTTTTTAAATCTGTTGACTGCCCTTTAAAAAATGCTGTGATTATGACCACCACTCAAATGATGTCAACAGTCTTGAGCCATGACATCAATTCTAGTGTGGTGATATTTTGACCTAAAATCAGTCACACTTAGAATCAAATGGCATCAACAGGATTGGCTAAATTCAGGAACTCCGAACATGGTTTGTTTTTCTTCATAGATTAGTACTCATTAAACAGGTAAAACCTCATACCATAAAAATCTTGATTACAGTGTTCAATTTTCAGCAAGAAGGGACATAATTCAAGACAAATTACACAACAGTGATAGAGATAAGGCTAAAATGGAGCATATTCTTACACTTTCAACACTATTCACCAATTTAACTGATATGGGCTTCAAACCATATTTGAATGTAACAGTGTTAAGATTATCATGATAGTAAGCATCAGCAAATGATTTGAAACATTTGACAAATTAGAACATTCCAACTAAACATTTCATCACCAACTGCATTACTATATACTCTCTTCTCTAATAATAATTTGATCATATCCCAGTGTTTACTGGTAAACTGTGACTAGAAGTACTCAAGCTCTAAAGACATATCCATAGGTGAGACAGTAATTACCATGTGATAATATTAAGCATGGCTCCAAGTAGCTCTTTATACATATTTTAATAATGGCCTTTTCATCATGTTCATGAATATGTTTTGGAATCTCTCCAATTTCGAAAATGATTATCAGTCAGAACTTTTTAAAGTTTTGAACCCTGACAAATTAGAGAGCCTTTGAGTTAACCAATAGTAAAATAAACATATAAAGAACATGAACAGGCAATACTGGTAAAAATGATGCAATTCTAGTGTGTTTGGTAAGTCAAGTAGAACCAATTTAATACAAACTTAACACCCTCAGGCCAGGTAAGCAGTAGGGGGGGCCAACACTGTTCAGCTTAAATCCCCTCTACATAGCTCACAACAATTAAATTCCCATAGTTAATTCAATTAGTGGTCCAATTAGTTACTTCAGACTGATACAGTGATAGACACTAATAGCCATTAATACACAATGTTTTGCCAGAAATCAGTACTTTAATTTAGCATTATTTCTGTCAGTGAATGGAGTTATTGATAGTTTAATTTAAGTGTATTTTTTATTTTGGTCATAAAGTCAATACAATTGATCAACACTTCAATTTTTTATGAATCAAAACACTGACTATCATGCTGTATTAAACCAGTATATGTTAGAATACACAGTTTCTTGTAGTCATCATATTGTTTCATCTTCTTAAAGAGGACAACATTCATAAACTACGTCAGAAGATCTTATTTACTTGAATCAATCACCGGAACATCGTCAGCATTCTCGTAAGAATTCATAAGAAAATTATTTTGAAACACCTCATGCTATTCTCTACAAATATGTGAATTTATCATGTTCGCGTTCAGAACCTATCAGACATACCTAAGGAAACATCAAATATATGAAATCGTCAAAAAGAGGGGAAGCGAGGGATATTTCATGTACTGTCACGAAATTAGGAGACGTAGTGCACTTAAGCTGCATAAATTGCAGGGGAAACAATGGGTTGTAAGACTTTCGGCCCTGATCAAAACGCTCATTCGTGCCTTGGTCATAGTTTTTCATTCGAAATAGACTGTTTCAATGTTAACCTACCTGCTGATATCTTTCTACGGTGCCTTCAGTGACCAGACATATTGCGATAATCACAAATGTCAGTCAAAAATCTGCCTCGATCGTCCATGTTTAGAGCTGTAGCAGGCAAGGCAATGAGAGGTGCTTGTTGATTGGCTAAATCAACACTAGACCGGCCAATCAGATGTCTCCTAATATTTATCCAACTTGTTGGCCCCTCCAGGGGCTGTGGCTATGTACCCGACGTCGTGTATATAATGCTCTTATATACACGACAAGACGATGTCGTGTATATAACACTCTTATATACACGACAAGACGATGTCGTGTATATATGTCTGTTATATCCACGACAACCCTTTTATCGTTTGTTATGATGCTGTCATTCTCACGACAACTAATTAAGTATATTTTAACCTCAGGATATATTTATGAGAAATTATAACTGAGTAAAAGTAATTCCATGATGACATATTAATTTATAATAAAGAACTTTGTTGCGCACCACCCAGTGTCGATTCAAATTTAGTGTCTTAAAATATTGAAGTTATGTTATATGTGATATAAGTGTAATATATTGTCGCAGTTCTATTATGAGACTTTATAAAATGAATTTATTACAATTTATACATAATACGACACATATATATAATAACTCGCCAGGATTATAAAGAAATTAATTTTTACAGAACTATTTCGTGCTGCGAATTTATAAATTCATAAATAAAATCTAACACAAACTAAGTTCATTCATCGCATGTATACCAGTTTTATTTTCAATATATTTGTACATGCGCGTTAATTGACGGAAAGATATCCTCGTAAATATTTATTGTTGTATTTGGCCTTTGGAACAAAATTCTGTAGGGCAGCAGGTGACATCATTTGCTTGATAACGGCGTTAGTAGCTACACCGAAACGTCGCTCATATTATATTAAAGAAGTTGTATATCCATAGAACTCTCCTCGTTGTTCAGGTGACTAAAGTACTGTCGGAAATGCTAGAATGCTTTTTGACTTTTATGTAAAACTCAGAGATCTTACAGTTACGTAAATAACAAATATCAATTTATGAAACATCTACCTAATGTAGACCGAGAGAATAAATTTTGAGACATTCCCTAAAATGTGTTTTACATATGAAAATATCAAAACGTAGAAAAATAAGGGGTAGTGGAACGTTATTTGATACAAACATTAACCGCCTGTGTTATGTCATCAGCATGCACGGTATCGACAGGTGAATTGACACCTGAGCACAAGCTAGGGTGAGGGGTCATCTCAATACATTTTTTTCTTCATAATGTTGAATATGTGTACGTATAGTATATGTATTGGTTATGTAAGGGATTATGTGATATCCACATTTCGCACACCAACAACACCTATATATATATTTATATATGTGTTGTGTGTTTGTTTTGAAATAAACATACGAATTATTGTGCATGAGAAAGAATCCCATCACTTGTGTTATTTTGTCGATTGATTGTAGAAATGTGCAACGTTTTAATAAACGTTTTGCATGTTGACAACAGTATATTTCTTCGCAAAAATATGGATGTAATTCGGTCAATTTAATCCAGTTGTGAACATTGGCCAAAGATTTAACGAAGTCACTGGTATAGCTTCTTTAGAACAGATATTGTCAGCGATGAGATCTGGCTTTGTCGAAGTAGAAACGGATGAGCAATGATAACTTTTTATCTTCTTTGTTTGTCAGTGTATGAAAATAATCAATTAATCAAAGTAAATTTATGATGGCTGTGTGAACGAGACTTAAACTTGATGCAAGTACAAATTAAATCAACTATAACAGACATTGGAATGAAGACCAGTAGAACACTTAATCCGAATCTGACGAGTCTGAATCCGTGTCCTCATGCACTGGGATCACAACAGGTGTGACAACACTGATGTCCACTCCGTCACGTTGACGGTATTGGCGTTCAATGTCAAGGACGTGGTCCTCTGCCTTCTGCCACACTGCAGGGGTTATCCTGCTAACCGGTGCATGGATCAACTACTTCACTTGAGAGAGCTTGAAGGTATTGATGTTCCTCGAACGAACCCTTTACAGTTTGCCCAGACAAGTTCGATAGGGTTCAGTTCACAATGCCTCACAGGTGAACGTAACACAAACCGTGAGCAGCCACCGTGTTGAGCAGCCAGCATCAGCTGTATCGGCCCTGTACTGAATGGGCTTCCTGTGTGATGCGGATCTTCCATCACAGCTGTATCTTTGTGTCTGTCGGTCTGTAGTGAACACATGAAGACACGATGTGATGGAAATCCTCAAAGCATCGTCTTCTTCAGGCTCACTTCATTGTACGGTGTGATGCTACATGGTTCTTGTTGACCCAAGTTTCATCCAGGTAAACTATCTGGAAGCCAAGGGCACCTGCCACAGTAAGAGGATCTCATGGACACAATAGAATCTTCATCACCAGGGCATGTTTGAAAGTCATGGAGGGCAAAATAAAGACGTTGAACTGAATCTCTGATATGGAGGTGGAATCTTCTTCTCATAAAGTTTGTATTGTGAAAGTTGAGTCACGAAGCGTACACATTCAAGAATTGTATGTTCTTCTCTATTCTTCATCACGGTGAATGTGTTCTTACTTCTTCATCAATTAGGAACAAACAAACTATATATATATGTACATGTTGAAACAACAACAGTATAACAAAGGAAGCCAGTAGTTAATTGGTGGATGGACAAGTGGAAGCCAGGGATTGTTAATCCAGGCATGATTGATAAGAAAGACAAATAGAAGCCAGGGGGGTATCTTTCTTGTCAAAGTTGTCAAGGATGGTTTTACGTCCCGGTTTTGCTTTTGAGACGGTCCCTGTCTTGTCTGATTTGTTTACAATATTGTAAACTTGTTGGTAAGACATACCTACAGTTCTACAAGTTCTGTAATAAACCCTTTCTAAACTAACCCTCTGTCTTTCTCAAACACAAAAAACTTATAAACCTTTGCTACAATCGACTGCAAATCGTTGGCCATAGTGAACGCTGTGATAAAGATGTGCATGCATGACGGGAAACTTATTTATTAAGACCTAACATTTATATTCATTATTCTTCAATGAAGAAACGATAATTAAGTCAAGTACCACAAACATTCAACATTTATTTGTTTAAGAAAAACGTTAATTTATATTTTTGCACCACCTGTATTATTAGCATAAATTTAAAGACTATTTCAGATTTCTCATGTTAAACTCTGTTGTATTGGTACCAAATTCTCTCCTGTTAACTGCCCTTAAAATGTATGGGAATGTTAAATCGATTGAAATAAAAATTAGGTAAACTATAGGCGAGTTGATATATTGACAACATAGTACATTTATCACCTTTATCAAAGTATTAAGGCTAAAAAGCATTTTTCTAGCATTTCCGACAGTACTTTAGTTATGTGTTTGGAGATAAAACTCTACAAGGCAGCGGCGACCTCTATATGTGTTAGAAAAACATTTTTTACAAAGTAGCGGGTACCTGTGTGTGTTAAAGAGATGAAACTCTACAAGGCAGCGGCGACCTCTATATGTGTTAGAAAATCAATTTTTACAAAGTAGCGGGTACCTGTGTGCGTTAAAGAGATGAAACTCTACAAGGCAGCGGCGACCTCTATATGTGTTAGAAAATCAATTTTTACAAAGTAGCGGGTACCTGTGTGTGTTAAAGAGATGAAACTCTACAAGGCAGCGGCGACCTCTATATGTGTTAGAAAATCAATTTTTACAAAGTAGCGGGTACCTGTGTGTGTTAAAGAGATGAAACTCTACAAGGCAGCGGCTACCTCTATATATTTTAAGAGATAAAAGTCAACAAGGCAGCGGGTACCTGTGTATTTTAGGAAATAAAACTCCACAAGGTAGCGGAAGGTAGCGGTTACCTCTATGTATGATGCAAAGTATAACAAGGCGCAAACAGAGTGTGTGCAGATTTTAGTGTATCGTATGTAAATATATACTCTCCCAAAAAAGAAACGCATCATGAAAATAGCAATTTCATGTAGCAATGAATTCAAACGTGATTCATTTTACAAAAGGTTTTGCTCTGTTTATGAGTCCTATGGTGTTTATGTTTTGAAACATCACAACAAAACGCACCATCCGTAAAATACCCGTATTTAACAGCATGATTTTCAATTTCGGCGTGTAGTGTCACAGAATACACAATTCACATGCAATGTACGTGAAACTTGAGGATCAGATAGTCTCAATGATGGGTATAAAAGGTTGATCGCTGTCTGTCGATTATTCACTGTATTTGGAATATTGTTGACGAACGCAAAATGCCACGTCTAGGTGAAGCCAACCGTCATATCGCCATTGGTTTGCTTGAAGCTGGCCAGTCTCAACGTGCAGTTGCCCGACGCATGAATGTTCACAAAAGCACCATTTCACGGCTCTGGGAGAGATATCGCCGGCAGAATGCGGTAGCAGATGCCCCTCGTAGTGGGCGACCTCGAGCGACCACTGCGGCGCAGGATCGCTACATCCGGGTACATCACCTGCGTCATCGAACAGCTACGGAGACCAGTACCGCTCGACAAATACCCGGATTGAGGAGGCTTTCTGCACAGACCGTCAGGAACAGGTTGAGAGAGGCTGGTTTACGTGCCAGAAGACCTTATTTTGGCCCTGTGCTTCGACAACAACATCGTCGACATCGAGTTCAATGGTGCACCAACGTTCAGGCCTGGAACCTACCGAATTGGAGTAGAATCTGGTTCAGTCATGAATCACGATTTCTATTGGAACGACGCGATGGAAGAATGCGGGTGTACAGACGTCGACGTGAACGTTTCGCCGACGCTTGCGTTCCCCAGGTGGACCGATTCGGCAGGGGAAGTGTTATGATGTGGGGGGAAAAATCACCTGCCGTAGGAGAAGTGATTTGGTGATGATCCGGGGCAACCTGACAGCTCAACGGTACTGTGGCGAAATCCTACGCCCACACCTCCTTCCAATCATTGATCGCCAGAGGGAGTTGTTTCAACAGGACAATGCCAGGCCCCACACAGCACGTCACACTAGAGACTTCCTCCAGAACCACAACATCAATGTGCTCCCCTGGCCCTCAAGATCACCGGACTCAAACCCGATAGAACA